TGCCATGTTACCACTCGTGCGGGTACCTCCACCAGCCCTCCCCATCTCCCTCCCTCTCCTCCCACTCCGTCTCCTCCCCACTCCTCCATCCCTTCCTCACTCATTCCAATCCCCTCCACCTCCGACCATCTCTCCCACCCCGCTGTTCTCCTACATCACCGACTCGGCCATCCGAATTTTGCCGCTCTCCGCACTGCCGTCACCTCACGACTTCTCCACAGCCTCCCTCCAACTCTTCCTCCCCTTCCCTCCTCCCCAGCCCCCCCATGCCCCTCCTGCATCCACGGCAAACTCAAACAATCTCCTCACCACAGCCACCCATCCTTCGCTCCTGCACCCATTGACCTTGTCCATATGGACCTCTGGGGGCCCTCTCCCACCCGCTCACGCCAAGGCCATCGCTACATGTTGGTTCTTGTTGACGATCACAGCCGCTACTCCTCCATTTTCCTCCTCCACACCAAAGACCAGGCGCCGACCATTATCATTAACTGGGCAGAGCAATGCCGCACCCACTTCAAACGTCCCATCGGCCGCCTCCACTCTGATGGGGGAGGCGAATTCCTCAACCGCACTCTCTCTCACTACTGCGCCACCCATGGCATCCAACAGACCCACACTCTTCCCCACTCCCCACAGCAGAACGGCGTTGCAGAAAGCCGCATTCGCGAAATCACTAAGATCGCCCGCTGTCTCCTTGCTCACGCCTCCACCCCTCCCTCTCTCTGGGGCTATGCCCTCCTCCATGCTGCCCTCCTCCTCAACCTTCACTCCCATCCCCAACACACTGCCGCTACCCCCACGGAGCTCTGGTCAGGAACCAAACCTGACGCTGCCGGTCTCCGTGTCTGGGGTTGCAAGGCATATGTGCTTATTCCTCCACCCGACCGCACCCAAGGCAAGCTCGCTCCTCGCGCCCTCGAGTGTGTCTACCTCGGACACAACCGCGACTCGCCTGGTTACCTCTTCCTTCACCCTCCCTCTGGTCGCCTCATCCGCAGCATTGACGTTGTGTTCGATGAGACCACCCCGTACTACTCCTCCCCACCACCAGACCCCCTCCCTCCTCCCGCACGTCCTCTCGCTTGGGCCGACACCGTCCTCCCTCCCCTCCTCCCTCCGGCACCTCTTCTCCCACCCCTCCCCACCCCGCTTCCGCCACCTTCATCCGTCGACGTCTACGATCCCACTGCTCCTGCCTCCCCCGCACACTCCACGGCTCCCCCTCCCCCCTCCCCTTCCCACTCCCCTCCTCATCCATCACAGCAGCAGCAGCAGCAGCAGCAGCAGCAACAGCAGCAGCAGCAGCGGCGGCAGCGGCGGCGGCGGCGGCGGCGGCGGCGGCAGCAGCGGCAGCAGGGGCAGCAGCAGCAGCTGCAGCAGCAGCAGCAACAGCAGCAGCAGCAGCAGCAGCAGCAGCAGCAGCAGCAGCAGCAGCAGCAGCAGCAGCAGCAGCAGCAACAGCAGCAGCAGCCGCAGCAGCAGCAAGGGCAGCACCAGCAGCGGCAGCAGCAGCAGCCGCAGCAGCCACAACAGCAACAGCAGCCGCAGCAGCAGCAGCAGGGGCAGCAGCCGCAGCAGCAGCAGGGGTTCCAGCAGCACCAGCAGCAGCAGCGGCGCAGGGCAATTGCCCGCTCCTCACCCTTCCTCCTCCCTCGCATGCACACCCGCTCCCTTGACCCCATCCTTGGTGCACCGTCTCCTCCCTCCCTCAACCAACTGGAGGACTCCCATGAGGAGTTCACCATGGTCCGGCGCCACACTCCCTCTCTCACAGTACTTTCCCCTGACCTCCTCGGCGCCCTACTCCTTAGCGCGATCCCCGCTCCCACCATCTTCGTCCCCTCCACTTTCCAAGAGGCTATCACCTGCCCTGACGCCGATAAGTGGATAGCCGCCATCTTTCAGGAATGTGAAGCATTCATCCACAATAACTCCTTCATTGACGTTCCCCTCCCTCCTGACGCCAACCTGGTTGAGGGCAAGTGGATCTTTCGAGTCAAGCAGCTGCCGGGAGAAGAACCAGTCTACAAAGCCCGCTACGTTGCCAAGGGGTTCACCCAGACCTGGGCTGAGGACTACTGGTTCACGTTCGCCCCCACCGTCAAGCAGGCCACCCTACGCACCCTTCTTGACATCGGTGCAAGAGACGACATGGAGATTGACTCCATGGACGTCTCCAACGCTTTCCTGCAAGGTGAACTGCACGAACGCATCTTTCTCCGCCGACCTCCCGGGTTCCATGCTAAGTTCCCCGACAACACCGTCTGGCAGCTGAAGCGACCGGTCTATGGCCTGAAGCAGGCACCACGAGAATGGCATGCGAAGCTATCTGCTACTCTCCAGTCCCTTGGCTTCTCCCCCTCCCACTCCGACGCCAGCCTCTTCATCCGCTCTTCCCCCAGTCGCTTTTTCATCTCGGTCTACGTTGACGACATGATCCTGCTGGCGGATTCCAGGGCCGACATGGACCAGATGAAGCGGTCACTTCAGGAACGACTCAAGTGCAAGGACCTTGGTCCCCTCCAGAACTACCTCGGCATGGCTATCACCCGTGATCGATCCGCCCGCACCATCACTCTCTCCCAGTCCCACTACATCGGCCAGGTCCTGGAGAGGTTTGAGATGGCGCAGGCCAAACCAGTCTCCACCCCCCTCCCCTTCGGTCACCAACTTGCGCCACCCACCTCCCCCTCCTCCTCCTCCCGGCCCTACGCCGAGCTCGTTGGGTCGCTGATGTACGCGATGATGTGCACCCGCCCCGACCTCGCCTACCCTGTCAGCGTCCTTGCTCGGTTCGTCGGCCCTGGACGTCACACTGAGGAACACTGGGCTGCCGCCAAGCGGGTCCTTCGCTATCTCTGCGGCACCAAGGATCACGCTCTCACACTGGGTGGATCCTCCCCTCCCCTTCTCTCGGGCTTCAGTGACTCCTCCTGGGCAGACAATCAGCCAGACCGCCGCTCCTCCCAAGGCTATGGCTTTACCCTCGGCAGCGGACTTATCAGCTGGCGTTCCACCCGCTCCTCCGCCATCGCTCTCTCTTCCTGCGAAGCTGAGCTCTATGCGGGCACCATGGCCGCTCAAGAGTCCCGCTGGCTCTGCTTTCTTCTGGCAGAGCTTGGTGCCCCCCAGCGCTGTCCCACGCTCTGGTGTGACAACGCCAGCACCATCCACCTCACCCAGGATCCAGTCTTTCATGGTCGCTCCAAGCATATCGAGCTCCGTTATTTCTTCATCCGCGACCTCGTCCGACAGAATCTTATCGCCGTCCGCAAGATCGCCACTGAAGCCAATTTGGCGGATATCTTCACCAAAGCACTTCTTCGCCCCGCGCACTCTGCTCTCCTCCGCCTCATTGGCCTCGCTCCTCCAGGAGCGCCTTGATTCAGGGGTTGCTGCTCTCCAGCCTTTCCGCATCTCTGCAGGTTAAGGGGTTGTGTTAGAATATCTCCTCTCTTGTAACCTGCATATATGCTATAGGATAGGCTAGAGATAAGCACCCAAACTTAGTTTGGGTGTACAAGCAGGGGTTACCCAATTTGTAGGTTGGAAACCCAACCTTGGTCCAATTATTGGACCCCAAGGGTTGGGATGGGTAGAATTATTGGTCCCCTCCAATAATGTTGGCCCAACTCCAACTTGGCCAACATTATTGGACCCCACCAATAATCTCCCAACCCAACTCCTTGGTTGGGGTCCAATAATGTTCACCTAGGCTAGTTTCCAACTCATCTCCTATGTAAACCCCCCATCCTTTCAATCAATCCATCAACTTCTCTTCTACCTTTTCTTCTCACAAACCCGTCGTCGCCAGCTGACTTTTGAGTTGACCCAAAAGTCAACCCGTCGTCGCCAGCTGACTTTTGAGTTGACTCAAAGTCAACCCGTCGTCGCGTTTGAGTTGACCCAAAAGTCAACCCGTTGTCGCCAGCTGACTTTTGAGTTGACCCAAAAGTCAACCCGTCGTCGCCAGCTGACTTTTGAGTTGACCCAAAAGTCAACCCGTCGTCGCCAGCTGACTTTTGAGTTGGCCCAAAAGTCAACCCGTTGTCGCCAGCTGACTTTTGAGTTGACTCAAAGTCAACTCGTCGTCGCCAGCTGCCTTTTGAGTTGACTCAAAAGTCAACCCGTCGTCGCCAGGTTCGTGCCGATCTGGCGGTTTTTGAGTCGACTCAAAAATAGGTTCGTGGAGATCCGGCGGTTTTTCGAAAAGAACCGGCGAGGCGTGGAGGAGGAGTTGTTGGAGCAGCTCAAGGCGATCTGGTTCCTCCTGCCCTGCCCACCCTCCTATTTCCATGAGGGCTGGCCGAGTTGCAACTCAGGAAAAAAACTTTAGCAGAAGTCTTATGCAGAAGGAAAACTCTTTACCAGAACAAAAACGAATTCTTATGCAGCTCGCCCAGCCCTTATGGCTGGAGAAGTCGGGGCAGCTTAAGGCGAATTAGATGCTCCCATCTCTCTCAACCCCACTACCCTTTTACCCGCGTCCTCCCATGTTGAACCGGCGGGACGTGGAGGGAGAAGTCGGAGAGCAGCTCAAGGCAATTTTGAACCCTCTCCGTCCCTCCTGTGCCCATCTCTTTCTCTTGCGGTATGTTCACAATCCTCCCCTCTCTGGGCAGGTTTTTCGAGAAGAACCGGCGGGACTTGGAGGAGAAGTCGGAGAGCAGCTAAGGCGATCTCGAACCATGAGCAGCCCCCATCCTTCCTGTGCCCATCCGTTTCTCTTGCTGCCCCTTTACCATACTCCCCTCCCTCCTGCCAGATTTGTGGAAAAGAATCGGCGGGACATGGAGGAGAAGTCAGAGAGCAGCTCAAGGCGATTTTGATGCTTCCATCTTTCCTATACCCACTACTCTCTTTCCTCCTCCCCATCCCCATGTTGCTTCTCCACCACGCCCCCTTGGAAATCAGAGCAGCTCAAAGCGATTCCCAAACCCTTCCATTCTTCCTCGTTTCTTGCTGCCCCTGTACGATACTCCCCTCCCTCCTGCCAGGTTTGTCGAGAAGAACCGGCGAGACGTGGAGGAGAAATCAGAGCAGCTCAAGGCGATCTCGAACCTCGCAGCGCTGTTTGCTGGCTTCGCTGTAGTCACACTCACCCAGTTCCAAGTCACCCTCGACAGTTCCCCCTTAGTAAGCCGATCTGTTTGCTGCCTTCGCTATAGTCACACTCACCCATCTTCAAGTCACACTCAAAGATTCTCCCCTGGCGAGTCTTTATTCTCTTCGATACAGTCACCTCCACTTGCTGTTACACTCAACTCAAACACTGATTCTGTTCCGATCACTTCATTCGCTATGCTGTAAGGTGTTCCTTGTTGGGACAAGTGACTTGATTCTCCGCAAAGGTTTGTCGCTTGTTCCCGTGATGCTCCGCAAAGGTGTGTCGCATGGTCGTCATACCCTGCCTAATCTCCCTCCCTCCCTCCCTCACTCCATCCCTCTCTTCCCCGCCTCGCACCTGCCACCCGTTGCAATGGATCATTGTTATTTACGGCGTCTTCTGAGACGTCTCCAAAATCGCCTAATCTCCCTCCCTCTATCCCTCTCTTTCCGCTCCGCACCTGCCACACTTTGCAGTGGATCATTCCTATATACCGCGTCTCACTGCCATCACTCACACACACACAAACACACACACACAGAGACACAATAACACACACACACACACACCCACACACACACACACACACACACACACACACACACACACACACACACACACACAATACATGCACGCACGCACACACACACTCACCTGCCACCCTTTGCAGTGGATCATTCCTATATACCGCGTCCTCACTGCCACTGCGATCCGGTGTGTGCTGCTGACGACTCAAAGCACTGTCCTGTTCATTTTCTGCCTTCACTAATCTCCCTCCCTCCCTGCATCCATCCCTCTCTTCCCCGCTTCGCACCTGCCACCCTTCACAGTGGATCATTGCCATATACGGTGTCCTCACCGCCATCTCGGTGAGTGTCTCACCTCTCACCACTTGCATCAAACAGGTGGTGAGTGTCCCTCCCTTGCGTATCCACGGCAGTGGATCATTGCCATCTACGGCGTCCTCACCGCCATCTCGGTGAGTCGCCCTCCTCTCACCAGTTGCGTCAAACAGGTGTGTTGTGTCAAAATTACACACACACGCACGCACGCACGCACCTGCCACCCTTCACAGTGGATCATTGCCATCTACGGCGTCCTCACTGCCATCTCGGTGAGTCTACCTCCGCTCACCTGTTGCATCAAACAGGTGTGTTGTGAGACGACTCAAAATCACACACGCACGCACACGCCTGCCATCCTTTGCAGTGGATCATTGCCTCAAATCACACACTCGCCCCCGCCCGTCCACGGCAGTGGATCATTGCTGTACACGGCTTCCTCACTGCCGTCTCGGTGAGTCGCCCTCCTTTCACCAGGTGCATCAAATAGGTGGTGACTGTCCCTCCGTCGCCCGTCCACGGCAGCGGATCAGTCATTGCCATATACGGCGTCGTCACTGCCATCTCAGTGAGTCTCCCTCCACTCACCACTCACACCAAGCAAGCACTCAGGATTGGGCAATGGGCTGCCTGTCTCTTCTCCCCTCCCTCTTCAGGTGTGTCTGCACACGGTGGCCATGGTGCAGTGCACGCTTATCATGGGCCGTGGAGTGGATGGGTGCACTGATGATACTCTGCCTGCCTGCCTGCCTGCCTGCCTGCATGCCTGCCTGCCTGCCTGCCTGCCTGCCTGCCTGCCTGCCTGCCTGCCTGCCTGCCTGCCTGCCTGCCTGCCTGCCTGCCTGCCTGCCTGCCTGCCTGCCTGCCTGCCTGCCTGCCTGCCTGCCTGCCTGCCTGCCTGCCTGCCTGCCTGCCTGCCTGCCTGCCTGCCTGCCTGCCTGCCTGCCTGCCTGCCTGCCTGCCTGCCTGCCTGCCTGCCTGCCTGCCTGCCTGCCTGCCTGCCTGCCTGCCTGCCTGCCTGCCTGCCTGCCTGCCTGCCTGCCTGCCTGCCTGCCTGCCTGCCTGCCTGCCTGCCTGCCTGCCTGCCTGCCTGCCTGCCTGCCTGCCTGCCTGCCTGCCTGCCTGCCTGCCTGCCTGCCTGCCTGCCTGCCTGCCTGCCTGCCTGCCTGCCTGCCTGCCTGCCTGCCTGCCTGCCTGCCTGCCTGCCTGCCTGCCTGCCTGCCTGCCTGCCTGCCTGCCTGCCTGCCTGCCTGCCTGCCTGCCTGCCTGCCTGCCTGCCTGCCTGCCTGCCTGCCTGCCTGCCTGCCTGCCTGCCTGCCTGCCTGCCTGCCTGCCTGCCTGCCTGCCTGCCTGCCTGCCTGCCTGCCTGCCTGCCTGCCTGCCTGCCTGCCTGCCTGCCTGCCTGCCTGCCTGCCTGCCTGCCTGCCTGCCTGCCTGCCTGCCTGCCTGCCTGCCTGCCTGCCTGCCTGCCTGCCTGCCTGCCTGCCTGCCTGCCTGCCTGCCTGCCTGCCTGCCTGCCTGCCTGCCTGCCTGCCTGCCTGCCTGCCTGCCTGCCTGCCTGCCTGCCTGCCTGCCTGCCTGCCTGCCTGCCTGCCTGCCTGCCTGCCTGCCTGCCTGCCTGCCTGCCTGCCTGCCTGCCTGCCTGCCTGCCTGCCTGCCTGCCTGCCTGCCTGCCTGCCTGCCTGCCTGCCTGCCTGCCTGCCTGCCTGCATGCCTGCCTGCATGCCTGCCCGCCCGCGCTTCAGGTGTGTCTACACATGGTGGCGATGGTGCAGTGCACGCTCATCATGGGCAGTGGAGGGGAATGGAGAGATGCACCACTGATGATACTTTGCTGTCTGCCTCCCCTTCCCTCTCACTTCAGATGTGTCTGCACACGGTGGCGATGGTGCAGTGCACGCTCATCATGGGCAGTGGAGGGGAATGGAGAGATGCACCACTGATGATACTTTGCTGTCTGCCTCCCCTTCCCTCTCACTTCAGGTGTGTCTGCACACGGTGGCGATGGTGCAGTGCACGCTCATCATGGGCCGTGGAGCGGAAGTTAGGAGAGAAGAGGCTGCACCCATACGCTGTTTCTTTTGGCCTGCCCTTCTCCCCCACCAGGTGTGCCTACACACGGTGGCGATGGTGCAGTGCACGCTCATCATGGGCAGCATACTGAAGAACGGCAAGGCCTACGTGGACGAGGAGGCAGAGGAGGAGTTCATGTTCCGCTGCCTGCTCTTCGTGCGCTCATTCTCTTTAGGAGACCGCCCCCCTGCGCCGCGGCGCACGTTTGAGGCCTTTTGGGAGTACAGGTGAGGGTGTGGGAGTGAGCGTGAGAATTCTCAATAACCAGCTCTTCATGTGCTCTTTCTCTCTAGGAGATTGTCCACCCGCTCCCCGGCGCACCTTTGAAGCGTTTTGGGAGTACAGGTGAGGGTGTGGGAGTGGATGCTGCATAGGTGGCTTCTGGAGGAGGCAGAGGAGGAGTTCATGTTCCGCTGCCTGCTCTTCGTGCGCTCATTCTCTCTAGGGGATCGCGCACCCGCTCCCCAGCGCACGTTCGAGGATTTTTGGGAGTACAGGTGAGGCTGGTGGGTGTTGCATTTTTTTACTTGGTGGGTGCTGTTGTGTAGGTGAGGCGGCGGGATGATTTGTGGCCTGTGAGGAGTTTATGTTCCGGCGCCTGCTCTTCGTGCGCTCTGTCTCTCTAGGGGATCGTCCTCCTGCACCGAGACGCACGTTTTAGGCCTTCTAGGAGTACAGGTGATTGTGTGGGAGTGGATGCTGCATAAATGGCTTCTGGAGGAGGCCGAGGAGGAGTTTATGTTCCGGCGCCTGCTCTTCGTGCGCTCTGTCTCTCTAGGGGATCGTCCTCCTGCGCTGCGGCACACGTTTGAGGCTTTTGGGGAGTATAGGTGAGGCTCTTGAGAATTCTCAAAAGTCACACGAATATGGCTTTTGGGGAATATAGGTGAGGTTGGCTGGGGATGCTACGTGCACATCTGTTACCTGGTGTGAGTTCATGTTCTGCTGCCTGCTCTTTGTGCGATCCCTCTCGCTCAAAGACCGGTCTCACACGCCCCGGCGCACATTTGAAGCGTTTAGGGAGGACAGGTGAGGTTGGTGGGTTGGTGTAGAGCAGGCGAGTAGTTGCGTGTCACATGCACAGTCTATTTGCGTGTCACATGCACGGTCTATTTGCGTGTCACATGCACGGTCTATTTGCGTGTCATATGCACGGTCTATTTGCGTGTCACATGCACGGTCTATTTGTGTGTCACATGCACGGTCTATTTGCGTGTCACATGCACGGTCTATTTGCGTGTCACATGCACGGTCTATTTGCGTGTCACATGCACGGTCTATTTGCGTGTCACAAATAATTCCACGATGTTGCACTATCAGTGTGTGGAAGTGATTATTGTTTTTTGTTTGTGGTCTGATTCATTCTTGCGAACTGGCATGGTGCGGCAATTCGTGCCTTGAAATGGGTATGGCGTGGAATGGCACGGGATGGGATGGGATGGCATGGCATGGCATGGCATGGCATACACATGTGTCAACCCCATTAAGGTGTGAAGATGACTGGCGCAAGGCATTCAACTACTTCACATGGGGTACGTACACCTGTGTTTCAGTTCACCTGAGTTCTTATTCAACTCAAAAGGTGTCCAATTTTGATCGCAGCACCATCACACCTTTCTCTTTTGTCTCCCAGTAATGAGCATCTGGCTTTTTTACGAGACTGGCGTCCAATGTGTTTGATTGCCTTCGACCAGCTATGACTTACGTTGACCGATTAATGAGCTTTGACGAGCTTTGACTGATTCAATCCCTCATTCCAACCATTGTCATGCCTTCCACATAGTGTTTTTTCACTTGATGTCCTTGTGAGCGATTTTTGAGAATTTTCAAAAATCGCCCCTCCACTTCACGCCCCCCCAATCATTGCCACCCCTCCACTCTATTCCCACCAACCAATGCCCTCCTTCCACTCCGTCCGACAGGAATCTTCTCGTTCCTTCTCAGCCTCATCCCTATTGGGTAAGACTTCTCAGCCGCAGTTGACGCTGATATTCCTGCGAGTTCCAGAGTTGCTCAAGCTAGTCCAAATAACATGTTGAGTCCAAACTTGAGTACAAGTTGAATGTGCAAGCAATACAAGTTCATCAAGAAATCGGGAAGAAGCTACCAGCAGCATTCCAAAGAAGTGATCTGTATTCTATAGTTTGTCGACTCAACACTCCACCTAAATGACAACCATTTTTGGAATTTTCAAGCTTCTAACTCTGTTCCCTACATCTCTACCCTCTCCCCCTCCTCCCAAATTCTTCCGCTTTGCCCCTAATTCGCTCCTCTCTCCAACTCCCCTGCTCGTCCTCCTCTCCCCCGCTGCTTCCAGGTGGATTAAGTTCAACTTCTCAACCTTCATCCCAGCAGCGTTCACTGCCATTGTCATCTGCTCCATGGTTCTCTGGTGGGTGCTGAGACATCTCAATACTCTTGAGACGTCTGGTGAGTGCTGTGCTGCATGGTGCTTCGGTGGGTATAGACATGCCTGCCTCATCCCTACAGTGTTTCCTCCCACCCACCACCTTCTCTCCCAGGGCCTATCAGCAGCTGCCATGGGGAGCCTATCTCACCAAGGGTCGCCGCCAGTTCGACTAGCTCCTCTCCGAAGCCGAGGCCTTCCACGTGCGCCCCTCTCGGGCCTCCTCGTTCTTCGAACTCTCCTACTCGTACCACCTCCTGCCCATCCCATCAGGCATTCTTCCTAATACACATGTCATCCATTCCTCCCATCTCTTCTTTCCTTCCTTCCCATGTTACCTCACCACCTTTACTCGTTTCTCTCCCCAGGGCCTATCAGCAGCTGTCATGGGGAGCCTATCTCACCAAGGGTCGCCGCCAGTTCGACTCACTCCTTTCAGAAGCTGAAGCCTTCCGGGTGCGTCCCTCCGGCCTCCCCTTTGACTGGCACATTGCGCCGGAAGCTTCCTGGAAACGCAGCTCCTCGCGGAGAAGCGGGAGAAGCCGGAGCGGGAGAGAGGGTGGGTCGAGCGATGCTGCTTCGACGGCTTTTACAGATGGTGACCGTGACCGTGGTCAGGAGCACAAGTCGGATTCAGTATTGGGAAACACGGATGGTAAGGCGTCACGAAATTTGGCTTCGGGGATTGGGAGCACAGGTGGAAAGGGTACTCAGGGAGAGGAGGATAAGCAAGTGGAGGAGGGTGAGAGGGCAAGTATGAATGGAGGAGGGGATAGTGCTGATAAAGGAAGGCTTGATCCTGGTCAAAAGGATTCTCTAATCAGTGGTGGTGGTGGTGATGGTGGTAGCGGTGGTGGTTGTAGCACTGATTTTGGTGATCCAGGTTTGTCATTGACTGGTAATGTTGATGTGCCTCGTGCTATGGTTGCGAGTCAAACAAAGAAGGCTAGCAGGGCTAGCAGTTGTGAGATCAGTGAGCTACAGGAGTGAAGTACTGTACCACAAAGGCATTTGTTTTGTACTGTGAACATGGCTGCTTTAATCACGTGAATGAAGTGTATGTTTAGTCCCATGGCGTTCTTCAAATATGAAAATGGTTAGTCGCAGGTCAATGATAGGAAGATTGGCAAGCCAGCTAGCAAAAATAATGGTAGATTATGCCTCCCCTCCCAAACAATACGTGGGGCTGGCCAGAAGGCCGATTGTTGTAGTAGCTCATGCCTTCCCCCAGAGTGTATTCATTTTACCCTGTGTTATCCTCTGTCTGTTATTCAATTGCACGCTAAAGAGGAAACGGTTTCTGCTGACGAAGCGAACCGTTGAGAGATTCCCACAAGTACGGTACTGTACCGTGACCCACACTGATGCACGTGAGCCCAGGGCCCAGTTTTCATCGGTTGAATCAGTGCGGGTTGTTACAGTCACAGGCCAGTAGAATGCATTTTCACAGGACTGAGTAGTGTTTGTCTTGCCCGAAATGTTTCTGGCGGTTGCTTTAGGGACCAGCGCTCACAAATAGGCGGAGATGTACTCCCTGTTCTTTCGCGGTTATGTGCGTGCAAGAACGTTTGCGTGCGGCACACGGACTACAATGTAGATTTGAGGAATCAATCGGGTCAGGTCGTACCTCAACCACAACTCCGCCAAACTTCAAGGCACGATTGATGCCCAATCATATACATTTCCCTGACCGATCCCATCAGGACGCGTCACCTTTTTTCAATCCCCGCCACGATCCTACGCAGGATCGTTTAATAGCGGGGATAAAAACGGGAAAAAGACGAAGGGTTTCTCTTTCAGAGCGAAAAAACCCTTCGTTTTTTCCCATTATCCCCGCTATAAAACGATCCTGCGTGGGATCGGTGCTGGGGTCGAACAGCGCTACCGCACCGCTTGATACATGAACTTACAAAATGTCGATAGGGATACAATCGACAGCTGTTCGACCCCAGCACCGCTCTTCGCCTCATCAGCAACCCAGTTTCCCAAAATTGTAGGGCGTATTCCTTGACACATGTCGATAGTGGAGCTGCAACGAGCTGAGGCGGTGAGGACGCGACCTGTTCGGCGAAATGACATTGAGAGGAGTCGAAAGGACGAATCTGGAACGTTTTCATGGGTTCCTTGCGGTTGAGTTCGTTGCCTCGAGCAGCGCTACCGCACCGCTTGATACAATGAACTTACAAATGAATCGGGTCGTATCAACACGCCCTCAAGTCATTGCTGCACTGTAGTCGAACGCGGAGCGGGTCGTAGTGGCAACTCCTTTCAGCTTCAATTCCCTCTCTTGCCTCCCCAACTACCACCGACATCTACCTTCTGCATTTGTCGAAAAACACTATGGGACTAGGTGTTATCTCCGAATGGGGCACCGATACTTTCTCTACGCGTTCTTGAAAAAGTAACCTCTATTCGATACTGCACGAGTAAAGAATATTGCGCCAAGACTGCGGAAGTCCAAACGGCAGTTTCTAAGGCTGCCTACGTCCTCGTTCGTGACCCTCTTTTCGGTCTTTTAGGGTTTCGACGCCCTGTATTTATCGATGTTCCGTTCCTAAATGCGCGTGTCGTGAAACCTCCACCATGGAGAGCGGGGTGGAGGTCCAACAATCGAAAATTCCGGAAGCTTTTCAATCCCAAGAGAATGGCGTACTTGCTGAGCAAGAAAACGGTCAGGCATTGAGTAATGTCGTTGATGACGTGGAAGGCCCGTTGGCTCCGGAAGATCCGGACAAGCCGGCAGGCGGAAACGGAGAGCCGGATGAGAACGAGCCGCAGGAAGAGCAGGAGCTTGTAGGTTACATCGGAGCGGCTAATGGCGCGGGAATTCTGGCGGAATACGGGAGGGACGCTGACGCTGTCCGCGATGCATTGCCGCAGGCTCTCGGGAACTTGCCGCTTCATTTCGCCCAGTACTCCATTGTAAGTCTGTGAGCCTAGAGAACCTTGGAAGCCTACGGAATACGCTTTAGACTTAAATGATTGGAAATTGTCCGCGGGACCTCTCCTAGTGACGCTTAGAAGGCGAATACGCTTGTTTGCGAGTGCCGATAGCACTACCATTCGGAACCACGAAGGACCATCGGAGGAAAATTATTTCGCTAATTTGTCCGAAATCACATTATCTTTTTAGCATGTCGGAAATGAAGCCTGTCTGAGTATGAAGAATTTTTTTTCAGATGTGACGCTTCTCACGTCGTTACGTGTTTGCTTTTGACGCGCCTAAAAAGTGAGGAGTTTTGTTCAATGTGACGCTCCTCATGTCGTTACGTGCTTGCTCGGTCCTTCCTCTCTTGGGCCCGTCAATGCGTCATTTCTCGTGCACTTTTTTTTTCCCCAATAAAAGAAAAGGAAGTAATCGCTGCCATTTTTTATTGCGTATATTGTTATTTCTATAACTTGTATAATGATTCCAATCAATAATACGAAAGAAAGAGAAAGGAAGTGGGAGCAGGAACGTGTAGAGGAGGCAAGATTGTGCTTGCTGGGGAGAGAACGGGGACGGAATGAAGAGAAGGAGCTTTGATGTGCACTCCTCGCACCCCCCTCTCTTGCAAATAGTATGCCTTTGAGACACCTCAAAGTAGGCATTCACAACACAACATGAGTTCAACATTGTTCATCTGCTGAGAGGCTGCTTCTTATTATGCGTCACTAATTCCTCAGATGCACGTAATTGACTGCCTAAGAGTTTCTCCCTCTCTCCTCTCAGGGCTATAGTTTGTCGTGTTCCGATGCACCATCCAGTATGCTCCTCGAGCTGCTAAGCTACAAGGGCCCACGCTCCTATGCTCTCCCCTCACTTCCCCCGCTCTTCCCCTCTCCACTCTCTCCCTCTCTTTCTCCCTTTGCCTTACACCTTCACCCTCCCCCCCTCTCCTTCCCTTCCGTCCTTCACCTCTCAGGGATACGGACGGATATTCGTCTTGTTTGAAAGGCACAGCCCAGGGTTGGTCTTCGTGCTGCTGGGATACAATCAACCCACTCTCTCATTTTCTCCCTTTGATCCCCAATTTATTCTCAGGGTTACGGTCGCATATTTGTCCTGTTTGAAAGGCACAATCCAGGGTTGGTCTTCGTGTCGCTGGGATACAACCCGCTCTACCATTCGCTCCCTTAACCCCCCCTATTTCCCCCTTAACTCCCCAATTTCTTCTCAGGGATACGGTCGCATATTCGTCCTGTTTGAAAGGCACAACCCAGGGTTGGTGCTCGTGCTGCTGGGATACAACCCGCCCGCTCTGAAGAGCCCTCCCTTTTCCCTTCCCCCATTTCATTTCATTTCAGGGATACGGTCGCATATTCGTCCTGTTTCAGAGGCACAATCCAGGGCTGGTGCTCGTGCTGCTGGGATACAACCCACTCTCCCATTTCTCCCTTTGATCCCCAAATCATTCTCAGGGATACGGTCGCATATTCGTCCTCTTTGAACGGCACAACCCAGGGTTGGTCCTCGTGCTGCTGGGATACAACCCGCTCCCCAAATCCCACGCCCGAGACCTTCTGGCCAGCTTCTCCCAGGCGCTCGCTACAGTCACAGGGGTTACAATCACGCCCCACTCCTCCGCTAAGGCCCTGAGCGGGCAGGGAGGATGGGAGGGGCGGGTGACGGAGGAGGGGCGGGTGATGCTGGGGGAGGCGGTTGCTGGGCTGACTAATGGTGTTCGAGGCATCGTGGGATCGTCCATGGCTTGTGTTAAGAGGTGCGTTGCGGTGTAGAGTTGTGGAGAGAGGTTCGTTGCGGTGTTAAGCGGTATCTTAATGAGGTGAGCGTCTGGAAGGTGCTTGGCTGATGAGGGGTGTTTGAGGCGTGGTGGGATTGTCCATGTCTTACGAAGAGGTGAAGAGGCTCAGTGGCTTGTGAAGAGGTGCGCTGGGGTGAGAAGAGGCTCAGTGGGGTGTGGAGCGTGTGAAGACATGCACCAACTTGGTGCAAATGAAACAACATGGTGCAAATGAAACAACATGGTGCAAATGAAACGACATGGTGCAAATGAAACAACTTGGTGCAAATGAAACGACATGGTGCATATGAAACAACTTGGTGCAAATGAAACGACATGGTGCAAATGAAACAACATGGTGCAAATGAAACAACATGGTGCAAATGAAACAACATGGTGCAAATGAAACAACATGGTTTGTAGGGAAGGCATGGTGGGTTTGTCAATAACGTGTATATAAAACGATATCGCTGTTTGCTATTGAAAAAAGTAAGAAAGAAGAAGAAGAAAAAAAAATCTAATTTATCTTCACGGGAAACAACTCCTGTTACTGTGCTAGGGTATGCCATGGCATAACGTGATGTGGTGTGGAGAAATGTGTGGGGGCCACGTCGTGTGCCATTGTAACGAGGTGACTTTTTGAGTCGACTCAAAAGTCACCTCATAACGTTATGTGGTGTGGAGAAATGTGTGGGGCCACGTGGAAGGAGTGTGGGGGTGCCTGTGAAAGGAGTGTGGGGTGTGGGTGAGGAGTGTGAGGCTGTGTGAGAGGAGTGTGAGGCGGTGTGAGAAGAGTGTGAGGCGGTGTGAGAAGAGTGTGAGGCGTTATGAGAGGAGTGTGAGGCGGTGTGAGAAGAGTGTGAGGCGTTATGAGAGGAGTGTGAGGCGTTATGAGAGGAGTGTGAGGCGTTATGAGAGGAGTGTGAGGCGTTATGAGAGGAGTGTGAGGCGTTATGAGAGGAGTGTGAGGCGGTGTGAGAAGAGTGTGAGGCGTTATGAGAGGAGGAGTGTGGGGGCACGACTGCCCCTGACAACACCTAAGGGCCTTAAGGGGCCTGATCTGCCCTGTAAACCCACCCACCTATGCAAACCAGCAGTTTCTCACTCTGAACACTTTCTAGTGCATTTCTCAGCCCACAGGTACCCCGATGGGCCCCAGGCTTATCTTGTGAATCCTGACGGTGACTTCTCTATCCCTTTAGATGGCGACGATGAGGAGGAGGAGACGGAGGAGGAAAGGAAGGAGAGTAGTGTCTCATCCTATTCTCTTTTTGTTGCATCTGTCAACCCTCCCTCCAGGTACCCTGATGGGCCACAGGCATATCTCGTGAATCCTGACGGTGACTGCCCGATCCCTTTAGATGACGATGATGAGGAGGAGGAGGAGACGGAGGAGGAGAGGAAGGAGAGGAGGAAGAAGGAGCGTGCGAGGCGGAAGGAGGCGAGGGAGAGGAGGGAGAAGATGGAGAAGTTGATTGCTGAGAGTGAGAAGGGAGAGGGAGGAGAAGGGGAGGTTGGAGGAGCGAAGGAGGAGGGGGAGAAGGGGGGGAGAGAAGAGGAAGGGGGTAAGGCGAGCAAGGCAGGTGTGTCTGGGGAGGGTGTATCTGATGCAGCAGGAAAGGTAGCTGCAGGGGGGATTGTCGTTGCTGCTGTTGCAATGGCAGCAGGAGCAGGAGGGATAGCAGGAGGGATAGCAGGAGGAGATAGTGGGGTGCAAGTTGCAGGTGTGGCAGGGGAGGCACCTGCGCCTGATGCGGGTGCAAGCAGCGGTGGCGGTACTGATGTGGGTGGTGGTGGTGGCAAGGGTGGCAGCGGTGATGGCATGGTTTACAACAGGCATGGTGATGCCACGTACAAGCACCAGACGGTTCTGCAGTCTCAGCAGAAGCAGCAGCAGCAGCAGCAGCAGAAGCAGGATCAGGAGGAGGAGGAGCAGCAGCAGCGGCAGCAGCAGCAGCAGGAGCAGCAGCAGCAACAGCAGCAGCACCAGCAGCACGCGGATCAGCATACAGATTGGCAAGATGGCAGCCGGCAGCACTCCCAGTTGAACCTCCCCCTGACCCAGCCGTCCCCACTCACACCTGCAGGGTATGCAGGGTCGGACGCAGAAGGGCACACACCGAGTGAGGAGAAACGGAAGCGGTTCAACGCGGGAGGGTGGATTGGGAATTTGATCAAGGGAAAGGAGCACAAGGAGCATGGGCAGCATGGGCAGGCACAATTGCATGACCATGCCCATTCGCCTGCACATGCACAGGACCACCATGCAAACGAGCATGCTTTTGCACACTCACATTCCCACTCACATGACCATGCGCATGGGCATGGGCACGGGCATGGGCATGGCCTAGGCCTGTTTTCAGGGCATGGCAAGGCACATGCGCATGACCATTCAAATGAGCATGAACATGAGCATGGGCATGGGCATGGGCCGCATGGCTTGGGGCTGTTTTCAGGGCATGGCAAGGCGAAGCAGAAGCAGGAGAGTCATGTGGGCAGTGACTTTGTCGCGGCTGCTACGGCCCGAGCCAGAGCTGCTGCTTCGGCAGCCGGAGCTCATAGTGAGGGAGCAGGGTCGGGGGCAGGTCTGGATGTGCTTGGTCATGCCAATGCGCATGAGCATGGGCATGGGCATGGGCATGGGGTTGGGGGGCCGGCAGAAGGGCATGCGAGTGGGAGGCATGGTGAGCAAGTGCATGGGGCAGGGGGGGAGCAAGGGCATGCCATGCATGGGTCAGCACCACATGGTGTGCATGTGTCGCCAGGGCATTCCGTGCATGCTTCACCAGGGCATGGTGTGCATGCATCACCTGGGCATGGTGCGCATGTGTCACCTGGGCATGGTGTGCATGCGTCACCAGGGCGAAAGCAGCATGAGCATGAGCATGAGCATAAGCATGGTATCCTTGGTAATTGGGGGTTTAAGAATGGGCATGCACACTCCCCTGCACATGACCATGCACATGCACATGCACATGCACATGCAGTTCACCATGCAAACGATCATGGACACTCACACTTGTCACATGAGCATGGGCATGAGCATTCATCCCATGGACATGGCTTGGGCCTATTCTCAGGGCAGAAGCATGGGAAGCAGAAGCAGGAGAGTCACGTTGGGAGCGACTTTGTTGCGGCTGCTGCGGCCCGAGCCAGAGCTGCTGCTTCGGCAGCCGCAGGTTCAGCGGCAGCAGCAGGGGCCGGTAGCAGCTGCAGCGAAATCAGCTGCGACAGTGTGGAAAAACATGGGCATGGGCATGGGCATGGGCATGAGCATGGGCATGGGGGTGGGCATGGGGGTGGGCATGGGGATAAGGGAATTGTGGAGCCTCCATCTCCTGCTCATTCCGCCAGTTCCCAGCACAGCCAGTCCCTCTCCAACGCGTCTCCTCATCACCACCAGCAGCAACAGCAGCAGCAGGCCCAGAATCAGCAGCAGAATCAGCAGCGCAAGGACGAGAAGAAGAAAGAGGAGAAGAAGAAAGAGGAGAAGAAGAAGGGCAGGCAGAGCAATGTCGGTAGCAGCCTTGTCTTTGCTGCAGCAGCCGCAGCGCGACAGAAAGCCGAAGCAGCAGCAGCCGGTGGAGCAGCAGCAGGGGCGTCAGGGAGGCATCTAGGCATGCCGCACGCAGGCAGCACGGGGAACACAGGGACTCCGCATAGCTACCGCAGCGGGCCTGCCAGTGGGATGAACAGCGGCATGAACAGCGGGTTTGGCAGTGGTGCTGGCAGCAGCGGCAGCAGCACCCCTGTGAGTAGCCGAGGGGCGGAGGAGCAGGAGCAGGAGGTGGGGCTGATGCAGAGTGGGCAGAGTGGGCAGAGCGGGCAGAGTGGGCAGGGTGGGCAGGGTGGGCAGGGTGGGCAGAGTCGTTTGCATCCCAGGGATGGGCAGGGGAATGAGAAGCGGGCTTACCATCTCTCGATCCAGGGCAGCAGCGGTGCTTCTGCTGCTGCTGGTGCTGGTGCTGACGCTGGTCTCGATGCTGCTGCTGGTGCTGGTTTGGAAGAAGGTGGTAGTGGCAGTGGCAGTGGCAGGCGGGAGGAGGAGAAGCAGCTGGAGTCTCAGCCGTCAGGTGGGGGTCAGGGCAAGGGCAAGGGGCTGCTGTTTGGAATCAGCAAGTCCATAGGAGGTGCCAAGAGCAAGGAGAAGAAGAAGGAGAAGGAGGAGAAGGAGAGGGAGAAGGAGAGGGAGAAGGAGAGGAGGAGGAAGGAGAAGGGGGAGAAGGAGAGCACTGTGGGGAGCACCTTCGTGGCAGCTGCAGCAGCCAGAGCTGCCGCTGCTGCCGCCACCAAGGAGCAACTGGGCGCTGCTGCTGGGTCCAATGGGGGAGTGGGCGGTGCAGGACGGTTGGGAGCGGTGGCAGGGGTGGGAGGGTCCATGGGAAGGATGAGTGTGGGGGGGAGTGTGCAGGGTAGTGTTGATAATGGTGCTGGTGCTGGTGGTGGTGGTGCTAGTGGCGGTGTTAGTCGTAGTGGCAGTGTTGGTGGTGGTGGTGATGCTGGTGGCAGCAACAGCAACAGGAATAGCACAGGGGTTCGAAGCAACAGGAGCAGCAGCAGCAGCTTGCAGCAGCAGCAGCAGCAGCAGTACCAGCAACAGTATCAGTATCAGCAGCAGCAGCAGCAGCAGCAGCTGGAGGGTGACGGGGACTCAGTAAGCGAGCGAGACACGTTGTCAGAACGAGGTGGGGAAGCGGATGGTGCCGAGGAAGAGAGCGTCGACGGGGAGAGTGTGGAAGGGGAGAGCATCGAAGGGGACCGTGGTGACGGAAGCACCAGTGGCAGTGGTGGAGGGAAGAAGGGGAAGAAGAAGGGGACAAAAAAGGCCGGCCTGCGGGGCTGGCTGACCAAGAAGCTGCATGCTTCCTCGTCCCTGCCGCCCGCTAGCCCGGAGCGAGGGGCCTTGCCCGCCGCCAGGTCGAGCCCCGGCCGCCCGGGGGAGAGTCCAAGCCGCATGCGTGACAGTCCCGGCCGGCCGCTTGAGAGCCCTGGCCGCCCGTTTGAGAGTCCGGGCGGCTCGCCCAGTCACGGTGGGATTAGCTTGTCTCATAACCGCGGGGGCTCCTGGGAAGGCGGGCTTGGTGGTGCTGGGGGTGCTGGGGGCAGTGGTCGTGGTGAGGAGGGGGCTGGTGGTGGTGGTGGTGTGACTGCTGTGGAGTTCACAAAGTGACTGCAGGCCGACAGGGTTGCTGAGGGTGCTGTGGGTGCTGTGGGTGCTGAGGGTGCTGTGGGTGCTGAGGGTGCTGTGGGGGCAGTGGTCGTGGTGGTGGTGAGGGGGTTGGTGGTGGTGGTGGTGTAACTGCTTGGCAGGCCACCAAGTGACTGCAGGTTGACAGGAGTCCGGGCAACTCGCCCAGCCAAGGCTGTCGCACTCCTGAACAGGGTTAGCCTGTCGCACAACCAAAAGGGGACTACTGGGAGGGTGGGCTTGGGATCTCTAGGAGTGCCGGGGGCAGTGGCCGTAGTGGTGGTGAAGGGGTTGGTTCAGAGGAGACAATTTGATTGCAGGCTGGCAGGAGCTCAGTCCTACCGGTAGCTACTCCCTCCTTCACTCCTCCCGTCACCGTTGCTCTTCTTGTAGAGCCTCAGTATCAGTGGTGGTGCCACTGCTTTGGTTCGGAGGGCACAGTATGACTGCAGGCTGGCAGGAGTGCAGTCCTAGCTTCCCCCTCCCTCACTCCTCCCTTCACCCTTATCTCTCTGCTTGCATCCTCGTTAAGCTCTGTGTTTGCCACTCCGCCAACCCCTCAATGTCACTGTTCCCTTCCCTCGCTCTCTTCCTCCCCCCCCCCCCCCCCCCCCCCTTCACTCCATCACCCTCCTCGGCTGTTTTCTTCAACTCCCCTTGTATGTTACCGTATATTGTTGGGCTGGGCTGGATCGGTTTCCTTGGCTAAGTTTGGGTGCAAGGGTTGAATAGGACCGCCCACTCGTTGCTAACTGTCAGCCTGCTGCATCATCTTAACACGTGCCCAGTCTAATTATTTGATTCTCGCTGTGCTGCAACATTGGCAGCACCACATTTCGTGCTAAAGAAGTATTTTTTCACAGACTATTCGATAGCAGTGTATTACATGATGCCTTACATGAACTTGGTCAACTAGCTGTGTTAGAACTGCCTCAGCAGCACGTAATGTACACCATTGATTGTCTCACTTAGTTTGATTTCTTTACATCCTTCAGCCAATCTAGCACTTATATGAAACAAGATTTAGAACACTTTGAATTGTCTTATTCGTATTCAATTGCTAATCCAACAGAAAACAACTCCATTGACCCTCCCACTCCACCCCAAGCTTTATAGATGCGCCACTTGACACCATGCACTGCCCGGTGATTTTGGTTACTACCACATTGATTTCTGATTCTGGTTACCGCACCCAAGGTCAGTGGTTACAGCACAGAAATTGCTGCTTACCACTTAGGTTAGGTACTATCACTTGACGCCAATGAGTTCCACGTCAAACTCGAGAGTGGCGTTGCCGGGAATCTTGGGCGGGGCCCCTCGAAAGCCGTACCTGTAGGGGGAAAAAGGGAAAAAAATTGCACTTGCGAGATAAGAAGAGCTTGTGGAGGAGTCACAGCTCCAGTTGAGAACGGCAGACTGTTGGGTCAACTCAAAAGCCAGGTGAGATAGACAACAATGGCAGCTGTGCTGGACTAGTCAAAGCAGCTTTCGGTGAAATTCGACGAATAAGGCAGAAGAATGGGTCTAATACAGCCCAACGTGTGTTTTTTGAGAATTCTCAAAAACCAGCTCAAAAAACACACGCTGGATCTAATACAGCCCAACACGATGGACAGAGAGTGTAAACCACACAGCAGCAGGATGGGAGTATGGCACTTTTGAGGCGCCTCAAAAGTCATGGGAGTATGGCACTTTTGAGGCGGCTCAAAAGTCATGGGAGTACGGCACATACCCAAGGGCAGGAGGGATGGTGAGACGCCTCTTGTCGCCAATTCGCATGCCTGCAAAGTCATGAAGAGGGGTGGGACCCGGAGAGGGAGATGGAAGGCAGAGATTAAGTAGCTTTACAAGAAGGTTTGAAATAAGGATTTCTGAAATGAGAAATTTGAAATGAGAAATTTGAAATGAGAATTCTGAAACGAGAAAAGGGAAGGCATGGAGATGGCTGGAACTGTGGAGGGCGATGGGAGGAAAGGGTCACCCTAAATCCTAAAGGCAGGCAACACAGGAAACAGGAAGCACACATGCAATGAAACACACATGCACATGCACGTGCGCACACGCATACACATGCATGCACACATACATTCACACCCTTTCTTACACCCACAGAGACCTCTCTCCCCACACAGATCTCTCCCCCCCACACAGACCACTCTCCGCTTTCCCCCACACACCATTAACGCCGATGTCCCAACCCTTAATCACTTCCCCCATGCCTGCCCAGCACCCACACCCGCACTCCCCCTTTTTCGTCATCCTCCTCACCCCCCTCCGCACACACACACACGCACACACACACACACACACGCGAGCGCGCACACACACACACGCACACACACCTTTGACGCCGATGTCCCAACCCTTGATCACTTCCCCCACGCCTGCCAGATGGAGCGATGATGACAAGATGAGATGGAGAGGAAATGGAGAGGTGAGAGGAGATGGAGAGGAAATAGAGAGGAAGTGGAGAGACAATGAAGAGGAAATGGAGAAAATATTAGGAAACAGAACACGGAGAGAAGAGGACAAAAAGAGGCATGGAATAAGGGCCGGCTTCCCAATTGATTACGTAAGATCCGAAACATTAACAAAAACATGGGAAACGTAACATGAGTTGGAGGTGAGAGGGGATTGACAGAAGGCCACTCGGTGCGATCGAGAGTAAGGCAGTCGCACGCACCAAGGTGTTTGCATAGTGCGGTAGCTATGACAGGAGAGAGCACTCACCAAGGCGGAAAGCAAACGGTTGGGGATGCGTGAGGTTGGAGTCAAAGACCTTGCCGTTCTTCTTGAGGCGGCCGATGTACCTCATCATGACCTGCGGTGAGGTGAGGGGTCGGGGGAGGGGGAGTTGGTGAGGGGGGTGGGGGATGAAGGTACGCAGACACGATGGTTGGGGATGAGTGAGATTGGAATCAAAGACCTTTCCATTCTTCTTCAGACGGCCAATGTACCTCATCATGACCTGCGGTGATAAGGGGATGGAGCGGGGGATACGGGTTTGTTAGTAGGAAGTTTAAGCAGGGGGAGGGGCGTGTGTTGGTTGGGATGGAGAGGTTGGAGTCAAAGACCTTGCCATTCTTATTGAGGCGACCAATGTACCTCATCATGACCTGCAGGCAGGGGATTGGGGGGTTGGGGGATGAATGGGCATGGTCGCAATGGTACAGGGTTGCGTGAGGTTGGAGTCAAAGACCTTGCCATTCTTATTGAGGCGACCAATGTACCTCATCATCACCTGAGGGGCAGGGGGGATGGGTTGGGGAACAGGATTTGGTGGTTGGGGGAAGGGGGCAGGGAATAGGCTGGACGAGTGGGGTTGGAGTCAAAAACCTTGCCGTTCTTCTGGAGTCGGCCGATGTACCTTACCTCATCATCACCTGAGGCACAAGGGATTAGGAAGGACGGGTTTGGAGGGTAGGGGTTTGGTGATGGGGGAATGACAAGGTGGGGGGTTGGGGATAGTGGAAGTGGGCGATTGAGCAAGTGGGTGGACTCTCAACTTCCACCCATCTCACCTTTTTCCCAGGTTCAGCCACTTTTCCATCGGGCTTCCCCATTTTGATCTCCTCCAACTCCATGCCTCCCAGAAACACCCTCTCGAGGTGCTTCAGAATAACCACACCACTTGAGAACATGACAGCATGCACACACCCAATCCCTTCTGTCTCACCTTTTTCCCAGGTTCAGCCACTTTTCCATCGGGCTTCCCCATTTTAATCTCCTCCACCTCCATGCCTCCCGGAAACACCCGCTTCCTCGTCTTCCCCTGCTTCTCGTCCCCTGCCCCTGGTGACTCTGCTCCTGCCCCTCCTGCTGCTGCTTGCTTTGCCTTTGCCCACGCTTCCCCCTCCTGCTTTTTCTTTTTTGCGTCCTCCTCCTGCTTCTTTTTCTTCTTCTCCTCTTCCGCTTGCTTTTTCTTTGCCTTCTCCTCCTCCTGCTTCTTCTTCTTCTCTTCCTCAGCCTTCTTTTTCTGCTCCGCCTGCTTTCCCTTAGCATCCCTGAGGAGATAAAACAGAGGAATGGAGAGGAGTAGAGACGATGGATTGATGGGAGTAGAAAGTGGGGGAAAGATAACAGGGATATGCTAGAATCACATTTGAGAATTTTGCTCAGTGGGGAAGGGTCAGTGGGGAAGGGTCAGTGGGGAAGGGTCAGTGGGAAAGGGTCAGTGGGGAAGGGTCAGTGGGGAAGGGTCAGTGATCATACTTTTGCTCGGCCACACGACTCTTCTTTCCGAGTGGTGCCACTGCTGCTTCCCCACCGTCTGCTCCCGCCTCTCCTTTCCTCTTCTCCGCCCCTGCTGCCCCTGTTGCCCCCTTCCCCTGCCCCTTCCCCTGTGCCTTCCCCTGCTCCTGCCCCTTCTCCTGCTGCTTCTTTTCCTGTGCAGCGCCCTTCTTTCCCTTGGCACTGCCAGCAGCACCACCGGCTGTAGCATCAGCAGCACCACCGGCTGTAGCAGCAGCAGCACCACCGGCTGTAGCAGCAGCAGCAGCAGCAGCATTGGGTTCCTGGACCAGGGGCTCCGCGCTGGGGAGAGCTGCTACAGCCGCTACAGCCGCCTTCCCTGCCCCCTGCTCCTCCTCCGTAATCTCTACTATGCGCACTGGAAGGGGGGAGAGGAAGGTGTGGGGAGATGGGACGGGAGAAAGAGGTAGGGAGCATGCATAGAAGAGGCGATATTTGCACCCACTCAGAAGTCACGAGAAGGGGAAGGGATGATGAGGTGGGGAGTAGACTTTTGAGTCGACTCAAAAGTCACCTCGTGGGGAGATGGGACGGGAGAAAGAGGTAGGGAGCATGCATAGAAGAGGCGATATTTGCACCCACTCAGAAGTCACGAGAAGGGGAAGGGATGATGAGGTGGGGAGTAGACTTTTGAGTCGACTCAAAAGTCACCTCGTGGGGAGATGGGACGGGAGAAAGAGGTAGGGAGCATGCATAGAAGAGGCGATATTTGCCCCACTCAGAAGTCACGAGAAGGGGAAGGGATGATGAGGTGGGGAGTAGACTTTTGAGTCGACTCAAAAGTCACCTCGTGGGGAGATGGGACGGGAGAAAGAGGTAGGGAGCATGCATAGAAGAGGCGATATTTGCACCCACTCAGAAGTCACAAGCAAGCATACCTCCCGTTTGGCTGCTGTTCGCCAGCACCACCCCCTCCTCCTCATCCTCCTCATCCTCCTCATCTTCCTCATCGTCTTCCTCATCTTCCTCATCGTCTTCCTCATCTTCCTCATCGTCTTCCTCATCTTCCTCATCGTCTTCCTCATCTTCCTCATCGTCTTCCTCATCTTCCTCATCGTCTTCCTCATCTTCCTCATCGTCTTCCTCATCTTCCTCATCGTCTTCCTCATCTTCCTCATCGTCTTCCTCATCTTCCTCATCGTCTTCCTCATCTTCCTCATCGTCTTCCTCATCTTCCTCATCGTCTTCCTCATCTTCCTCATCGTCTTCCTCATCTTCCTCATCGTCTTCCTCATCTTCCTCATCGTCTTCCTCATCTTCCTCATCGTCTTCCTCATCTTCCTCATCGTCTTCCTCATCTTCCTCATCGTCTTCCTCATCTTCCTCATCGTCTTCCTCATCTTCCTCATCGTCTTCCTCATCTTCCTCATCGTCTTCCTCATCTTCCTCATCGTCTTCCTCATCTTCCTCATCGTCTTCCTCATCTTCCTCATCGTCTTCCTCATCTTCCTCATCGTCTTCCTCATCTTCCTCATCGTCTTCCTCATCTTCCTCATCGTCTTCCTCATCTTCCTCATCGTCTTCCTCATCTTCCTCATCGTCTTCCTCATCTTCCTCATCGTCTTCCTCATCTTCCTCATCGTCTTCCTCATCTTCCTCATCGTCTTCCTCATCTTCCTCATCGTCTTCCTCATCTTCCTCATCGTCTTCCTCATCTTCCTCATCGTCTTCCTCATCTTCCTCATCGTCTTCCTCATCTTCCTCATCGTCTTCCTCATCTTCCTCATCGTCTTCCTCATCTTCCTCATCGTCTTCCTCATCTTCCTCATCGTCTTCCTCATCTTCCTCATCGTCTTCCTCATCTTCCTCATCGTCTTCCTCATCTTCCTCATCGTCTTCCTCATCTTCCTCATCGTCTTCCTCATCTTCCTCATCGTCTTCCTCATCTTCCTCATCGTCTTCCTCATCTTCCTCATCGTCTTCCTCATCTTCCTCATCGTCTTCCTCATCTTCCTCATCGTCTTCCTCATCTTCCTCATCGTCTTCCTCATCTTCCTCATCGTCTTCCTCATCTTCCTCATCGTCTTCCTCATCTTCCTCATCGTCTTCCTCATCTTCCTCATCGTCTTCCTCATCTTCCTCATCGTCTTCCTCATCTTCCTCATCGTCTTCCTCATCTTCCTCATCGTCTTCCTCATCTTCCTCATCGTCTTCCTCATCTTCCTCATCGTCTTCCTCATCTTCCTCATCGTCTTCCTCATCTTCCTCATCGTCTTCCTCATCTTCCTCATCGTCTTCCTCATCTTCCTCATCGTCTTCCTCATCTTCCTCATCGTCTTCCTCATCTTCCTCATCGTCTTCCTCATCTTCCTCATCGTCTTCCTCATCTTCCTCATCGTCTTCCTCATCTTCCTCATCGTCTTCCTCATCTTCCTCATCGTCTTCCTCATCTTCCTCATCGTCTTCCTCATCTTCCTCATCGTCTTCCTCATCTTCCTCATCGTCTTCCTCATCTTCCTCATCGTCTTCCTCATCTTCCTCATCGTCTTCCTCATCTTCCTCATCGTCTTCATCACCTTTCCCACCCTCTCTTTTGGAGAACATACCTCCGGTTTGACTGCTGTTCGCCAGCACCACGCCCTCCATCTCATCCTCGTCTTCATCCTCATCTTCCTCATCGTCTTCCTCATCCTCCTCATCATCCTCATCACTATCATCTACAAGTGCTCTCGACCAATCCCTGGCATTCAAACACAGTTGGTAAAGCAGGTAGAGGAAAAAGAAAGAAAGAAAGAAAAGAGGCAATAAAGCAATTGTATGGGAAGGGAAAGTGGCTCTTTAGTCAACTCAGAAACCAGTAATAGGCATTGTCAGAAACAACAGGTGGAAAAGCAGATGGCAGAAGGGTTTAGGGTTCTGCAGGCGACAAGTTGGCCACCATTTGTAGGAGAAAAAAATGAAGCAGAAAGAATTCATCAAAGAAAGTCAACTATCAGCGGCAGCCCTGCAAGGCAAGGTGCGCGACCTCCTCATCAGTATCCTACCCACCTTTGGAATACTATTTTCGAGACGCCTTTGAGACTGACTGCAACTTTCCTGTGATCCTAATTTGAACTTACAGCGGAAGGCCAGCAAGGCGTGCGTCTTCCCCGTCACTCTCCACCTGTTTTAATGGGCCTTCTGGAATAACTGCCACTATTCTGTAATCTAAAATTAAACTTACAGCGGAAGGCCAGCAAGGTGTGCGTCCTCCTCGTCCGTATCCACCTCCTCTCCCTCCTCCCCCTCCTCCTCGCTCTCCTCGCCCTCCTCCCCGTGCTCCTCCTCCCCCCCCATCACCCCCTCAGCCATGTAATACCCTGACAAATGCACCGAGCACTTTCCTTCTACCCCCTTCCCCTCTCCTGCTGCCCCTGCTCCTGCTGCCCCTGCTCCCTCCCCTGCCACCACCAGGCTGATCTCAAACGGCTCATCCATCATCAGATCCAACGGACAGGATTCCATGGCACCGCCCGCGGTCAGCGAGCAGATCATGATCGGACGGCCAGCATCAGCCGCAGCACCAGGAGCAGCAGCAGAGCCAGCAGAACCAGCTCCGTGGCTATGGCTCTTGCCCTTAGGCTCACAGCAGCCGTTGACGCCACAGTGACTATGGCTCTTGCTCCCAGGGCTCCCCTTCCCACCAGCAGGGCTCCCCTTTCCGCCTGCAGGAGTGCCCTTACCCCCCGGACTTGCCTTCCCCCCCGGGCTTCCCTTGCCCTTCGGTGTTCCCTCTGCTTCCCTCTCCTCCTCTTCTCCCTCCTCCCCTTCCTCTCCTTCCTCCCCCTCCTCTTCGTGCGATGCTAGCACCCTGACTTGCACGAGGACGCGTCTGTTGAGCGGACAATCAGGCCCCAGGACAGCCTGAGGGGTGCATGGGGGAAAGGGGGGGGGCGAGAGGAACGTACCAGGCAAAAGAATTAGAATTTCTGGGTGCGTTGCAAGCACCCTGATTTGCACAAGTACGCGCTTGTTATCCGGGCAATCAGGCCCGAGGACAGCCTGAGGGAGAATGGGGGGGGGGGAGAGCGGGTTGAGGGTTTAACTGATGAGGTGCGGGTGGGAGTGCCCTGACTTGCACAAGGACGCACTTGTTGAGAGGCTAATCAGGCCCGAGGACAGGCTGAGGTGTGCATAGGGGGTGGGAGAGGGTTGAGGGTTTAACTGATAAGGTGCGTGTGGGAGTGCAGTGACTCGAACCAGCACGCGTTTATTAAGGGGGCAGTCAGGGCCGAGAACAGCCTGAGGGGTGAAGGGGTGAAAGGGGTTGAGGGTTTAAGTAGATGAGGCAGGCGAGTAGGTGAGAATGCCTGGACTCGGACCAGCACGCGTTTGTTGAGGGGGCAGTCAGGCCCGAGAACAGCCTGAGGGGGAATGGGGGAGCGGGAGGGGGAGCGGGCTTAACAGGTTAAAAAGATGGGGTTTGTGTGGATGGAGTGCCTTCAATCGCACCAGCACGCGCATGTCAGGGGCACAGTGAGGCTGGAGGACAGCCTGGGGTTTAATCGAGGTTTGGGGTTTAGGTTGGATCAGAGTTTAGGTTGGGTCGAGCTTAGGCGGGGTTTGGGTTAAGGAAGGGGTCAGCCCCGAGGACAGCCTGAGTGAGGGGGTGAGTGAAAATAAGGTGAAAATGCAAATGAGCACGATTCTTGAAACGTCTTAACGAGGACGGAAGGAGAAAGAACAGCATCGGAGGAGTTATATCAAAAAGATTCAACTGAAGGACCAAGAGCATTTCAATTAGGTCGTTGGAAGAGAAAGAAAGAAAAGCAGAACCGTATGCAAATTAGTAAAGAGGGTGTGCAGCTGTTCCTGCTGGGCGGCCATTTCTTAAGCGCCTCAGAAATAAGACTTGGAGCGCAGCTGCTTCTGCTGGGCGGCGAAGGGTTCAATGGTTTTATGCAGGGGAAGCCATTTTCAGTGATTCAGGGTTTAACAGGCTCAGGGTTTAAGAGTCATAACCATTAACACGAGTGGCATTTTTCCCTTCTTCAGTCCGCCTGGTGCAGAAACCGCCTGGCGAAGATCCCACAGGGTGCAGGTTTTATCTAGGGAAAGTCTTGACTGTGATCATCCGTACATGAGAAAGGTTTTACCTGGTGACGGTTCTATCTGGGGAAAGGAAATTTCATTAGGGGAAGGTTTCACATGGGGCAGGTTATACCTGGGAGATGTGGAGCGGCCCTCCGGTACCATCTTCCGGGTCGCACACGATTGGCTCGCCCTGCTTCACCTCCACGCCTGGCGCACGTGATTGCAACGAAGGAGAGAGGGGTGAGGAAAGAAAGAAAGACGGGAGGGAGGGAAGGAAGGACGGACGATGAACAAATGATGTCGTTGGTCTAGGCCAACCACTCCTCCAGGTGGAAGAGGATGCTACGCAGCAAAGAAGTTTCTACACAACCACAGGTGCCAGGTTTCTCTGCCTGCAGCCCTTTCCTTATGGATCCCAACCGCGACCCCGGTGCTAAAGGCGATGCGCCGGTCGCTCCACATGGATCGCCGATCGCTAAAGGCGCTACGAGATTGGGTGGGCTGGTCCGTAGAGCAACAGCACGCGGGGACGCGGGGGCGGCAGAAGGGGCGGAGGAGGGGGCGGCGGAGGGGACGAGCGGAAGAAGGCATAGAGAAGGTGTGTTTCAAGTCGACTAAAAAACCATAACACACGGAAAAGAAAGAGAGGACGCGGACACGACACGAAACGCGGCGACAGCGCGCATTGCGGACAAACGAGGACGAGGCATATCCGCAAGGGAATCGAGACGAGGCTAATCGGTCGGGGCGGGCAAAGACGACTAGCCAGATCGGACTCGCTGCTTTGAGGAGTAACACCGAGTGGTGTGATCGGCGCTATGCGATACAAGGACATACCCCAGAAGAGCATGGTGCAGTGCTGTGATCTGCGCGGCTGTGCTGTACGGTGCTGTGCGGTGGTGTGGGCTGTCCGATCTGCTTTACAACCTCCGAGAGAAAAGCAGCAAGGCGAACTAGGGAAGGGAGTCTAGAATGAAGCTATCGTGCGGGCGGATAGAAGTCTAAAATGCAGCAGTGGGGTGAAGCAAGTGCACAACACCTGTGCTTCGAGAGGTTTCGGGCTTAGACGTGCCTCGCGTTGTGACGAATAGCTGGCGAAGAGCGTGCGAGTGGCGGCCGAGGAATGCGGCCTTCGCGAATGTTCTACCATGTGTCGCTTTATGGTGATGGGTTCTGGTAGTGTTTCGTTATACGCAGAATTGTTCAGATGGTTGCACATCTGATTTCGGTTCGTCTTATCGAAGATTGAAAAATGAAGCAGGACGTAAAAAATACTAGCGGAGCATCTGATGCATTATGAGCATTACTCTAGCTGATTATAAATTCATGAATAATTTTGCGCATTTCTCATGAGAGACTACGTTTGTCAGCGATGAAGGGTGATGCCTGTCATAACAGATAACAGGATCAAAGATAGCCAAACTAGATTCTCAATGCAGGTTTCTCGCACAATAATGTATTCAGCTTGTACCGAGGATTCACAGTCACAGCAGATTCGTTCGACACATTTTTGCAGCTGGTCAAATTTCTCTGGCCAAATTCCATTTCTGCAAGCTCGACTTGTTCCCCTTCTTCGCTCAGAATAACGGCTCTTTCCTTTCTGCCTGTTCTATCGTTTCCTGGCCATGGCGTCTCCGCCAATCCTGGACTGGCAGTTAGATGAAGACAGGTTCGTGGCGCTTCTAGAAAAGCTGATTAACGAGGCGCGATACCTTCAGGTGAGATGAGGTTCGCGTCTCGTCTGCGTCTCCTTATGGATTGTCGTTTTGCTGCCAGCTGGCAACGGAGGCTCCAGTGGTGTAGCGATCCTGTTGTATCATCTCTGCAAGATTCATATTGTTCTTTTATTTTCTTCTTTTTTCGGATTGCGCGGATTGCGAAGTCGCACTTCAGAGGCAATGACTTACGTTCTTTTCTACCATTCTGCACCACGCCATCCTTGTGTTCTGCCGGTTCATGATTTTTGAGGCGCTTTTTTAGGCGCCTCAAAAATCGCTTTAGAAGCAATGACTTACGTTCTTTTTAACCATTCTGCACCACGCCATCCTCGTGTTCTGCCGGTTGATGGACCGACAGCTGTTACCGCTCGACCTGGTCCCTCCTAATCGTGATTCTGGTCCTAACCCTGAATTTGGTCCTCCTTTCCACGCTTCGTTCCCGCCGCTGTCCGATGTGTGACTGTATCGAACGTCCTGCTGGCTGGCAGAACAACCCCCCCGAGTGCGTGCCTAAGGAGGACCGCGCAGTGCGACACGTGCTCGACGTGCTTCAGCCCTACAGGTAGGTGGTACTTGGTTTGAAAGCTTTATGATATTAATCCAATCTACAAGAATCGTGCAGAGCAGAAAGCAGGGGCGGCACGTTCTCGGCGTGCTGCAGCCCTACAGGGACCGTCCAGTGTGCAGGTTAAGTGTTTTGAGACGTCCAATACAGGGACACTTCTTCAAATACACTTCTTCAAATACACTTCTTCAAATACACTTCTTCAAATACACTTCTTCAAATACACTTCTTCAAATACACTTCTTCAAATACAGGGACCGTCCAGTGTGCAGGTTAAGTCACGTGCTGGACATGCTTCAGTCGTGCAGTTTCCCTTGTTTTGACAGCTTCGATACTTAGCAATTTTTATACGAGGGCCAGCACATGCTGCACATCCAGCATGTGTGCTACGTGGAAGGGCGGGGGAACCTTATAATCACCTACAAGGGCTCGCACCCCTCACTCCTCTCCTCTGTCCTCACCCCCTCAGATCTGTCACCCTCCTTGTCCTTTCCCCCTCGTCTTGAGTGCAGTGAGGAGGAAGGGGGCCCGCTGCACATACAGCATGTGAGCTACGTGGAGGGGCGGGGCAACCTCATCATCACGTACAAGGGCTCTCACCCCTCTAAGGTCCTCTCCTTCGTGGGCTGTCACATGGATGTCGTCACTGCCAACCCCGATGACTGGGTGAGCTGGTTACCCTGCTGGGGTTCGCACAAGGGCGTGCTATGCAATCTCATCATCACGCATAAGCTCGTGTTGAGGAAACCTGATCATCACGTACAAGGGCTCTCACCCCTCTAACGTTCTCTCCTTCGTGGGCTGTCACATCACACGGACTTCTTCACTGCCAACCCCGATGACTGGGTGAGCCGGTTGGGTAACTTGGTAATCCAGGGCTCGCACAACGGATTGCGAGGGTTTGTTGTGCTGTGGCTCACTCAAGGGCAACCTCATCATCACGTACAAGGGCGCGCACCCCTCTTAGGTCCTCGCCTTCGTGGGCTGCCACATGGACGTCGTCACTGCCAACCCCGACGACTGGGTGAGTTGTAACCCGTAGACTGGCGGCCACATGTGCCTCTCTCCTTGCCCCCGTGTGTGTTCTGAAGTGGGCACTAGTTTTTCTCCGGGGGGGGAAGGAGGGAGAGGGGAGGGTGGTGGTTGAGGCGCCTCAAATTGTTGATTGTTGAGGCGCCTCAAATTTCGGGGGGGGGGGGGGGGGGGGGGGGGGGAAGGGGGAGAGGGAGGAGGGGGGAGTTGAGGTAATATCCTGGCCTGCTTGGGAGGCGCTAGCTATAGTTCCCTCACCCTCATCCTCCATTGCCTTCCGCTCCTTGTGGTTCCCGTTCCTCAAGACACCATTCACCTTCTCCCGAGACAAGGAACAAGCTGCGCTCCTGAGGCACCACGGACGGACTGCCTGGGTCGCGTGGCACTCAACACGGAGCTCAGCTCCTTCCCTTACCTTCCCTCCCTTCTTCACTCCTTCCTGTTTCAACAGGACTTCGACCCCTTCACCTTCTCCCGGGACGGGGAGAAACTGCGCGGCCGAGGCACCACAGACGGACTGCCTGGGTCGCGTGGCGCTCGCCGCCACAAAGCTCTGATTCTCTTCCTCCTTCGACTTCTGCTCTTCGTGCTCCTTGTGTTCTCGTGCTCCTTGATCACACCAGGACTTCGACCCATTCACCTTCTCTCGCGATGGCGACAAGCTGCGCGGCCGTGGCACCACGGATTGCCTGGGCCACGTGGCGCTCGCTCGTCACGGCGCTCATGCGCTCTTTCGCTCCCCCATTCTCCTACGCTAGGACTTCGACCCCTTCACTTTTTCAAGAGACAGGGGATAAACTTCGAGGCCGTGGCACCACGGACTGCCTGGGCCACGTGGCACTGGTCACGGAGCTCATGTGCCAGCTCCACCTTCCCTTCCATCCCACCCACTCCCCTGCAACAGGACTTTGACCCCTTTACTTTCTCTCGGGATGGGGACAAATTGAGAGGCAGGGGCACCACGGACTGCCTGGGACACGTGGCGCTCGTCACGGAGCTCATGCGCCAGCTGGCGGTCTCCCGCCCGGAGCTGGGCGCGACAGTGGTGGCGGTGCTGATAGCCAACGAGGAGAACGCGACGGTGAAGGACATTGGAGTGGACGGTTTGGTCAAGGCAGGCTTGCTGGATCACCTCAAGGACGGCCCTCTGTGAGTTCCCCTCTCTCCCCCAGCTCCCCGCCCCAGCTTTCCACCAGCGCGCCCCCCCCCCCTCGCCTTCTTCCCTCCTCGCTCCTCTCTCCGGGCTCGTCACGGAGCTCATGCGCCAGCTGGCGGTGTGCCGCCCGGAGCTCATGCGCCAGCTGGCGGTGTGCCGCCCGGAGCTCATGCGCCAGCTGGCGGTGTGCCGCCCGGAGCTCATGCGCCCCTTCTCTTCCTCCTTCATGAGCGCCGGCTCATGCGCCAGCTGGCAGTCCGCCGCCCGGAGCTGGGCGCTACAGTGGTGGCGGTGCTGATAGCCAATGAGGAGAACGCTACCGTGAAGGACATTGGAGTGGATGGGCTCGTGAAGGCGGGGCTGCTGGACCATCTCAAGAACGGTCCCCTGTAAGCGTTCTCCCCTCGTCTCCCATCACCCTTCATCATAGTGATGTCGGCGCTGATTTTTGGTCGACTCAAGGCCCTTCATGGTGCTGATAGCCAACGAGGAGAACGCGACGGTGAAGGACATTGGAGTGGACGGGCTGGTCAAAGCTGGGCTGCTGGACCACCTCAAGAATGGGCCTCTGTAAGTTCCCCTCACCTCATCTCGCTAAAATCCCTTCATGGTGCTGATAGCCAATGAGGTGAACGCGACGGTGAAGGACATTGGAGTGGACGGGCTGGTGAAGGCGGGGCTGCTTGCCCACCTCAGGAATGGTCCTCTGTGAGTTGCTGTTTTCCCACCTCGTTTCTGAGTTGCTCGTCACAGTGGTTACAGTGCTGGACAACCTTAAGAACGGACCGCCGTGAGCCCTCGTTCCCCAACTCTCGTCCCTTGTGTTTTGAGACGTCTCAAAGCTGGATGGGCTCGTGAAGGCGGGGCTGCTAGATCACCTCAAGAATGTACCGCTCTGAGTTGCCCTCTCCCCTTCCTCCCTCCTGCTTGCTCCCTGCCTCTCATCTCCCACTGCTCTTCACTTTGTGACAGTGCTGAGTCAGCGTTGAATGGGCTGGTGGGGGCTGGGCTGCTGTTGATTCCCTCTCTTCCTGTCGTCGTCCCATCTCCCCACCGCCGTCTTCTCACCATCCTTTCTCTGCCTGTATGTGCCCTCCATGCCACGTGGCAGCTTCTGGGTGGACACAGCAGACAAGCAGCCGTGCATCGGCACGGGGGGCATGCTGGCATGGAAGCTCAAGGCGTTCGGGAAGCTCTTTCACTCGGGCCTGCCTCACAAGGTGAAGTGCCTTGTGCCTGGCACAAGGTGATCTGTTCTTTCCTATCCCTTTTGATGGGGCTTGCAGCTTAAAGGTGAAGTGCCTCGGGCTTGCCACAGGGTGATCTCCTATTTCTTTGTTTGTGTAGCCTGCCTCACAAGCAGCCGTGCATAGGCACGGGAGGCATGCTGGCATGGAAGCTCAAGGAGTTTGGCAAGCTCTTTCACTCGGGCCTGCCGCACAAGGTGAAATGTCTCGTGCTTGCAACAAGGTGATCCCGTATCTCTTCCGTTATGGGCCCAACCTCACACAAGCAGCCGTGCATCGGCACGGGCGGCATGCTGGCATGGAAGCTCAAGGCGTTCGGCAAGCTCTTTCACTCGGGCCTGCCGCACAAGGTGATTCCTTGTATGGTGTGAGTTACCTAGTTGAGCTTGCCGCACATATGAACTCACTTGTGTTCGCCCCTGTGAATTCTTTCATGCCCCCCTCTCCCTTGCAGGCAGTGAACCCCTATCAAGCTGGCTATGACAGCACTGGCGGAGATGCATGCTCACCCCTCTATGCTCCATCTCCACCGCTCTCCACACCTGTGCTGTCGGTGAACCCCATCGAGCTGGCCATGACAGCGCTAACAGAAATTCAGTCCCGCTTCTATCGGGACTTCCCCCCCCATGCCATGGAGAAGACGTATGGGTTCGCCACACCGTCCTCACTCCATTTCCATCCGTCTACACTCCTCTCTGACCACTTCGCACACCTACGCAGGCCATCAACCCCATAGAGCTCGCCATGACAGCACTGGCGGAGATTCAGTCCCGCTTCTATCGGGACTTCCCTCCTCACGAGATGGAGAAGACGTATGGGTTCGCCACCCCATCCACCATGAAGCCCACTCAGTGGTCATGTGAGTGGTGTGTGAGTGGCGTGGTGTGATGTGTGAGTGGTGTGTGAGTGGTGTGTGAGTGGTGTGTGAGTGGCGTGGTGTGATGTGATGTGTGAGTATGGTGCCACATGTGTCTCTGTGTGTGTGCACATGCATTATTAGCTTCCCCCTCCCCATGCCATGGAGGGTGTACGGGTTCGCTTCACCAGCGACAATGTAACCTACTCACTGGTCGTGTGAGTGATGTGGTATGCATGCATGAATGCATGAATGCTCGAATTCCTGAAAAAAAAGAAAACATTTGTATCCCCATCACTTAAATGCAGGCACACGAATTCATGAAAAAATATCGTCTACTCAGGCTGTAATCCCTGATCCCAAACTTTTTTTTTGTCTTTTCTGTGGCTGCACCAGATCCGGGCGGCAGTGTAAATCAAATCCCGGGAGAGTGCACGGTGGCAGGGGACTGCAGGTATGGTCGTTGGATTTTCTACTCCTCCCTGCCTCCTTTTGAGGTTCAAGGCACGGGGTTAGTAGTCCCGTCAACCACTGCCTACTTTCGAGGTTCCCTTGTCCTGCCTTTTTTGTCCTGCCCTTCATAATTGCGTTCTCTTACCCTTGACCCGTTTCCCACTCCCTCATATTCATCCATCCTCGTCACTCTGCCCTTTGTTCTGCCCGTGTCTCTCTTGACTTTCACATCTCCGCCTCCCATGCGACTTCGTGCGGTCGATGCGTGCACCCTCGTTTTGCTTGCCGACGCCAAACGACCTCAGGATAACGCCATTTTATGAGTGAGTGATCTGGTGTTATCCTTTATGAGTGTGTTGCCAAAAACGACACGCTTCTCCTTTTTGAGTTGCCTTAAGAAGTAGCCTCGACAGTATTCTTTGTATTGCCTCAAGGAACACCAGGATAACGTCATTCTACGAGTGAGCGATATCTGAGTGCCCCTGCCATTTTTGAACGCTCTAAAAGTCAACTTGCAGGATTCATGTGTGCCATGAGTTTGTTTCATGCATCTCCAATGCATTTCGTGTTTTATGCATTTGCCATAAGCCGAGGGAGTAGAAAGCAGACATATGTGCTATGATATCATGCTCTTATGGTGGTACCGAATGAGACCACACTACACCTCCCCTACAACCTCTGTACCACTCTCTACCGCTGCAGTGTGTGGACGAGGTAGCAGCAAAGCTGAAGGAGTATGTGGCAAACATAATTGCCTATCCGCACATGCTCTCGGTCCACACTTCACCCCTCTCCATGCCTTCCCACCCCTCACCACCGCAGTGTGGATGAGGTGGCGGCAAGGCAAAGCTGAGGGAGTATGTGGCAGACATAAACGCCAACCTGCTCACCACCCTCTCAGGCCCCAGGCCACCAACTCATACCACACTTTACCCCTCCCCATGCCCTCCCACCCCTCACCACCGCAGTGTGGACGAAGTGGCAGCAAAGCTGAGGGAGTATGTGGCAGACATAAATGTCAACTCTTCCCACCCCACTTTCTCCCATGCTCCACTCTCCTCCGTACCACTCTCAACTGCTGCAGTGTGGATGAGGTGGCGACAAAGCTGAGGGAGTACGTGGCAGACATAAACGCCAACCTGGCCACGCTCTCAGGCCCCGGGCCGTGCTCAAAATTCGTTCTGCCTGAAGAAAATTTGCAGGGCAGGTGAGTACGGGCTCGTGACTCTTTCGAATGAGGATTATTACTATCTGGAGAAGGAGAAGAGAACAGAGAGAGGAAGGGAGGAAGCTGAGTGTTTGGGCCGGAGAGTGTGACAGGAAGGAAGCCAGTTGGTGGGAGGGAATGTATTAGCAGGGAGAATGAGTGAGCGGTGAAGCTTCAATGTACACGTGCCTCTCTTTTTGCCCTCTTTACTTCGCACTCATTTCCTTTCCTTTCCCTCACTATCCCGTGAGCCAACCCGTTCCCCCAACCTCCACTTCAGGCTTGAGCTGGAGGTAGCAGAGGGGCTATTGAAGGGAGTAGCATAACCTGACCCCTCTGCATTCCCTACCTCCCTCTCCCACAAGCCAACCGCATCCCCCCACCTCAACCCCGCACCTCCTCCCCCCACCCGAACACCCCACTGCGTCCCCCCACCTTTATCTCCCGCAAGGCTTGAGCTGGAGATAGCAGAGGCGCCTATGAAGGGAGTGGCGTGCAACCTGGACTCGCCTGGTTACCACGCGCTGGTAACCGCCACGAAGGAGGTGATGGGCGAGTGCAAGCCGTACTCCATCACGGGATCCCTGCCGTTGATTCGCGATCTGCAGGAGGCAGGATTCGATGTGCAGACCATGGGATATGGTGAGATTTGCTTTTGAAATTTATTTTACTATTATCATTATTATTATTAGTATCAAAATCACCGTCGTCGTCGTCGTCGTCGTCGTCGTCGTCGTCATCATCATCATCATCATCATCATCATCATCATCATCATCATCATCATCATCATCATCATCGTCATCATCATCATCATCATCGTCATCCTCATCATCGTCATCGTCATCATCATCATCGTCATCGTCATCATCGTCGTCGTCGTCGTCGTCGTCGTCGTCGTCGTCGTCGTCGTCGTCGTCGTCATCATCATTTTCTTGGCGCTTGGTGATACCACATCTGTTTCGGAGCATCTGACATGGCGAGAGATTGGGATGTGGTGAGAATAGAGGGTGGGTTTAGTTGATGCCTTTCCCATGTGATGGTGAGAGCGTGGGATGTGGTGAGAGCATGTAGGATGTCAGGTTTTGCCTTTTCCCAACTCACTTTTGGTATCCTGTGCTGGTCGCTTTTTTTTTTCTCTTTCCTTTGTAGGAGTAGGAGCTGTGTGGTGCAGCCTTTTTTGCACCCACTTTCTTTCCCCATTTTTGTGGCAGGTGTTATGGCCACTTATCATGCGCGAAACGAGTATGCGCTGCTATCTGACTTCAAGCTTGGGTACCGCGTCCTTACCAACCTTATACACCGCCTCTCATAAGCCAGCTGGATGGACAGAACAGGTTGTACAGGTGTTCTTATGTTTTTCCTCCTGTTTACTACCTAAGATGCGCATGGAGGGCTGTTGTGGCTGGAGGAAAAAATCATATCACAAAAGTGATGTCTTGGAATTAACAGGTGATATGCAACATTACAAAGGTACAGAATTTATATTTATCGAGAATTACTGTTATTGTGTTATGTACAGTTCATTGTCAAGGCACCCGCAAATAGCACCCATGTTCGTTGATTCCGATACGCTCAACGGAATACAGCGATGCAAATGGTGCCGCCTGGTCCCAACAACCATGGACTCCCTTGCAACCACAAATTGTCGTGAGGCGAAACTTGTGCGGCCCCGACTAGACACGTTACCGCGTTCACGCGAGTATTTGCGAAACGCGTGCGAGAACGCGGAGAATATCTAGGAGCAATCCCAACACCCAAGCTCATACAGGATTCCCATACAAGACAATATCTAGGTCACATGACGATTGCTTGATAGCATACCATATGCCTAGGGCTAAGGTAATGCCGACAGGACGTTGTGCGCTTACTTGACGTTTCTTAGAATGCAGCGATAGCAAGCCTTCTGTGCAAATAATGGAGCTCCAGCCGACTAGGTTAGGCAGGAATAGATGCAGGACAAGAATACGCGTTCTGGCATTTATAAAAGGTTAAGTTACGTTGTTAGCCAAAGGGTCGAGAGCCAGCCATGGCTGAGCCCGAGGAGTTTTTAATTTATTACGCCGCTATAGTATACCGCGGTACAATTCTCTATGCGCACAGCAGCTTCCCCGGGGACTGCACCTCCATTATCGTGGAAGCTATGCGACAATTGCCTGATAACGTTTCCCGCTATTCCCAGGTAGGCCTTTCTTAAAAGGATTTTCTCATGTAGGCTATCTTCAGACATTGCATCTGCTCGGGTGGATGACGGGCTTAACACGTTTATAAGTCATCTTACGAGCTTCAACGTCCCTCTTGACGAGCGTTTTTTGGCCTTAACCCTAACGCAGCCACAGTACTTCCAGTCGCTTATTCAGCACTGTCTGTCCCGCTGACATCTGGACAACCTTATGATGAACCAAGTCATAGCTCCTGCAAAAAAGTAGCTCGCATACAAGCTACTTGGGTACCCTTTCTCCCAAACAACAATGAAGTCGTTACGAACGTTCGTGTCTGCTTATAACGGCTCTATTGTACCAGCCAAGTTGTGCTCTTAAGGTGGTCGTGGAGAGGAAGGATGCTTCTCGTCATCCCGCTCCGATACCTTCGCCTTTGTCAGCTTCCTCGTCTGTTGCGTATCAGGTTTATGTTTTTTCCACTCCCCCAGGTCCTTGCACTCGTCACAACCAGTGCTGTGCTGTGCATTGCCACGATAAAACTAAGCTCGGATCCATTGTGCGAGACACGGCCATCTACCCTCTTTTTCGAGTTGATTCAAAGCCATCCCTCTCAATCCGTGCTGCGCTGTGCTCTGCTCTGCTGTATTGTGCTGTGGTCTGCTGTGCTGTGCTGCGCCGTGCTGTGCAGAGCTACGATGGAACCATGCTCGCATTCCTTGTGCGAGGCGAAGTCGTCTACACCCTCGGCGGCCACGAAGCACTGGACAAAGTCCGCGCTTATAAGTTTCTGGAGCAGGTACGCCGTCACAATGTGGACAACACTGGAGCAGGTACGCGCTACAATATGGAGTAGGTACGTGCTACAATATGGAGCAGGTACGCGCTACAATATGGAGCAGGTACGCGCTACAATATGGAGTAGGTACGCGCTACAATATGGAGCAGGTACGCGCTACATTATGGAGCTGGTACGCGCTACAATATGGAGCAGGTACGCACTACATTATGGAGCAGGTACGCGCTACAATATGGAGCAGGTGTGCGTTACAACATGGAGCAGGTACGTGCTACAATATGGAGCAGGTGTGCGTTACAAGGTGTTACACAGCTGCCCTGTCTGTCTCCAGCACTACCGCACTGCTCTCTGTCCTGAAGCAGCCTTGTTGATTTGACTAGTCCCTGCTGATGCTACTCTTCTCCTGTGCAACAAACACAGCGTGTTCTGCTTGTCTCCATCTTCCTACTCCCCTGTTCTCAACATCATTCCAGCTCAATTCCATGCACGTGCTGGCAGCAACCAATGTCAAAGGACGTAAATATCCGCGTCAATTCTGAAGTCTGACAACATTTCCTCCTTTCTTCTACTCCCCTGCTTCTCATTTTCATATATTCCAGCTCCATTCTATCCACGTTCTGGCAGCAACCAAGGACGGGGAATCCTGTACCGACCTGCTCACCTCCCCGTACAATCACGCCCTTCATAAGCTCAGCTCGCATATAGGCGGGCTCATAGCTAGTGTGCGCGGAAAAATACCCCCACGTGAGCCCCTGACTGTCTACCCGGATGCTCCCAAGGCCTACCTGACCTGCCGCTCCAAAGACGAGCTTCTGGCCAAGTCCCCCTTGCACCCACGAGCCACTGCTACAGCCACTGGTACTGCCACGCCTTCTGTTTCTGCCGCCGCTGCAGCTGCTACAACCAAGGCCGCGCCCTCTGTCACATCTGTGACAGCTGAATCGAGCTTGTTTACCGCGGTTGATTCTATGGATTCACCGGAAGGCAGGAGGGCGAGTGGAGGGAGGTCCAGGTTACAGCTGGTGTTGGCGGATCTAAGTGGTGGTGACGGGGAAGAAGAGGGGGGCATGGGGCTGGGCGTTGAGAGGAGCATGGGGTTAGGTCTAGAGAGTGAGGACAGCGCTGTGAAGGTGGAGGTAGCTGATAGCAGCAGCGGTTGCGATGAAGATGAGGAGGAGGATGAGGAGGAGGGTGAGGAGGAAGAGGAGGATTTTGTGTGGAATCCCAAGCAGCAACAGCAACAGCAACGGGGACCGTACTTGGACTGCTCGTCACTGCAGGAACAACATAAGGAGCAGCAGCAGGAGCAGCAGGAGCAGGAGGAGCGGCAAGAGCAGGAGAAGAACCCTCTGAGCGATGCTGGAGATTCACCCATGATCAGCCCTCGGCCTGAATGGGCGCGTCAACTGGCCTTGCTGCGAAACTGCAGCAGCGAAGCCACAGATACAGGCCGCACAGCACAGAACCAAGAGAAGGGGACGGCCACACGCACAAGCAACAAAGCGAAGCGTCCTTTCAAGGAGGAAAGGGTGCCGAAAGGGGACACGAGTAGGCAAGGACAGGGCCGGAAGGGTGCTGGGAAGGGATTGGATGGAGGGAGAAGAGACCGAAGCTGCAATGGGACTGTTGGGGGTTCAGGTTTGGAGTCAAGGCGCATGGGAGTAAGAGGCAGGTCTGCTAGTAGTGGGGGGTCTGGAGGAGCGTGGTCCGGTTTTGATGAGGATTTGTCAGGCGACGGTCTGTCAGGTAGGGCTGGCTCGTTCTCGAGCCTGTCTCCTGCTCGTCTGGTTACTGCAGCCGGAGCAGCAGGAGGAGCAGGGGTAGCAAGGGCAGCCGGAGCAGCCAGAGCAGCTGGGGCAGCAGGGGCAGCAGGGGTAGTAGGGACTGCATTGGCAGCAGGAGGAAGAGGCAAGGCTCCTGTTGTCGCTTATGGACACTGTAGGTCCTTGTCGTTTGGAGGAAGCAGCAACGCGCGCATGCAGGCTGATGTTTGCAGCGGTGACGAGGATGACTATACAGAGGACAGTTTGGATGAGGAGGATCAGGTGGACAAGAGACGTGGTGGTTATAACGAGGTTTACCATAGCAGAGGTTCTACTGGTGCTGGTGCTGCTAGTGCTGCTGGTGCTGATGGTGCTGGTGGTTATGTTGGTCTTGGTGGAAATAGGAATGAGGAGAAGAAGAAGGTGTTTGTTTCAGGAGGGAGAAGAATCAGAGAGGGTAGCAACTCTGGGCGACGGCAAGATGCCGAGTTGGGCTTTTCTGAAAGGCGTGTAGTAGGAGCGTCCTTGTCCCTGCCTCACGAAGAAACACGTTTCACTCACTCACCTGCACCTGACACTCATTTCCTGCGGCAGCAACACACGGCGCGTGTGGCAGCGTCCTTTTCCCTCCCTCGCATCGACACCCGCTTCTCACAGTCAGATGCAGACTCAGCTCCAGAAAATGCAGCAGCAGAGGTAGAAACAGAAACAGAGGCAGAGGCAGAGGCAGGATCAGACGCAGCAGCAGAGATAGAAGTGGCAGGGGTGGAGACAGATTCTGGTTCGGATTCCTACTCAGGTGCAGCGTGGAAGGCACAGAAGGTGGGGCACCAGGCTGGGCGCGTTAGACGGGCAACCACTGCGTCAGGCCAGCAGAAGCTGCCTTTAGGCCGCGTTATGCAGACCAAAACCGGCACTAGGGTTGCTACTAGGAGCCTTACGGATTCTAGGAACGGCGCTGGGACTGGGGCTAGGGATGGGGGTGGTACTAGAAGTGGGGCTGTCACTAGGAGCGGTAGTGCTGGAAACGGCACCAAATCTGGTGGTAGAAGTGGCAGGGAGTTTGATGATAGGAGTGGCATTGCTGGGCCTCGTGCTGGGGCTAATAGTAGCACTGCGTTGACCCGAGGGCGCATAGGAAAGTCGCTTTCTCAGGACTACACGATGCAGGTTTTCCCGAGGGAGGAGGTTTCAAGTGGGCAGGGGCAGAGGGCGCCTGGCGGTTCAAGGGGCGTGAGTGGAGGTGTGTCACACTCGCCGCTTGGTGAGGGAAGAAGGTTTGGTGATGCTCCTTCCAGCCAGGCATGGGATTCGGAGGTTGCGAGCAGGTTAGCAGCTGTGGGGGCTCGTGTTCTGGCAGGGGGTGGGAGAGGAGTAGGGGGAGGAGGGGTTGGGGGAGGAGCGGCAGGGGGAGGAGTGGTCAAGGGAGGAGGAGGAGCAGGAGTAAGGGCGGGCTTAGTAGGGGCAGGGTTAGTAAGTGCAGAAGCAGGGTTCTCGAGGGGCGGTTCGGGGGACGATCTGTTTGACGATATCTCAGAAGGCGACGAGGACGACTCCGATGCGTTTGAGTGGCGCCCGTCTCGTCGCCGCACTCGCATGCTGCGTGGCGTGGCCCGTTCCACGTCAGCAGTGACTTCTCCCACGTCAGCAATGGGCTGGACAGGCTGGCGAGATCCGAGTCAGCAGCAGCGGCAGCAGCAGCAGCAGACGGTGCAGGCTCAGACACATAAGACCCGCCAGAAGCACTCCCGGGGCGAGGGATCTAAGGAGAGGCCGCACTCAGCAGGGGCAGGTAGAGAGAGCTATGGGGCGAGAGGTTCGGCAGAACTATCTTGGTCAGTAAGCACTGCAGGAGCAGCAGGAGCAGCAGGAGCAGCAGGGGCAGCAGGAGCAGCAGGGGCAGCAGGAACAGCAGGATCAGGGAGCAGAAGACCGAGTTCGGCTTCTTCTGTTGACAGGGAAAGGGGGAAGGGAGGCAGGAGGAGAGAGGAGAGAAGCGGGGCTTCTACTGCTGCTGCTGGTGCGGCTGGTAGAACCGCTGTTCCTGTGTCGGTGTCGCTGGGTGTGACGGGCACGTCGTTTTCTCCCGGGGGTGGTTTGGATTCAACTTTTGGGGGTGACGGCATCTTGGGTGGGGTGTTTCCTCGTCACAGCAGCGTGGGTTCTGCTGGCAGGCGTGATAGTGGTGACGGTGGCGGGCATGGTGGCAGTGGTGAGGGTGGGAGGTATGGTAGTGGCGATGGTGGGAGCAAAGAGGCAAGAGGGGACAGGCGTAGGGGCAGTGGAACAGGAGCAGAAGCAGGAGCAGGAGCAGGAGGAGAAAGTGCTGGAGGACGAGGGGGGGTAGGGGAGGAATGGGAAGATGAAGGGGCTTGGGAATGGGGTACGGTTAGATATGAAAAGGGAGGAGGAGGAAGAGGACGAGACGTGGATGAAGCTGAGAGGTTAATTTCCCCTTCTCCTCCCTCAGCTAGAAGACCAATGGCAAGGAGGACAAGAACAGGAGTGTCACACAGTGCAGAGTTCATTTCACTTCGACACGTTAGGGGGCTGTTGCACACAGGCAGCAGTGGGGGCGGCAGCAATGAGTTGACGTTTGAGTTGGCTCAGAAGTCCCCTAGGCAAATGCGAAAGCTGCTGCATACGGGCAGCAGTGCGGACAGCAGGGGCGGCAGCAGAGGTGAGCCTATTTTGGACGCCACCAGTGCTGGTCAAGGAAGCAGCAGAAGCAGCAGCAGCAGCCGAAGCAGCAGCAAGCATGGCACAGTAGCATCTGCAGGTAGTTCCCGAAGGGGGCATAGGGAAGGCAGGAGAAGAGGAGGGAGCGCTTCTATGGTGGATATCGGGGAAAAGGACTCCGGACTTGCTCAGTTAGACTCTCGACACACCTCTCGACCATTCCCCACCTCTCGACCAGCAGCATCAGCAGAGTCACCAGTAGCAGCAGCGTCGCCAGCAGTTGCAGCTCTCTTCTCCTCTGCCCGACGCCCCCACCCGCCCTTCAGCCCGCGCACCGCTCCCACCTCCCCCGCCTCCCGCTCCTTCCTAGTCTCCCCCCGCTATTCCCGAGGCCGCAGCTTCGGGTTCGGCCGATCTTCCAGCACGCGGCAACCGGAGCTTGAGGAGCAGGCACTAGCAGCCAAAAATGCCCAGTTGGCCACGTTCAGCCGATGCGTGAGCACAGGTCATTGGGAAGGGGAGGCGAGGGGGAAGAGCATTGGGAGGAGTGAGAGCGAGAGTGAGAGTGGGGAAGAGTCGCAATGGGACAGGGGCAGGAGCGGGGGCGGTAGTGGGGGCATTGGAGGGAGCGGGAGCAGGAGCTCAGGCGGGGGCAGGGGCAGGCACGGAAGCAGAGAGAAAAGGCATTCTCGTGAGGTAAAGCCACCTGGTGGTGGGTCTAATTGGGCTGTAGACGGGTCTAGCAGCGGCCGAGGTGATGGCTTGGCCGATGGTTACACCGATACCACCAGTGGTTACGCAGACGGCACAGGCGGTTACCACCACGCACACGAACCCTCCGTCTTCTCCCCTGTAGCAGAGGACGAGGGCCAGGAGCATCTCTCCTCCTCCACACTCTCCTCCTCCGCGTCCTCCTCTGCAGCCTCCCTCTTTCTCCGCTCGATGAGCTCTGGTAGGGCCGAGGACTTGTTACTCCAGCAGTTTCACCGCCATCTCTCCCCTGAGGTTCGCCCTGGCACTGCCGGTGGTGTCTGGGGCAGCAGAAATCGCCACACAGGCGACGATTCGGGCCGCGGAAATCGGAGCTCCGGGGATTGGGGTGGCAGTAATGGTGGGAGCGGATTCACAGGGAAGGGAAAGGATGGGGTGGAGGGACGAGTGGGAGGTGGGCGCAGAGAGGAGTTGGGGCGAGGAGGGGGTGGTGCGATAGGGGGCGCAGAAGCAGCAGCAGCAGGGCTACGAGGGGCTTTTGTGACTGGGAGAGCACGCAGCAGCAGCTTCAGTGGCGCTGCTGGCGGGTTTGCGGGCAAAGGAGGAGGCGGATGGGGCGGGGAAGACGACGAGGGAAGCACACCTGGGGGAGGTACACCTGCGGGAGGAACACCCAGGGGAGGCGGATATGGCAGTGGGACGAGCAGCGGCGCAGAAAGCACTGGGTCTCTGATAGAAAGAGGTGGCGGTGGTGCCAGTAGTGGAAGAAGGAGAAGTGGGGGTATGGGGAGCGGGGATGGGGGGGAGGGCAGTGGGGGGCCAAGGCTGACAGAGGCTCAGAAGCAGCGGTGGCAGGAGTATCAGCAGCTGCTGCCGCCGCTGACGCTGCCGCCTGTGCTGGAACGCAGGCTGAAAATGCAGGAGGCGGTTCTGAAGAGGCAGGAGGCGTTGCTGCTGGAAGAGCTGCAGCAGCAGAAGGCACTGCAGGAGCAGAAGAGAGCTGAGGAGCAGCGGAAGCAGGTGGAGGAGGAAACTCAGCAGCAGCAACAGCAGCAGAAGCAGCAGCAGCAGATGGAAGAGCACGAGGTTAGAGGGAAGCAAGAAGCGGATCTTGTTCCGCAGCAGAAAGAGGTGGGGGATACCCTGTCGGAGGCGCAGCAGAAACAAGGAGAACCACAAGTAAAGGGACAACCGAATTTGCCAGGGCAGCAACAGGAAAAGCGCGAGAAGCAGCAGCTACAGCTGCCACTACAGCAGCCGCTGCAGCCCCATCCGCCCCAGAAACCAAGGCTGGAGCCACAACCCCCCCAGCAGCCCAGGAAGGATCGTGACCGTCCGTTTGTGCGGCAGCGGATCTGCCACTCGGACGAGTTCATCCGGCTGCCAGCTGGCATGACCGCCCGCGGAGGTGGCAGCCTCGTTGGCTTGTCCACGCGGGCGCACTGCCTGGCTGCTGCTGCCACGTCAGCAGAGTCACCAGCGGGCGGCAGACTGAGCATGGGAGACGGAGAAGGAGGAGGAGGAGGGGAAGGCGACGGGTCAGGAGGAGGGGGGCGAGTGGGAGGAGGAGGAGGGGACAATGGAGGATGGGGCAGAGGAAGGGGAGGAGGGGAAAATGGAGGAGGGGGACGAGTGGGAGGAGGGGGAGGAAGAGGCAGGGGACGAGGGGGGGGATGGTCAAGGGAGATCCCTTTATCTCTGTCCGTATCAGGCATTCCCACACCAGGGCTAGATGCACAGTCAGACGCAATGACAGATGTTGTGACGCCCTTACAGTCTCCCATCTGCACGCCCCCTCCGTATGCCCGCTCTCTTGTGTACGGTCGTTCTCCCCGCACGGCATTTGACCGCTATCGCATCCGCAGCCTGGGAGCCATTCCCCCGGGGGGCCTTGTGGCTGGGTCCATCGTCGTAGGGGGGACGATGGGAGGGGGAGGTGGAGCAGCTGTTCCTGCGTCTGCTGCTGCTGGTGGCAGTGCTGATAATGCTGGTGCTAGTGCCACCTCCGCTGCTGCTGCTGCCCATGCTGATGCCACTGCTGGTGGTAATGGGGATTCTGCCGCCAATACTGGCGCTGCTGCAGGGGAAAGCGGTGGGGGGGAACAGGGAGGCGGGGCGAGCAGGTTGCGGGGGTCAGTGGGACTCACAGCGCCCTCAGGTCTCACCTGGGATGAGGAAATCTCCCGGAAGCTGGCTCTGCGGGGGGTGCAGGTGCGGCCGACCAGCAGCAGCGTTTCAACTGCAAGCCCCTCGTCGTCTGCTGCTGCTCACCAGCAGTCTACGAGTCTCTTGACGCAAGAAGGAGCTGATTTCGCCGCTGCAGCAGGAGCAGCAGCAGAAACAGCAGAAGAACCAGCAGCAGCCGCAGGTGCAGGTGCAGGTGCATGTGATGGTGGTGAGCGCACGGGTGCGCGGCTTTCTGTCTCTGACTGGGTCCGCTCCTCTTCCACCTCCTCATCAACTCCTGTCAAAGCATCTGGTGCTGAAGCAGCAGCAGCAGGAGGGGCAGCAGAAGGGGCGGCGGGAGTTCCAGGTGTCATCTCAGGTGGGGACTCAGATGACAGTATGGGCGGGGGTGCAGGGTGGTTGGAAGGGAAGGAACGAGGCAGCAGCCTGTTCTTCTCTGTTCCCGCTGCCCCGAATTCCCGTACAGCTACAGGTGTAGCGGCAGGTGGGGCAGGTGGGGCAGCAGGGAGAGGTGGGGACAGAAGCCCCTCTGCAGCCAATGCTAATGCTGCTCGTGCTGCTTCTACTGCTGCCTCTCCAGGTCCAAAGCTTGTGCTTGATTCAGCAGCAGGCTCTTTTAAGCCCCTTCCCAGGCACATATCAACCCCATCACCACCACCGTCGCCACCACCATCTGGCACAGCAGCATTAGCAGGGTTATCACCTGGAAGGTCCCTCCACCATTCCCCAAGGTCACCTACCCCAGTTATCACCTACCCCGATTTCACCGAGCTCACTCTCGACCTATCAGAGACCATCCCCCTCACCCCCTCCCGCTCTGCCAAGGGATTCTCGCTGCCCGCCTCGCCTGCTGCTGTCGCCTTTGCTGCTGCCGTGGCTGAAGTCGACGCGTCCGGATTCGCTGTACCGGAGCAGATGCTACGAGCAGAGAAGGGGGGGAATGAGCTGGGGTCGGAGAAGGGTGGAACAGGGGGGTCGCTTGCGTCGTGGCGCTCGGGGAGTGGCGCTAGCAGCGGGAGCGTCAGCCGGGGCAAGGCAACGAAGAAGGTGAGGTTCTTTTATTTGCAGTGCTACTATCTTCTCCATTAAAGCAACTGCACTGTGTACAGTGTAAATGCTTTGCCCTATGTTTTTGTCATTGAGTTTTGGTGGGTGTGTGCCTCCCACCCTGTGTTTCACAGCTCAACCTAATGTACATGTGCTTGCCCTTGCTGGAATGTGTGTGGCTCTATGCATGTGCCTGAATACATGTGCCTCTAATGCAGGAGCTTCCTACATGCTGTGTTATCAGTTAATTCCTTCAGTGCTGGCTGCATCCTTAGTCAGTCAGTGTCTCGCTTCAAGGCCTGCATTCAAGAGATTTCACAAGGTAACTGCTGCATACTTGGCCGTGTTATTCATCTACTGTAGCTTTCCAGAACGTACCTGTCTAGGTGGCATCCATTGGCAGTTTTTAGTTATCTCTGTAGCCCCCTGTCAACGTATATTCTTAGAACTGCCATGTAGTGCGCGCATACAGATCTCTGATGCTGCGGATCTCTGATACCCCAGGTATGCCATTGTATCGAAGGAATAGGGTTACAGTAAGTAATGTGTATGATGGTTCAAATAGTAAACCTGTTAGCTCTGGCCAAGTTCAACCCACCACTGATGAATATAAGCACAATGGAATTACCAGCACGAAATCGAAGCTAGCCCTCTTTCATACAGATTACATGTATACATCATTCACATACCAGCAGAAACCCCCAGTAGAGACCTCACATTGCATGTCACCTACCAGCTTGTCACGTAAGAGCAATGTGAAATCTCTCCCTCCAGCAAAAGGAACTAAATTGGGTCTAATTTGGTGTAAGCAGCAGCGGTTCCAGCAGCATTTGACTGTAGAGCATATCCATCCACGAATCGGGAAGCCCAGGAAGACACCAGTGCGTACAATCACCCTTATCGGGGGTCTTGAACGCTGCCGAAACGTCTGGCTGGATTTGATTCCACATGCCGAGATGAGCCTCTGGCCTCGTCTCACTCATCCTCGTTACACGCACAAAGCGGAACAACGACCCGCGCAGAGCGTTCTTCTGAGACTTGTAATAATCCTCAGCTACAGTCAGGTTACTGTACTCATCCATCGCCTCATCCCACTGCATCGGTCTTGTCGCGCCGCAAGAACCCTCCCCGGGATCAGTTGGCTGAACTGGGCCGTGCTTGGGCGAGTAGCTCAGGAAATAGGGCATTCCGGGGTATTCAATTCGATCGAGGAAATTCGCCCAGGATTTTACGGCGTACCACTGCGCGTTGACGTTGCTGATGTTCGCGGGAGCGCCCTGAATGTAATACTGGTCGGGCTGCTTCGGACTGCCCGGATAATTTTGCGACCACCACACACCAGTCGAAAACACGACCACGTCGTAATACGCAACGAGGTACTGAACGACCGGGTCGATTGTCGTGATGTTAACCTTGTAACCAGGCGTGCCCGTCTGGTTGGCGAGGGGCTTTCGCCTCTCAGCTTGCGTGAGGTAGGGCGAGAAGTAGAAGTGCAGAGAAAAGTCGATCGTCGGGAAATCAACGCCTCTCAGACCTTTGGGCGCACTGTCGTCGTCAAACGGCTGTTGGTTGGAATAGGGATGGGGAATGGATGGTGGAAAAGGCAGTTGAGAGCATGCACCGGAGAGCAGGTCAAATACAGGCTGTCAGGATTGTTTCATGCAAGACGCTCGAGCGAACTGTTTTGATATGCAAATGCATAGTAACTTCAGTATTGCTTTCTCACCCGGCGCGTCCTTTCATCCTCCCCGATCTCACCTTTCCCTTGTTGTCGGCCGAGCTGATGAGGCAGAGCAGCGACTGATACGCGTTGTTCGTTATGGAGTCCCCCACCATAAGCATCCTCTGGAATGGTCCACATGACAACCCCAAAAACAAAACAAAGAATCATAGCATAAGCAATTGGAATTGAACGGACAACATACCAGAGAAAGTAGCAACTCACATGCTGCCGTAAGCTACACACGCATTCCGTTACACACGCACCTTTCCCTTCATGAGGAATCCCCAATCCTCCGCGGTAACATAACTGAGGTCGCAACCTTCCGGCTGCCAGCGCAGCTGCTGATACAGCTGGTCGGGGCGGTTGTTGGTTTCGCAGTTGAAGCCGCTGCGAATGTACTTGCAGTAGTTGGGCTCCCAACCTATGCCCGAGTATCGCTTCGGCTGATTCACCGCCTTCACCCATTTCCCCACCGAGTAGTCGCACTTCGCTGCGCAGGGAAATCAATGGGTAGACCAGGAATGAGGAATGCACTGTTAGGTTCGATTCCGGCTTTTTCCTATGTTTAGGAATAGCCTCATTGGTCATCCTGTTTTGTGCGTACGGCAACGGATGTATGCTGTCGGCTTACCAGGGCGAGGGTCGGGTGCGGGATCCGCGAAGGCTTGTAGCGCGAACAAGAGAGCGAAGGCAGCAGCTAAGACTGCTGTTTTGTGCGTCGCCATGGCTGCGGTTTAATAAACGAGCGAGGCTTCAGCTCAGCAACAACTAACTTCGAAGGCAGCCAGCTATGACGGCTAATGGGAAACTATGAAGGTGCTGACTCGAAGGTGTTGTAACCTCCGATACGAGCGATGGTAATCTATACGAAGGCGCTCAGTTGTTGGAAGAAATGATCGAACTATGGTGGTGATTGCTTTCAGAAACGCGAATGAGGTGACTGAAAGGTGGTTGTGTTGTTGTGATGGAGTGGTCTGGTGGAGGTGGCCTGTCCTGCTCCCAACAAATTGTCCTTGCTTCCGCTTTCGCTCCGCCTCGCAGCAATTTTGCAAATGTTGGGTTGTGTTGCGTTCGCCCTCAATTCTGCCTGCATTCAAGGACTGCAAGGAACAAGGAAAACCAAGCCGCTGAACCTACAATAACGAAATTGGGAACCGACAACCCAATAGCGAGCGCGGTTCGGGCTGTGTCGAGTCGTCGGATTGGTTTGCGACCAGAGTGGAAGTGCCGAAGCTTTTGTAACTGGTCGTGAGATACTTCGGAGGATTCGCTGAGCCCTGGAACCCTTGACTGAAGTGCGATTCCGAAACCGCTTTGGCATGGGCGGTTCGGGCTACTTGCCACTAAGCAGTGGCATGCGACACCATTGATTGCAGCTCACGAACCGAACCAATCAAACGACGATTTGTACAGCTCTCGTTACCTTCACATTGTTTCTGTAATACAGCAACCAACCAAGAAGTTTGTTTTAATAACCATATCTTTAGCTACACCAGTCTTACATTGGTGCCAAGATCCTGGCCCAGCACATAATTCTGCAACCAAACATTACAGCGATCTTGCAAAATTCATGTGGTCGGCCAGTATTGCCCTATTTATGCTTGAAAGGGATATGAAAAAACTTGGGGTACATTCCTGTCTGGACATTTGTGTCACAAAGACAAGGTACCACTCTGTACCGAACTGAACTGAGGTTCGAAATGTTTCAACAAGGCGGTTTGACAGTACAGAGCGGTACCCTTTTTTGTGACACAAATGTGCAAACAGGAATGTACCCTTATTAGCATTTAAAACCTCCCATGAAGAAATAGGGACAGATGAAAGAAAGAGGTGGCTGCATCAATCGGTTTAGACAGAGCTATGAATTTCATCACTTCAATATTAATCAGGAGGCAAATGATGACAAACGAAACACCAAATGACATGCAACTCCCAACTATGGTAAGAACAAACCAGAACCCTTAACTGAATTCCGGGTGCTCTTCACCCGGCAGAGGAGCAAACCCATCCTTGATCCCTTGCAAGATGCCAGAAACCTCCCCCAAGTCAGCCTGAACCTGGCTTTCAAAGTCCCCCTTGCCGAACGTCAGATAGTACCGCAGCTCGCATGCGTACGCCAGGTGGTGATAGCACGCGTTCTCGTACTTATCGGGGCGAATCTCAAGCACTGTAGCGTTGGCTGGCATGAAGACCATGTTGGCCATGGCTGCCCCGTGGGCCGCTACGAACAGCCGGGCCCGCCGGAAGAGTTTTTGTGCTGGAAAATTGAGGGGGGGGGGCGGGGGGGAAAGGGAGGGAGGGAGGAGGGCTGGCATGAAGACCATGTTGGCCATGGCTGCCCCGTGGGCCGCCACAAAGAGGCGAGCCCGCCGGAAGAGTATTTGCTTTTGAGGCGCCTCAAAAGCCGTTGCTCCATGGAGCACACTCGCACTCACCCTGGAGGATAGGCAGCGACCCATCAAACACCTGCACGCGCGTGTGGCCGAATATCCTCTTTATAAACTCCAGCAGCTCGTCAAACTTCTTCAGAGTCCCCCCCTCTCTTTGCTCCCAGGCAGCACACCCGCTCGCACTCACCCTGAAGAATAGGCAGCGACCTATCAAACACTTGCACGCGCGTGTGGCCGAATATTCAATCTCGACTCGAGAACCGAATAACGTTCATTTCCAGCCAGCACACACACACACTCACCCTGGAGGATGGGCAGCGACCCATCAAACACTTGCACGCGCGTGTGGCCGAATATCCTCTTTATAGACTCCAGCAGCTCGTCAAACTTCGCCAGAGCCCTCTTGACGCCCGGGCGGCGGGCGACCACGACGAGCCAATCAGGCGGCACCACGGAGGCGGTTTTGGAATCGAGTGCGCTGACGTGGCGCACGTCCCATTGGTTGCCGCGGAAGACTGGCAGGCCTTTGGGCGGCAGGAGGAAGCGGTGGCGAAAGTCTGTCCAAAAGGACGGGCTGGCCTTGCCACATGCTTGATACAGCGGCTGAAGTGGGAAGGGTGGCAGCAGGAGGAAGGAGAACGCATTGGTTTGTCTGTAGTTGATCTAAGAGGAAGCGGTGGCGAAAGTCTGTCCAAATGGATGGGCTGGCCTTGCCGCAGGCTTGGTACAACGGCTGAAAGCATGGAAGCAGGGCGAGTAAGGAAGGAGAAGGCATTTGAGTGGACTCAGAACACTGGGAGGCCTTTGGGCGGCAGCAGGAAGCGGTGGTGAATGTCGGTCCAGATGGATGGGCTGGCCTTGCCACACACTTGGTATAGTGGCTGGGGTGGGGGAGGAAAGCATGGAAGCAGGGTGGGGAAGGAGAGGAGGAGGCATTGGTTGGTCTGGCGTTGATCAGTTGTTGATGCAGGAGGAAGCGGTGCGGAATGCCAGTCCAGAAGGACGGGCTGGTGTTGCCACAGGCATGGTACAATGCGTGACATGGGAAGGGTGGTACGGGGTGGAAAAGGAGAAGAAGAACAAAGCAATGGAATGGAATGGAATGGACTTGGAAGGCATCTTGGTGTGTATTCGGTCCAGATGGATGGGCTGGCCTAGCGGTATAACTTACCACCGCTTTCCACACATTACCATCACTCACCACACAGCACCACCACTTACCACTCAAAACCTCCTCTGCAAAGTAGATCTCTCCATCACTGATGTTCAAAAGTTTGGACTTTGAAGGGTCCTTGCCCAGTAGGGGCTGCGCAATGTGCTGGTAGAAATCACCACACCACACCTTGCCACCACTCGCCACACCTGGCCACCACTCACCACATACACCTCCTCTGCAAAGTAGATCTCTCCATCGCTGATGTTCAGAAGAGTGCTCTTCGAGAGGTCCTTGCCCAGCAGCGGCTGTGCCACATGCTCATAAAAGTCCCACTGCAGAGGGGTTGTTGGGGTGTGGTGGGATGGGGGAGGAAAGGAGAGAGAGAGAGAGGTGCTGATTGAGCAGATGGAGCCTCAGCTGGCTGGGCTGCTGCTTTCTCGGTGCATCTCGCGCCGAGTGTCTTACCTAGCCCGCACAACGCCGCTGCCATCCCTGCCCAAGGAGGAGTGGTCAGAATGGGGAAGGAGGCTGCTGGAAACGCTCCTGACGGCATGCGGCATCAATCACCCGCGCGGGGAGGAAACTTCACGCACGTGGGCGCAAGCCTCTCTCCCCGTGTCGTTGGGAGGGCTTGGCCTGACCGACCCCACCGTGGAAGGAGGCTACAGCTTCCTCGCCAGCTACACGCAGGCGCAGCTGCTGCTTGACTCCCTGGATGGCGAGCGCATCGGCCCATTGGACGCTACACGTGAGCTGATGCACGGCCCATACACGCGGTCCTCTCCTCTGACCGAATGGCTAGCGGATTGTGAGGAGGAGCTCCCCCTGCCGGCGCAAGAGGCCCTGCAAGCAGAAAGATCAGCTCCAACTGCGGGGAAGCTGCAGCACGGCCTGGCCACGGCGATCCAGGGCCAGCGCTATGCAGTGCAGGTGGAGGAGGCGCGGGGGATGAGGCCAAACCCCAACAACGGCCACACGCAGCGGCTGCTGTCCCTGTCAGGGTACGGGGCTGGGGACTGGTTAAACGCCGTGCCCATCCACTCCTCGCTACGCCTAGAGGCCCCCCACTACGCCAACGCGGTCCAGTTCCGGCTGGGCCTCCCCTTCGCTGCTCCAGGGGTTTGCAACTGTTCAAAGAAGGTGAAGATCCTAGATAAGCGGTTACCGAACCACCTGCTACGCTGCGGCACGGGGGGGGGACGCACAAACACACACAATGAGTTACGGGACGAGTGCGCACGGATGGCACGAGATGCTGGATTCATGGTACACATAGAAACGGCCGCTTTCAGCCCCGTGGAGGAAAAGAAGGCGGATTTGGCCTTACGATGCCGCTCCACCGGCGCCGTCTACATCTGTGATGTGACGGTGACGGACCCCATCAGCACCCGCGACGAGAATGCATCTAAGGGGCGGGATGGGCGGCACGGGAAGCTGCAGACAAGAAGCACGGCTTCTCGTGTACACGGACCGCCCGGAGTGGGTGAAGTTCTTCCCACTAGCGGTCGAGACGTATGGGTGCCCATGCCCTGAGACAGTGTACTTCCTGAAATTGCTCGCGGATACAGCTGCAAGGCGGTTCTTCAACGCCGAGCCCACCTCCTACCAAGCTGCCAAGCTTCTACACCAATACCGGCAGCGGTGGTCGGTGGCTCTTCAAAGGGGGCAGTCGATTGGCTACCTAGAAAAGTGCAGCATAGCAGCTGCCATAGAAAACCCACTGCTAGAGCCAGTGGGGGAGGCCCCGTCCCTGGGGGACTGCCTCTCGGTCCTGGATCCGGCTCTGGACCTAGCTTAAAGGGGGGGGGGGGAAGGGGGGGGGGGGAAGGTAGAGTTTAGGGGTGCGTAGTTTGAGGGATATGTTTTAGAACACTCCATGTTTAGCATTCTCCGTGCATGCCTGTATGACCTTGTATCACTCAATGAAAGGGCCATTCGACAGAGGTGCTGGTTGGGGGAAGAGTGCTCTTTGAGAGGTCCTTGCCCAGGAGCGGCTGTGCCACGTGCTCATAAAAATCCCACTGCAAGGTGGTGGTTGAGGGGAGAGAGGGAAAGAGTAGGTTGCTAATTTGACAGATGGGAGGATGGGAGAGGGGGAGCGATCCTTGCAAGGTCCTTGCCCAATAGCGGCTGTGCCACGTGCTCGTAGAAATTCCACTGGAGGGTGGTGTTGGCGTGGAGGGGGGCATGGGGCGATGGGAGGAAAGGAGTGGGTTGCTGGTTGGGGGAAGAGTGCTTTTTGAAAGGTCCTTGCCCAATAGCGGCTGTGCCACGTGCTCGTAGAAATCCCACTGCAGAGGAAGGAAGTGAGGGGGATGAAGGGGCGGTTGGTTGGGGGAGGGAGGGGGAAGGGAAGGGAAGGAGCTGGTTGACTGCTGATGGGTCCTCGAGAGGACCTTGCCCAATAGCGGCTGTGCAACATGCAGGTGTAAATCCCACTGCCGGGTGGTGGTTGGGAAGAACGGGGGAGTGGGGAGAAAGTAGTGGATAGTTGGTTGAGGAAAGGGCTTGGTATTTGTCAAGTCCTTAAGCAGCAGTGGCTGTGCGACATGCAGGTAGAAATCCGACTGCAAGGTGGTGGTTGAGGAGAACGGGAGAGGCTGATTGGATTTCTCCCCAATCACAAAACCACCCGCACCTTTCTGGTGCATCAAACCCCACCCACCTGGCCAGCGTGAGCGAGCAGAGAAAGCGTGGGCGCGGTGTGGAGAGTGGAGGCGAGGAGGAGGAATTGAGGGATCCACTCGATGAGCCCGTGGTAGAAGGAGGAGGCCTGCCGGTACACCAGGTTCACCACCCTCTTGATCTTCTTTATCTTCGTTCCCTTCTTGTACTCAAACTGTGGTCATTAGGAGTGGGGGGAACAGGAGGAGAGAAGTCTTTAGGCATCTCATAAGTAGAGAAGGGGAGAAGGGGACGACCGTGTCACCACGCTTGTGTGTGAGTTGAGTAAGAGGAAAAGGAGAAAAAGAAGCAGGATTCTCCCATGCTTAATTCGGGAAGATTTGGGGGAAGGACCGACTTCGAGCTACATGTCTCTAATCCACTGCACCTCACCTGACTTCACTGATCCGCATCTCACCGCACCGCATCGCACCTCACCTAAATCATTGCCCTCACCACATTCCACCGCACTGCACCTCGCTGTCCCAGTTGCAGCCCTCATGGAGGAAGTGAGTAGTAATGTTGAACATGAGCCCCTCATTGTTCATGTACTTTTTAGACGTCTCCATGATCGTTTCCACATCCCATCCCACATAACCTCACTGCACCGCACCTCACCGCATCCCACCGCACCGCACCTCGCTGTCCCAGTTGCAGCCCTCGCGGTGGAAATGTGTTGTCTTGTTGAACATGAGCCCCTCGTCGTTGATGTAAACGTTGCGCAGCTTGTAAACCTGGTGGGGTAGGTGCAGTGCGGTGGAGCACGGTGCAGTATGGTGCAGATGGGAGAAGAGAGGTGACTTAATGCGCATGCAACATAATCACCAATTTGATCAGAAGTCCCTAGTCATTGATGCACGTTGCGCAGCTTGTACACCTGGTCGGCGGGAGGAGTGCAGTGCAGTGCAATATGGTACAGTGCGGTGGAGCACAGTGCAGCCAGGAGGAAGAGGTGTTCATCATGGTCACCTAGCAGAACATGAGCCCCTCAATGCACCTGGAAGATCTGCTACTCAAACCAGAAGAAGAGAAGACGACTGGCACCACCTGACACCACTTCACACCACTTAGCACCAGCTGATACATCCTCCTCCCACAAGACACACACACCTGGAATATTTGCCACTCGAACCAGAAGAAGTCGGCAGCGTGGGTGCAGCTTTCATTCCTCCCCTCAGGCCCCATGTGCAATCGGTCCTCCTTTAAATACAGGAGAACGGACTGCAGCAGCAACGAACCTGGAAGAGTGCAACAGCAACGCACCTGAAATATTTGCCATTCGAACCAGAAGAAGTCAGCAGCATGGGTGCAGCTCCCATTTCTCCCCTCGGGCCCCATGTGCGATCGGTCCTCCTTCGGGCAGTTCACCGGCACGGGCGGCTTCGGAAACCCCTCGTCCCTCCATCCTGCGGCTGGCGTGCACGCAGACGCATCCGGCCGTATTTGGCAGCTGCCCGAGAAATCCGGGCAGGAGTTGCCCGGGCACTCGAGGGAAAGCATATTCGGGGAGTGCGTCGAGCCGATGTTGAGGTGCAAATTGTCCATTTCTGCCCGGATAAAATCTTCGGGCAGCGTCCCTTCCTTCACCTCCCCTTCGTTAATAGGAGTGACAAACCCCATCTCCCTCGCGCTCTTCCCTCCTCCCTCTGCTAATCTCTCCACCCACTCCCTCCCTTCCTCCAACAAAGGATCCTCTTCCTGCTCCCGAACCCTCTTCAAGGTATAATCCAGAATAGTTTTCAGCACGGGCAGCACGTCGAACAGGTGAAATTCAAGCGGGGTGTCCTTGGTGCCGTTCCCGAAAACTAGAAAGTATTTCTGCTGGGAGGCGGAAGCTAGGTGGTGGTAGCAGGCGTTGAGGTATTCCCGAGGGCGGATCTCAAGCACACAGGAGGCGGAGGGCATGAAGACCAGATTGGCCATGGCTGCCCCGTGCGATGCTATGTAGACTGCTGCCCGGTTGAACAGCGCCCTGGCTGGGAGTGGGTGGGGGAGGGGTCGAGACAGACAGGCAGACACAAGGATTGTTTGAGGCCTGGAAGGTGCTTTGGTTGGGATTGGGAAGGGGAGGGGAGGCGGTGGTAGCAGCCTGGGTGGTGGTAGCAGGCGTTGAGTTGAGGTATTCCCGAGGGCGGATCTCAAGCACACAGGAGGCGCAGGGCATGAAGACCAGATTGGTCATGGCTGCCCCGTGCAATGCTATGTACACCGCTGCTCTGTTGAACAGAGCTCTGGCTGGGAGGGGGGAGCGGCATTGGAGGGAGGAAATAGGGGCAAACGGGGGGAGGAGCAGGTTGGCCATGGCTTCTCCGTGTGACTGCTTCCAGAATGGGGATAGAGATGTTAAAGACATCCCTTCCACTGCTTCCAGAATGGGGATAGAGATGTTAAAGACATCCCTTCCACTGCTTCCAGAATGGGGATAGAGATGTTAAAGACATCCCTTCCACTGCTTCCAGAATGGGGATAGAGATGTTAAAGACATCCCTTCCACTGCTTCCAGAATGGGGATAGAGATGTTAAAGACATCCCTTCCACTGCTTCCAGAATGGGGATAGAGATGTTAAAGACATCCCTTCCACTGCTTCCAGAATGGGGATAGAGATGTTAAAGACATCCCTTCCACTGCTTCCAGAATGGGGATAGAGATGTTAAAGACATCCCTTCCACTGCTTCCAGAATGGGGATAGAGATGTTAAAGACATCCCTTCCACTGCTTCCAGAATGGGGATAGAGATGTTAAAGACATCCCTTCCACTGCTTCCAGAATGGGGATAGAGATGTTAAAGACATCCCTTCCACTGCTTCCAGAATGGGGATAGAGATGTTAAAGACATCCCTTCCACTGCTTCCAGAATGGGGATAGAGATGTTAAAGACATCCCTTCCACTGCTTCCAGAATGGGGATAGAGATGTTAAAGACATCCCTTCCACTGCTCTCAGAATGGGGATAGAGATGTTAAAGACATCCCTTCCACTGCTTCCAGAATGGGGATAGAGATGTTAAAGACATCCCTTCCACTGCTTCCAGAATGGGGATAGAGATGTTAAAGACATCCCTTCCACTGCTTCCAGAATGGGGATAGAGATGTTAAAGACATCCCTTCCACTGCTTCCAGAATGGGGATAGAGATGTTAAAGACATCCCTTCCACTGCTTCCAGAATGGGGATAGAGATGTTAAAGACATCCCTTCCACTGCTTCCAGAATGGGGATAGAGATGTTAAAGACATCCCTTCCACTGCTTCCAGAATGGGGATAGAGATGTTAAAGACATCCCTTCCACTGCTTCCAGAATGGGGATAGAGATGTTAAAGACATCCCTTCCACTGCTTCCAGAATGGGGATAGAGATGTTAAAGACATCCCTTCCACTGCTTCCAGAATGGGGATAGAGATGTTAAAGACATCCCTTCCACTGCTTCCAGAATGGGGATAGAGATGTTAAAGACATCCCTTCCACTGCTTCCAGAATGGGGATAGAGATGTTAAAGACATCCCTTCCACTGCTTCCAGAATGGGGATAGAGATGTTAAAGACATCCCTTCCACTGCTTCCAGCAGCCCCTCACACCCCACCATCTTGCGCGTGTTCCCAGATCGCCTCGATGCTGTAGATTTTTTTTAGAATTCTCAAAAAAAATCTACAGCATCCCTTCCACTGCTTCCAGCAGCCCCTCAAACCCCACCATCTTGCGCGTGTTCCCAGATCGCCTCGCCACCACCACCACCACCCAGTTTGCCGTTAACACAGCAGCGCGCGTGTCTACACCGCACTAGACTGCACTAGACCGCACCGGACCATACGTACCTTCCAAGATGGGTATCGACCCGTTAAAAACCACCACTCTCTCCTTCCCAAACATCCCCTCCACTGCTTCCAGCAGCCCCTCAAACCCCACCATCTTCCTTGTGTTCCCCGGTCGCCTCGCCATCACCACCACCCAGTTCGCTGGCAGCACAGCAGCGCGCGCATCGGACCACGGGCCGGGGGAGTGGTGCGTGAGCTGGGCAGCTGGTTGGGGTTTAGTCACTGAAACCGGTCTACACCGCACTGGGCTGCACCAGACCGTACTTACCTTCCAGGATAGGTATTGAGCCGTTGAAAATCACCACCCTCTCCTTGCCGAAAAGCTCTTCTACAGCCGCCAGCAGCCCCTCAAACCCCACCATCTTCCTCGTGTTCCCCGGGCGCCTCGCCATCACCACCACCCAGTTCGCTGGCAGCACAGCAGCGCGCGCGTCGGACCACGGGCCGGGGGAGTGGGCGCGGAGGCGCCAGGGGGAGGAGAAGAGCGGGAGGCCGTCGGGAGGGAGGAGGTAGTTGAGGCGCAGGTGGCGCCACAGGCTGGGACTGGGCTTGCCACACCCCTGGTACACGGGCTGTGGGGGGGAAAGGTGGGGGAAAAAGGGAAAGGGTGGGAGGAGGGGAAGAGAACAGAATGGGGAAAGGACTGTCTGGGGGAAAAAGGTGGTTGAGACGCAGGTGGCGCCACAGACAAACTGGGGCTGGGATTGCCGCACCCCTGGTACACGGGTTGTTGGAGGGGAAGGGGAGGGCAGGAAGAGAAAGGAGGAGAAGAGGGGCAGGCCGTCGGGGGGGAGGAGGTAGTTGAGACGCAGGTGGCGCCACAGGCTGGGACTGGGCTTGCCGCAACCCTGGTACACGGGCTGTTCGGGGAGGCGGGGGAGGAGAATGGGGAAGTGGGGGGAAAGAAAAGAAGCGGGGGAGGGGGGATACACGAGTGGAAGAAAGTAGTTGAGACGCAGGTGGCGCCACAGGCTGGGGCTGGGCTTGCCACAGCCCTGGTACACTGGCTGTGGGGGGAAAGGTGGGGGCAGGGGAGGGCAGGAAGAGATAGGAGGAGAAGAGGGAGAGGCCGTCGAGGGGGGGGGGGGAGGAGGTAGTTGAGACGCAGGTGGCGCCACAGGCTGGGGCTGGGCTTGCCGCAACGCTGGTACACGGGCTGTGGGGGGGGAGGAAAGAACAGTGGGCGGAAGGAGGATAAAGGGTAAACAGCGAATTGGGGATGAAGGCGAGACAGGAAACGGGTGAGGGTGCAGCATGGCTCCATAGGCTGGGGTGATGGGGCTGGGCTTGCTACACATCGTTGGCACATGCGCTGTGGGGGAAACGGGTAGGGGGAACTTCCGGGCCTTGGCGGCACATGGGCTGTGGGTGGGGGCAACGAAAGTTGAAGTGCAATGAAGAGTGAAAGCTCAGCAAGGCACACAGCACCGCACAGCACCTCACATCACCTGATAGACGACATCAGCGTGGATGAGCTTGGAGCGGTGAGTGTCCTCCACCACTATCAGGTTCATCTGCGTCGTCCTGATGAACAGCTCAGCACTGCACCACACACCACAGCACCGCACAGTACCGCACAGTACCGCACAGCACCGTACCGCACCTGATAGACGACATCAGCGTGGATGAGCTTGGAGCGGTGAGTGTCCTCCACCACTATGAGGTTCATCTGAGTCGTCTCCAGCCCCACCAGGTGCTTCACCATCTCGTTGTAGAAGGCCAGCTTGTAACGAGTACAGCCAGGGCAGGAGGGGCAGGCAGGCAGGGGCAGGCAGAGAGAAGAGAAGAAAGGAGGTATTTGAGAGTGACAAGCTACAGCGCTGTATTGCTATGCGAGTAAGGGTGTCCCCACGATAGAGACGCATTAAAAAAATCGACAAAAAGGAGCTGCGCGGGGAGCACAAGTGCAGCCCATTGTGCTGTGCTGCTGTGATCTGTTTCTGTGTGTGTGTGTGTGGTGTGTGTGGGGGGGGAGAGAGGGGGGAACAAAGGGTGGGGGGTGCGTGTGCTATGCCTCCCTATCACCTTCAAGAAAATTCAAAAGCCCGCATGAATGTACGTACCTGGCTGCGGCGGAAGAGGATGGGGATGTCGGGGTTGGTGCGCAGCAGGTGAGCGAGTATGAGGAACTGGGGGAAGGAACTGAGGGAAGGAGGGCGGATGAAGCGCACTCACATGTTCATACCTGGCTGCCAAAAGACTGAAAGCATAGGGGACTCAGACATACCTGGCTGCGGCGGAAGAGGATGGGGATGTCTGGGTTGGCGCGCAGCAGATCAGCGAGCATGAGGAACTGGGGGAAGAACTCGACGAGGGAAGGAGGGCGAATGAGGCCCACACATGTACTGACCTGGCTGCCAATAAGTGAAGCCTAGGGCCCCCCAACCTACCTGGCTGCGGCGGAAGAGGATGGGGATGTCTGGATTGGCGCGCAGCAGATCAGCTAGCATGAGGAATTGTGGGAAGAACTCCACGAGGGAGTGATAGAAGGCGACCGCGTGGTTGTACGCTAGAGACACCACGCGGTGCAGCTTCATCACCTGCGCCTCCCCCGCCTTGTAGTCAAACTGGTGGGGTGGGAGGTAAAATGCAGAGAGAAGGAAGGGTTGTGGTGTGGTGTGGTGTGGTGTGGTGTGGTGTGGTGTGGTGTGGTGTGGTGTGGAGTGGTTGAACAGGATGTGTGGCGGTGGTGGACATCTCCCCCACCCACCCACCCACCATCTCTGACCCCCCCAGCGCACCTCAAGGTCTCGGAAGCACCCGTGGCGGTCGAAGTGGAGGGAGCGGTTGAAGACAAGCCCATTGACGTTGATGAACATGCCGCGCAGCGCAAACAGCTGAAACACCATCGCATCGTGCCAGTGGTGGTCCGTCTTGTGAGTACATCTCGGATCGGCCCCAAGCTCCCCGGACTCATTCGCGTGCGACAGTTTCGGGCAGTTTTCCGGCTGGTCCGGGCGGTAGTAAATTTCGTCGGCGAATTCCGGGCGGAAGCAGGCGCGCACGGTTGGGAAGGAGTCCCCGCAGGAGCCGAAGTTCGGGCAGGGTTCGCCCATGCAGCGAAGTTTCACTTGCCCGGGGTAGTTCGTTTTATGATAGTTGAGAAATGTGTCGTTTAGGTCGGAGCGTTTTATGCTCTTATCAAGTGGTACTGTAGCGAGTATGCCTTCTCGAGCTGACGTTACAGAGGCCACGCTGCAGAGAGCGGGAAAAAGGAAGGAGGGAGAAGGGGGAAGGGGGGAGAGGCAAGGGGGAAGAGCGAAGGACGGCCGGCCAGGGGGAGAGGGCAAAAGAAAGAGGGGCAGGGAGAAGGGAGAAAGGTTAATACAGGCGAGAGGGGAAAGAAGGGCCGTAAAACAGCCTACAGTTGAGAAAATGATTGCTTAACAGCAAGCAAGGAAGCAGAGGCACTGAGCTGAGCCAAACCTCCTGACATCCTCTCCACATGCACCCCACCCACTTCAGTTGAGCAGAGAAGAAGACATCTTTGAAGATTCTTAAAAAAGGGAATACAATCTCTACTACTACCACCACCTCGAGTAGAAAGTGATTTTTTGAGACGTCTCATAAATCCACATTCTACACGTGGAATACAATCTCTACTGTTCTTCAACCACCACCTCGACTCACTTCCGCCCATGACTCAAACCGACTGCCCCTTTCCCGGTGCATTGCACATTCCATCCTTGCCACTGCGCACTCCGCCTTCCACCACACCCCACCCACTCCCACCGCAGTCATCTCACCTGCTGCCTGCTGCCATGCGCTTGCCAATGATCGCCTCTGCCTGCTCCACCTGCTGCAGTAATGCCTGCGCCATAATCATGGCCCTGAGGGAGGGAAGGAACGGAACAATGGGCAGCAACACCTGAATGAGCTCTGTGTGTGTGTATATTCACCGCGACGGGAAATGCAGCCATGCCCTGATGAGAGCATCTGCCTGCTCCACCTGCTGCTGTCATACCTGTGCCAGGAGCATGGCGCTGGGGAAGAGAGTGAAGGAAGGGAGGAGGAGGAGGAGGAGGAGGAGGAGGAGGAGGAGGAGGAGGAGGAGGAGGAGGAGGAGGAGGAGGAGGAGGAGGAGGAGGAGGAGGAGGAGGAGGAGGAGGAGGAGGAGAGTTCTGATAGGGAAACCAGCAAAGGGGACGGGACAAGTAGCTCATTGGGATGCGAGGGTGGCGTAGGGATGGGATGCCATGCCCTCGACCATTCCCAAGTTCCGCTCCATGACCTTCAGCTGACTTCTCAGAAGCGGTCTCTCGAAAATCAACTTATCAGTAAGACAGGGAGGGAGGCGCTCGGCTGGAAAATCATGACCTCCCCTCCACCACCAGCTGGCTATTTTGGAATCACTTTTGAGAATTCTCAAAAGTGATTTCAATATGACCTCAGGTGCAAAAAAACGACCGAAATATTGAAATTCTGGCGTATAAAACGCTATCGTATTTTTCGGCCGTTTAAAACGTCTTAAAACGCCAAAAAGTGGTAATTTCAATGTGGTGCAAAAAAAAAGGCCGTTTTTTACAGCAAAAACCTTGAAACCAGTTGGTTTACACATATTTTGAAGTATTGGTTCCAACCATGACCCTCGATCGGATGAACCAGCTATGAGGATGACGAAGGGGATTTCCAGTGAGTCTGTAGTAGAACGGTGACTCCAGGGAGGAGAGTATGCAGAGTCTGGGGGGGAGGAGGAGGAGGGTCGAACGAACGCAACCAAGACACTCTGTTAGCATTGTATTGCTTCTTTGCTATCCTGGTCAGGAGCGGAGTCGTGTCTACTGTTTTCAAAAAAAAAAAAAAAAAAGTCACAAAATCTCTAACAAAAAAACGGCCGAATTTTTTAAATCTGACCGTAAAATACGAGCGTAAAAAACGGACCACCAGCTGGCTTTCCCTTCACACACATCTCGAGGCTCGAGAGGCCCCGCATGCCTCTTCACCCCCTTCTCCACTAGCTGGCTTTTGAGTCGTCTCATAAGGAACCTCAAAGCTGGATTCGCCGCTCCAACTGGGTGGTGTTGAGCTGGGCGGTCAGGCCTTCTACCATCTCCTCTCCACGCTTTTCTCCACCTCGACTGGCTGCCTCTTTGGTAGTCTCATTCATAAATCCCCCCAAAAGACAAGACTCACCGCTCCGACAGCGTGGCGTTGGCCTGGGAAGCCATGGCTTCCACCAGCCCCACGCTCCTCTCCACCTCGTCCATCCACTGGCTCCTTTTTCATCTCAAACGTCGACTCAAATGCCGTTCCTGAAACGCGGACTCACCGCTCCGACAGGGTGGCGTTGGCCTGGGCTGCCATGGCTTCTACCAGTCCCACGCTCCTCTCCACCTCGTCCACCAGATCCGCCTCCGCTCCCTCTGCTATCGCCAACCTGGCGTAGCGTGGGGGAAAGGAGGGGAGGACAGAAAGGAGGAACAGTAAGATTCATCTCTCAATGCTCTCCTTCACCAGCCCCACGCTCCTTTCCACCTCGTCCACTAGATCAGCCTCCACTCCTTCTGCTATCGCCAACCTGGAAAAATCGAGAAGAGGGGGAAGGGAGAATTTGGGATAAAGACGTCCCCCATCACACTCCTCCGGCCCCTCCCCTCCCCCTACATTTCCCTTCTCTCTTCCCTTCCCCCTTCGCCTCCCGCCAACTTTCCTCTTCTCCATCAATATTAGAAGGTCTGGCAGCGGGGTATCCATTCTAACCTCATCCTCCCGTAACCTCTCATCCCCCCGTAACATCTCCTCATTTCCGTTGTCCGTCCAGCAATGCCGAGTCTTCCGCGTCCGGCCATTCTCCCCTGCTTTCCTCTCCCCCTGGTCCTAAGCCATCCCTTCCCCCTTTCCTTCCCCTCTTTCTCCCCCATTGCTCCACTCACCCCTTCTCCATCTGCTCGCTAAGAGCATTTCCCATCTCCGTCAGTCGGTCCAGCAGCACTCATCTTCCGCGTCTGGTCCCTTGGGAACCACCTCCGCCCCCATACCTTCTGCCCTCCCTTCCCCATTTCCTTCCTGATCCGCTCCACCTTCCCTCTCCCCTCACTCACCCTTTCTCCATCTGCTCGCTAAGAGCATTTCCCATCTCCATCAGTCGGTCCAGCAGCACTGCATCTTCCGCGTCGGGGCCCTTGGGAACCACCTCCGCGCCCTCCATCATCTCCGGCACTATAATTGGCTCATCGTCCGCTCCTGCAGCAGCTGCCACGTCAGCACCAGGAGAACAGAGCCACGTCAGCCAGGTCAGCAGATAAATTCTACCAAGGGTGTGCAGCTAAGCCGAACCCTAATGAGGTGTTGTATGGGCGGTAAGATTGCAAGATTGCACGTGATCGACGAGATTTGACTCGAATTGAATCGCACACGATCTACTACGAGAATTCGGTTCGATTCTCCGGGAAAGCGCGTTTGCAAAGTCTCTTGGCCGTAAGACTTTTACGAACGCGAACGCAGCAGTGGGACTACGCGCATTCCACTCTTAAGCGCACTGAGGGCTCACTGACCGGATACAGTAACTACGGCCAATGACCGCTCTTACGCGAGAGATGCAAGGCGGCAACGCAGCACAGAAGAGCGAGCGGGATCGCGGAAAAGCGCGCCGATCCCATCGCTACGTTACACCAGCTTCCGAGACGGCTCAACGGCCGGCGCGGCGTTTCGACGCTAGCGGGTGACGGTCAGCAATACAGCAAATGATGAACGACCGCGGTCGTCGCTAGAAGCATAAGGGCGTGGTATTGCGAAAGCGGAAGAGTCGCGTCGCACGTGTTTACCTCATTATCCTGCTCTTTATCTGGTAGCCATCCTGGCTGACAAAACATCACTCTGTCCCTCCAACCATAACCGCAGAAATACCCGTTACAGAGTTTTTCTGGTCAAAATAGAAGGCTGGTCCTGCACATTTTTTCTAATGAATCTTCATATAGGGTTTGCCACCATTGGGGTGAAGGGATACCTTTGTTCAACCTACATGCATCTTCCACAATCTAGTTAATTAGCTATAAAATACATGTACAGATGTATTAACATCTTCAGGCAAAAATAATATCATCCACAATATTCGCACCCCTAGAATGCATGAAATAGAGACCCAAGTGATGGGTGGCTTCCTGTCACAAAAGAATGGCACAGCAATAGACATACAGAAAGGGAGACGAGCGTGCATCGTATTAGGATCTGAAAGCAGGATAACATTGAACTGCAACGTAATTAAAGCGATTTCAGCAGGCCAGGAAATGTTGTTATAAAAAAAATGATTATGAACCAGAAAGATAATATACATGAACGATGGGCCAATTCCACTGTACCATCGCCACTGTACCTGAGGATGTGATGCAGTGGCGCCCCTCCCAAGGGTCTCAGCAACAGGCCGGGGAAGGTTATATGTGGAGCAGGCAGGAGCAACCACCACAATTTCTTTCAGCTGCTGCCCGAACAGCCCATGGTTTCGGGCAGAAAGCGCGGTCAGCACAAAATCCATGACGCAAATGTCTGTACATATGCCAACCACAATAATCTGCAATGCAAGTAGGTGGGGAGGAGGAGGGCAAGATAATATGAGCTCATACTGAGTCTATTTTTGAGTCGACTAAAAAAAAGTCCAAGGAAACAACAGTGTAGGCGGGAGTGGAAAGGATGGGGGAAGCAGAATAAGAGAAGAGATTAGAGTAGATGCAGCAGAGGGGAGTGTGGAGGGAGAAGAGGGGAGGGGGAGGACGAGTGCAAGAATGAGGGGGAAGAAAGCAGTGTACATGTTCCAGTTGATGCTTGATCGCCCATTGTGTCACAACGTTTGTCCCATCTGCTTGTATGCCGCCCACAAACCCGTTGATACAGTCCTTCTCCATTAGAGTCACACTGCCTCTAGTCGCGCGCCCATCGGTGTCTGGAGCTGCTGCAGCGGTTTCTCCTCCCCTGCTTGCTTCCCTCTCAAGCCACGCCAGGGCTGCAAGGGAGACACGGGCAAGGAGGGCAAAGGGGAGTTATTAGGTGCAAGGAGATAGGCTAAGAATGGAACCTGGTTCCCTTCCCCTGCGCTTCACATGCGGTGAGGGGGGTATGGAGCCTCTGGCCTGTACACTGAGTGCTCATCGCATTACTCACCCTTCATACAATTACTCGCCATAGTCGCCCCTCATACAGTCACCCACCATACAGTCACCCACCACCATACAGTCAACAACACTCACCCTCTACCAACTTCTCCTCCCCTGTGCCTCACACGCAGTGAGGTGGGTACAGTGCTTGTGGCTTGCCTGGATACACTCAGTAATCACCCCCTCATGCAGTCACTCGCGTAACAGTCACAACTCACCCTCTACCAGCCTCTCCTGCCCTGGCTCTGGCACGCAGTCCAAGGGGTATGGTGGCTCTGGCTTGCCCGCTTGAGAATTCATTACATTAGTCACTCACCATACAGTCACTCACCCTCTACCAGCTTCTCCTCCCCTGTGCCTCGCACACAATCACTCTGCACATTAATTCCCATCGTACAGTCACTCATATTGCAGTCACTCGCACTACAGTCACATCAACTCACCCTCTACCAGCTTCTCCTACCCCGTGCCACGGATACAATGCGGGGGTATGGTGGCTCTGGCTTGTCTGTCTGTGTGCTCTAGACACCAGTCACCCTTTCATACAGTCACTCACGCTACAGTGACAACTCACCCTCTACCAGCTTCTCCTCCCCCGTGCCTCGCACGCAGTGGGGGGGGGGGTACGGTGGCTCTGTCTTGTCTGCTTGAGAATCCAGTACATTAGTCACTTGCGCTACCGTCACAACTCACCCTCTACCAGCTTCTCCTCCCTCGTGTCCCCCCCGCAGTGTGGTGGGTACGGTGGCTCTGGCTTGTCTGCTGAGGTACCCACTCTTTACACAGTATAACCCCTCACAAAGTCACTCACACTACCCCCCCCCCCATTCACACTACAACCACTCACCCTACCGTCACAACTCACCCTCTACCAGCTTCTCCTCCCCCGTGCCTCGCACACAGTGCGGTGGGTACGGCGGCTCTGGGTTGTCTGCGTCGTGGGTGTCCACTTAACTCTAGTAGCCACAGGCAACACAGTCACAACTCACCCTCTACCAGCTTCTCTTCCCCTGTGCCTCGCACACAGTGAGGGGGGTACGGCGGCTCTGGCTTGTCTGCCTCGTGGGTGTCTAGAAAGGCCAGTACAGGCATGCCACGTGTCAGCATGTCATTGGCCAGCGAGGATGTACGAGACACCATGTTCTCTATCTGCTCGTCTCTCACTGGCGGAGCCTTTGGGAAGAGATGGCGGAAGAGGAGGCGTGATCGTAAAGAGGGAGGGAGGAGGGGGGGGCGGGGAAGGGGAAAGGAAAAGGGGTGGGATTTGGGTGAGGGATAGAACGAAAGGAAGCGGATTAGACGTGGGCTAGAAGGGCTGAGAGGAGAGAAAGGGTCAGAGTGCAATAAGGCAACGGACACAAACCTGGAGAATTGTGAAACACAAACATCTAAACAACTCATTCCACCTCTTCCCTCTGCGGAATCACCAGATTCCCCACGCCTCTGCCCCTCCCTCCCTCCACTTACAAGCTTCCCCGCGCCAGGAGTGCAGAAACCAATATTACGCGCGCATCTTGAGTCGACGCAAATTAATTAAAACCCGCGGCTCACCCTCCCATTCCGCTCATTCGCCAACGTCCCCACGGCCTCCCTCCGCCCACTCACCAAATTCCCCGCGCCAGGAGTGCAGAAGCCGTTGACCTCATCCACTATCACCAATCCTACGCGCGAATCCCGCGCAACGCGAAACTTCCCGGATTCCACGGGAAGGTGCTGACGTAGCGCTGACATAAGTGTGGCTTCGTCGGGAACCGACATTTTGAGGTGCGATGGACGGCAGCAACGAAGGAAGGTGGACCTCACAGGTTACGAATTTGCGTTACTACACACGACAAAGTCGGAAGGACGGACTTTAGAATATAAAAGGGAGGCCCAGTTACCAAAATCAGAAACGCGATACGAACGCTATCCAGCTGTGTATTCTCTCGCCTGGAGTCATCAAGCCTTTTTGGGTATATTTGGTCGCGAAGGGACCACTTTGTCCATTGTTGCCGGTCGGTATTTCTTTGGCAAGATTCATCAGATGCTCTCGTCAGGGTTACCTTGTGCATGGCTTGGCTTCGTTGCCTGATGTCAATATCAAAGTTTCGCAGACTGGTAACAAGCGGTTCATCGTTCGCGGAAGGAATATTTACAAGCCTCCGTGCTCGCGAAATCATGCTTGCTTTCCGCGGCGAAATCCTGGTTCACATCCTAAAAACTTCCCTGCTTATGAAGTTTGCTTCTATTCGGCCTCTCTCATGCAATCTGGTATCTTGAAACCTACCCAAGTTGCGTCATTCGCTGCTCTGCTGCGATACTCTCGCACGAAAGCAGTTAGTCTGCCCCGCCAGTGTCTTTCTAGACCTTAACTGCGAAAGTTTCTCACGCGCCATGCGGCCTGTCTCTCTTGTCGAAATGAGTCGCCTGCTTGCCGCATCACCAGGCGGTCGACTGCTCGGATTGGACGTAGGAACCGCGCTCGTAGGCGTAGCCGTGTCCGACGCAGCGAATCGAGTGGCATCGCCTCTGCCTGTCGCGAACAGGCGATGGCAGAGGAGGAAGGAGCAAAGTGACGCTAGCGTCGGCAGCAGCAATGGTGGGAGTGCGTTTGTGACTGATAACGGATCCGTAGGCGGCGGTGACAATGGAGACGTGGGGGAGGCAAGAAACGGCGATGGAGCTGTTTTTGAGGAGAGTGGCAATCGTGCAGGCAGCAGCGTGCACAGACCCGCCAACACCCATCTTTCTTCAATGGCTCAAACCCTCAGAAACCGGCCCGTTTCACTGAGAATGCTTGACTCCATTGCTCGCTCGCGCTCCGTTGTTGGCATGGTCGTGGGGTTTCCCTTGGAGCTGTTTGGAGGGCGCTCCAGCATGACCCCTGTGATTCAGGACTTTCTGTCCGGGGACGTTGCCAGGCACTGCCCTTACCTCCATAGCGTCCCACACTTGCTGTGGGATGAGAGGCTTTCTACAGCATCGGCAACAGGGGTTCTTCAGGGGCTTGGGTTGCATGCGGTGTTAGAGAAGCAGCTAACTGACAAAATCTCTGCAGTGTACATTTTGCAAGGTTGTTTGGATGCTATGGCTCACCAGCAGAGAGCAGAACACACTGCAAAGTGAACTCAAAACTCTTGTACTCGTATCTCTGTGTGCATTCAACCCAAGTTAACTGTAATATGTATGCTAGACATTTGAAGCTACATGGATGTTCATAAAGAAGTTAATGGCTGAGGGTCAAACCAGCTTGAACCTCGTGCCTTCTTGAATCCTACCCGTGCCTTCCCAACGACCTAGTACTCCTCCTCGCTAAAGTCCTGGAACTCATCCTCGCTCTCCTCCTCACTCTCGTCGCTGTCATCACTGAGCACCACAGCCATCTTCTTCTGGGCCCCACGGGAGAGATGGGCACGACCTTCTGCTGCTGCAACTGCTGGCATGCCACTCTTCTTGCTAAATGGGGATGGACGCATTCTTTGCACCTTGCTCACAGGCTCCTTCACGGGGGACTTGATGTCCACTTCATCAAAGAACTCAAACTGATCACCAAGAGCTGGTTTCTCCACCTGCAAAATCACTATCATGAACCATCAGCCAAGGTTGGTCACATAAGAGCTGTCAGACAATAGCAAACGGAAAAACAAACACCGACCTTCTCCTCCATTTTCTTGGCGGCAGGTCTTTTTGCTGCGGCCTTCTTGGCAGGTTCTTTCTTGGAAGCTGCTGGCTTCACTTCTGCTGTGGACTCTGAAAGGAGAACCAAAACGAGTGTCAGCACGCAGGAATCCCATTTGGCCAGACAATGAATAAGTTGGAGCTTTTTTCTAACCTCCACCTGAAGGTTTTTCTTGCAGTGACATCTTCGCTGCCATGGCTGCAAGCCTCTCCCTGAGGGTACCTCCTCCAAAGTCCTCATCGCTGTCGTAATCCTGGAAACATGTAAAGTGAGGCAAGGGTTAGCTCGGGACCCACAGTTGAGGGGTTGACATGCAGGTGTAGTATGATATGGGGCTGCATATGAAACCGCAGCTTCATGAGACATAGGGGTGCATGCGACACAGGGCGGCATGGAATGTAGGAATGAATGTGATACAGGGCTGCCTCATACACGGCCAATGCAACACATGGTTGCATGTAAAACACTACTGCACGTGATACAGAGGCGAACAGAATAGAGCAGAAACATACAGATCCAGCCGTTGCCTTTGGCTTAGGGGCAGGCTTCGACTTGGGAGCAGGTTTCACCACCTCCGGCTTTGGTGCCTGAAGAAGGAAGAGTATCACAAAAGCAGTCAACAAACCTCACAATTGATGGTACAGGTATGCATCAAATTCTGGAAACATTTGAATGGATGCTCCCACTCACACAGGCCCTTGATCAACACACCTGAACTAGAGGCACAGATGCCTGTGGTTTTGTTGTAGCAGCCACTACTGCCGGCTTTGCTGCAGCAGCGGCAGCGCCCTTTCCTCGCCTCACCTTGGCATCTGCAGGACAGAAATGTGAGGACGTCAGAATATGGATACTGCAAGTGACCAAGCCTGGCCGAGCTGGTTATACATACCTTCCATGAAGTCATCATCTGAGTCTGAGATGAAATCCATCTCCTCATCACTGAAGACCTGAGCCTTCTTTTGTGCCCTTTTCGGCTTCGCGGCCACAGCCTTGGCAACACGACCCTTCCCCTTGCCAGGCTTGCCTGCTACCTCCTTGGCCTTCTCCTGAGCCGCCTCCTCCTCCGCAACCTGAAAAATGCAACATGCACCTGCTTTAGATTGGGAGCAAAGGTGGCCAAGCACTGGATCAGGAAACTAACTGAACAAGTTTCAACGTGCTGGATGATTTCAACGTACCTCAAGCTCCTCAAGAAACATGTCCAGGTCTCTCTCCCAGAGGTCCTTGGGCTCCGTCTTCAACAGAGCATCGTGGTCGTCTTGGTTCTTCTTCTGGTCCCTCAGCAGCTCTTGAACCCTCTCCAGGGTTAAACTCCACAGTGGCATGCCAAGGAGATAGTCATAGCCACCATCGCCCCCCTTCTTGGCCTTCGAGCCCCCTTCCTCTTCACCCGACTCCTCCCCCTCATCGTCACCCTCCTCATCTGCGGCTGTGGACGAACCACTGCTCGAGCTGGCCTTGCCTTTCGGCAAGGGTGCGAACTTCTTCTCCTGCAAGAGAAAATTGGAATAAGTTCGTCAAATCCAATCATCATAACCACAAATATCAGGAAAAGCTAACCATGGAGCAGCAAAGCCTTACCTTGAGTTCAGCCAGAAGCTCCGCCTTCTTCCTGTTGCTGACAATGATCTCTCCACGCACAACTGCAAGGATGAACCTCACTCTGTTGTCCAGCTTGATGAGCTCATTTCGAAGTTGCTCCAGTTGAATATCCTGTAAACAATACGACAGTCACTCCAATGAACTCAATGAAGATGTCTAAAGAATGTGTAAAACAGTTCGTCTATTACCTTCCTCTTCCTGTAGTACTCCAGCCGAATGTGATAAAACTCCTCAATGACTGCAGGAGTACACAAGATCAAACGTGGAACATTAGGCCCTCCCATAGCAGGAAAAACAGCCTCCCATAGCAGGAAAAACAGCTCATGTTGTTGTGGTACTTACTTTCTTCCGGAGTTTCGTACTTCCTCATCCTCCCATCCTTGTCAAAGAGGTGCATGTTGCTGGTTGCTACTGATGCCGTCAGCTTGAAGCGCTTGATCAGTCCTTCAGCCTCTGCGGTCGCCATTCCCTCGGGCGACAAGTGGACCTCAAAATGCACAGTGGTGTCAGTGTGATGCTCCCGCATGTCCTGCAGTCCGAAACGAAAGCATGTTAGCGTTATCCAGTGTCGTGAATAATTGCAAAAAAACGCTGCCGCCAGTATTTGTTATGTACCTTGATGAATGGCTCCTTGTTCTTGTCATTCACAACCATCATCCCCTCCAGGAACTCCTTGTAGTTCTGCGTCCAGGTCCGGATGGGCAGCTCCGTGATCTCCAGAACAGTGTCGCTGACCTTGTTGATGGTTCCAGTCACGATGTAATTCCGGCCATCTTTGTTGCTGTTGTGTTCCACAGTTCCCTGAGGAAATATTGCGGGGAAGACAATAAAAAGGTTTTAGACATAGAAACATTTTGAAAAGAAGTTCCCAACAAGGCGTTGGTGGCACTAAGCTTACCTTGAAGCCACGGAACCAGGGGTGCAACGGCTCCATCTCCTCTCCCCTCATCAGCCGCTTGAGGTTGTCAACAATGTCGCGAGGGTTGAACGTTGGCACGTAGGAGCTCCATCCAGTCCCAATCCCTTCACTTCCATTGACGAGGACCATCGGTAGGATAGGGAGATACCTGCACGAGTTGCACAACAGTGGTTGAGGAATGGGCACTCGAAAGACTGGATGATAAGAGCGCATACAGTTTGGAATCATCCATACCATGTTGGTTCAATCTTCTGTCCGTCTTCGTTCAGGAAGTCCAGAAGGGCATCGTCCACCTCAGAGAAAAGAATCCTTGTGAGCTTATGCAGCCTGGTGTAGATGTAACGGGGGCTTGCAGCATCTTTCCCTCCCTGCATTAAGAAGATGATATAGGTTCAAAACCAGAGTTCATGGACGATGAATGCGTTTGAGAAAAGCAGAATTATATGTTTCTGATGTACCTGAAGGCGGGTGCCAAACTGGCCACTTGGCACCAGCAGGTTGATGTTGTTGCTGCCCACAAAATCCTGGGCGAGACCAATGATGGTGGTCATCAAGCTCATTTCACCATGGTGGTACGCCGAGTGCTCTGAGATGTAACCAGCCAGTTGTGCAACCTGAAAAGAACAGAGCACACATTCAGTGACAGTTTAACTTCCTAACAACAAACCCTTCTTTAAGGACCAGCAAGATTTCTTGTGGATGTACCTTCACGTCACTTTTCAGCTTCCTCTTGAAGCAACTGAAGAGAATCTTCCTCTGGCCAGGCTTAAAGCCATCCATGACAGATGGAATGGATCGCAGATTGTCAGCTATCGAGAAGAGAACCAGCTCCTTGTTGACAAAGTCGCTGTAGCTGATCGACTTGGCACTCTGATCCAGGAAAGTCCCAGGCTGAAAGTATCAACCAAAATGATATTAGTATGTAATGAACCAACACAGGAAACCAGAACAACAGTAGCATATGTCAGTCATGATTACCTCCACATTGCGCAGCCAGGTCTTCCTCTCTTCCACCTTCTTCTTGCTAAACGCCATCTCAATGCTTTCGCCATCCTCTTCTCCTCTCCACTCAAAACTTTTCCGGTGCTGATCAAGGGCTGCAAAGTACTCCTTTGCCTCCTTCGGTGTACTTGTTCCCAGACCCTGTGAGCCCATAAATAGAGAATGTTAAACTTGAAGTTTCTATAAGTACTCGGTGCCACAGGCTCCAGCACAAGAACTTGCCTTATAGTACTTGATGGACCACCCCTTTGTGATTCCTCCAAGAGATTCTTTCCATGACTCGTACTCGGGCATGGTGTAAAAGGAAAGAACCTTTCCACGGGGACCAGTAGCCTGCATAGCACAGATTTCTCAAGATTAGAATGTCTACTTGTTCGGGCAAGTTAGAGAGTCTCGGAGCTGTCTGCAGGAATTCACTGACCTTGACGATGGGCGTGATGAACTCCAGCAAGAAGTTGGGTTGCTTCAGAAGTGATGGCCAAAAGGCGTGAAGGAAGTTGATGAGGAGGCCCTTGATGTGAGATCCGTCGTGGTCCTGCATCAAGAAAATTCCCTACGTGAGATTCTATAACTAACGATGCGTTCTCCAGAAACTTTGAGCTGTCTCTCTGAGTTGCGTACCTGATCAGTCATGATCATTAAATGACCATATCGCAGGGACTTGGTGTTGTCATAGTGCTTTCCCTGCTGAAGCCCCATGATCTGCTTGATGTTGGTGATCTCTGCATTGTCTGTTAACTGCTTGGCAGGGGCATCCCTGACGTTCAGAAGCTTCCCACGCAGAGGGAATACTCCGTACTTGTCGCGACCAACAACACTCAAGCCGCTCACCTGAGATAACATGCAGAATATGTTAGGCATTGAATCGCGGTGCCGTATTTCAGCACAGATACACCAAGTGCAGGAACTTACAGCAAGAGCCTTCGCAGAGTCTCCTTCAGTAAGAATCAGGGTGCACTGCTCGGAATTGCGTCCACCTGCATCATTCGCATCGTCCAGCTTGGAAATTCCTGTGAGCCGCTGCTTCTTGCTCCCATCGCTCTTCTTCATATCCTTGTTCGCCTTAAAGGTTGCGAAGGAGAGAATGCTGTCGATCACACCCGATTTTGCAACTGCAGAAAGGAAATACCATTTCGGGTCAGCAAATGTCCTTTTTGCGACTTGAGAATGATAAGTAGCAACACTTACCTTTCTGGAGGAAGCTATCTGGGAGCTTGCACGTCGAGCCAAACTCGCTTGCTCGTGTATTGAGAGTCTCCTTAGTTTGTGAATCGAACGCCGGGTTGACTATCATCGAGTTCACAAAGACCCACAAGTGGCACTTCACTTGATGTGCCTTGATTGCAGATGCACCCTTCCCTGCCTTCTTCTGGGCCTTCTCTATGAGAAACTTGGTAAGTTGGTCCGCCACAAGGTTGACATGGGTGCCACCCTTGATTGTCGCAATGCTGTTGACGAAGCTGACCTGCAAGTACAAGATTTGTGCGTGAGTTCGGTCATTTGAGTACTCATCATATTCTTAACGCTAATATTCCACCACGAGTACGTACCTGTTGAAACTGGCCGTCACTTAGTGAAACGCAAACCTCCCAGCTGTCGTTGACCTTCTCGTAAATCCTGCCAGAGAGATTCCAATTTGAGGATCAGCGAAATTGACACAATCAGACAGTCATCAATTGATAAAAAGGCACTGATTCGCTCTAATCGCACTCACTTGGGCAGTGGTCCAGGGACTTCGCCACCAGACTTGGACGAGTCAAGATAAAGTCCGACGTAATCTTGGAAGCTCTTGAGAGCAATCTTGCTCCCATTCAGCTCGACCTTGACAGTCTTCCCGAGAACTCCAGCCATGTCAACCACTCGCTTGCTCATGAGAGCCACATGATCAGCATCAAGATGTGTCAGCTTGAATTTGGCCAGGTCTGGGTAGAACGTCACACACGTCCAGCTTTCTCCGGACCTGGTTTTCGTGATCTCAGGCTCCGACTTCTTGCTCATGTTGTCGTTGAAAACCTGTTGACAATGTCAAGGAAGTATTGTAAAAACCGGGAAGAAAACAACAAACTGGACAGCTGAATAAGATCCGACAAAAAGCTTTCAACGTTGAGGTGATCGTCCTACCTGGCGATATTGTTCCTTGCGTTCGCCGTCTGCCGTCTCGATGACAAATTCCGTGGAGAATATGTTAGCGAGCTTAGCACCATAACCATTCCGACCTCCTGTCGTCTTCTTCTCTGTATCGTCGTAGTTGCTGCTGGTGAGGAGATGGCCAAAGATCATTTCCGGGACGTAGCAGTTCTCGTCCGCGTGAATCTCGATCGGTACACCCTTGCCGTTGTTCCACACCTGAAGCCAGAAAGCTTTATCCGTGAGAACGACTTCGTCGACATATGTACCCAGCCTTTGCTATCCTAGCATGCTGCTTACCTTAATCATGTTTTTTTCAGGATCAATGGTCACTTTGAGCAAGTCCATGGAGGGATCTCTCTGTTTGTTGTCGGCGGCGTTGACGAGAATTTCGTCGAAGATCTTGTACAAGCCAGGGACGATGGTCGCCTCGCGATGTACCATTCTGCCATTCTCGTAGACCCACAAGGTCTGCGTGTGGCTCTGAACTGATCCGACGTAAGTGTCTGGCCTTAGGAGGACGTGTTCTAGCGGAGTTTTCTTCTGGTATGTCTGCTCAATTGTCCTTCCCTTGCTGATGTTTGCTGCCGTGCTGAGCTGAAGAGGTTCCTTGGCCTTCTTCGCCGCAGCTTTCGGTGCAGCCTTCTTCTTCGTCTGCGACGCAATTCATTAATCATCGTCAAGAGAAACGTCTGGCTGTAAAATGAATTGCGAAGATGGCTTGCGTACTTACGAGAGGAATGAAGTTCTCATCATCGCTCAAATATTCGTCGATATCCATGTCTATGAGTGCTCTCTGGCTCCTAAGCTTGTTCCAACAGGTAGGATAAAGAGAAGGGGCCTGAGCGAAAGACGACTAGCACAATTGCTACCTAGAGAAAAGCTCAGCCGGGACTCGAAATGAGGAGAACGAGTCGAACACATTCACAACTCCTCTTCTGTGCGATAATCCCAATGCAATGCCAGCCCGAATGAATGTCATTCTATGATGCCACACCATAGCAGGCATGGGGTTAGGGGGGACAGGCAGCCCGAGCCGCCTCGAGCCAGTCGTCAGGATTCCGCGCCAAATTTCAAAATCCGTGGGCTCTGCAGACTGCAAAACTTCGAACAGTCAGAGGCCTCTGCAGTCCGTCAGAAAGGGCCGCTGCCTGGCATGGATGGCCATCATGTACACTTCAGACTCATTTTCATTTATTAATCTCATGTCCACAGACAGCATACATAAATGTGCTCACTAAATTAGATCATTACGTATGTTAAAAATTGTTTTAATATAATGCGTGTATCATAGTAGGCTGGTTTCATATTTTTTTAATATAGCGCTGAGTCCGTTACATATGCGACAAATTTGATTGCGTTACCTATGTTAGTTTTCGAAATACCAATGTGACATACAAGCATCCACAGCGGGTTATGGGTGTTATTATATTGAGATCATATGATGCTGGCGGCTGTTACGGGCTGGCGTGGCGCTGGCAACGCCAAACCAGCAGCGCCAAACCAGCACTACTAGCAGCACGTTTTCCAGACCGTTTCCAACATCAACGTTTGCTCCTGATCAACTGATCAATTAGGTCCTTAGAAACCACCCGTCCCGAGGCACTTCGCTTTGCAGGCTTAATCTATGAGTCTAATTTAGAGAGCGCGATCGCACCTCATGGCTGCCTGTACGGCTTCCGTGGCGTGGTGTTTCGTTTCGCTGTCTCTTCTCACAGGTACTTCTATCATGAATCACGTCTAATACTCTCGTTTCGGATAAGTAAAATAAAATTTGTTCCCGAGTCGACCTAGTTTCAATAATATCGTTCCTGGGCAAGTTCTAATAATCTCGTTTTGGATAAGTCTAAATTATCTCGTTGAGTGCTTGGTCGGCTTAGTAGCGTCGAATTACCTGTCATAATGTAGGCCGTACTATGCCCAACTCTGTCAGCGCTACGTCCCAAAACTGGCACACCGTAGTACGTGCTCCAAGGGCTTAGGCACTGTCACATTGTCCTTGGTGCGACTGGCGCTTTAGTTGCCTCATCTGAGCGATTGAGAGTTCTCGATAATCCTCCAACGGGCTTCGGATTTGGGTGCGACCGGCGCGCTTTAATTGCGTTATCCAGTATCTCACCGTTGCCGGTTACAAGCTCCTCCCTTTCAGCCTCCTCGATTTCTGAGTGGACTCGAAGACCGACAACTGTAGTTTTTTTCCCTCAACGGACTTAGGACTCAATCAGACTATCCTTGGTCCGACCGGCTCTTCGATTGCGACAACCAGTACCTACTGGTTACATGCTCTTCCCATTCAGCCTCAAACCTCACAACTCAAACCTCAACATGCACCCCTGTCTTACACCACCCTGTTTCTCTCAGCAGTGTTAGTCACAGCGCAGTCATCAGATGAGTTGCTGCTGGGGCGCGTGGCGGAGATGGAGGAGCAGCTCAACCAGCAGCTGCTGGAGGGGCCTGCTGAGGGCTCCGCAGACACATCTTCCTTGTCCCCTCTATACCATTCCTCGCCCCTCGTTCCTCTCAGCAGTGCTAGTGGCAGCGCAGTCATCAGATGAGTTGCTGCTGGGGCGCGTGGCGGAGATGGAGGAGCAGCTCAACCAGCAGCTGCTGGAGGGGCCTGCTGAGAGCACCTCCCAGCCTGCCGGAGCTACCACAACCAAGGCTGCTGCCACTGCCGGCTCTGGCGATGGCGCTGCAACGTTAGTCCTTTCTTCTCGTTGCATGCGAATTTTTTGTGAATTCGGAAAACTACCTCTCAGGCTGCCGGAGCCACCACAGGGAATGCGGCTGCTATTGCTGACTCTGACGCCGCCACTGCTCAACAATGTCAATCTTAGCATGCTTAAGTTGACTTGCACCGTATTAGTGACTACCTGGCTGGCACCATGTCCCACTTCCACAGAAATCCTGCTAAAATCCACCTTGCTTCTGAGCATTTTCGTTTACAAGCTGAATACTGCCTCTTCTAAACCTGTTACTTGTCCCTGCATGCATCCCTCTCCCTCCCCTACGCTCCACCACATCCACCTCAGTGACGCCCTGCCACCACGTCCCACCTTCACAGAGGGCCTGCTGAAAACCACCTTCTTCCCTTTGAGCATTTCTCCCTATAAGCCAATTAGCACCTCTTTGAAACCTGCTACTTGTCCGTGCACCCCTCTCCCTCCCCTCTTCTGCTCCTCATCAGTGACGCCCTGCCACCACGTCCCACCTTCACAGAAGGCCTGCTGAAAACCACCACTCTCCCCCGCGGCATCTACCGCAACAAGCTGAATAGCACCTTCCTGGAATACCACCGAAATGTGCACAAGGGGGAGGTAGAACTGCACTGCATGGGCGGCACCTGCCCGAAGCTAGACAGCTGCAGCTCGGCGTTCCCGAACGTGCGAGCCTGCTTCTGGCCGAACCTGGTAGACGAGGATTATATTTACCCAGACCAGCCTGAGAACTGCCCGAAGCTGTCGAACTGGGATGAGGTTGGGGCGAAGGGGGCGGACCCTAGGTGCACGCACCCAGGGGATAATCTGAGATTTGATAAGTATGTGCCGCAGTATTTTGAGATCAAGGACGTGTTTGTGGATTCTAACGGGGTTCTCTTTAACGAGTCGCTGCACTTCTTCCGCCACGGGTGTTTCAAAGACAAAGAGGTGAGGTGAGGCGATGAGGTGAGGTCACAGTCACAGAGCAGTTCCCGTTCTTGACAGACACCCTTTTTAGCGCTCGTCGATCTCTCTGCCCGTCCACATATTCTCTCTCTCTGCCCACACTCGCTCTCCGCTGTAGTTTGCCTATCATGCCAATCAAACCAGCGTGCAGCACTACAGCCATCCCGTGCCTCTGCTGAACCAGCTGGGAGGAATTGTGAGGCAGTAAAGAATAGCCCTGTCTGTTCACTCTCACTCTCTTCCCTGCAGTTCGCCTACCACGCGAATCAGACCAGCGTGCAGCACTATCATCGCCTCGTGTCGCTGCTGTACCAGCTGGGCGGGGCGTTCTACCACACGCTCATCGAGGTGGTGCCGCACTTCCTGCTGCTCGCACCTCTGCTAAGAGACAACCCCGGCATGCCCATCGCTGTCAGCCGCAAACAGGCAAGCTCGCCAGCTTGGGGTGTGTGTGTTGGGGGGAGATGGAGGGAGGTGACAGGGGGCGTTCTACCACACGACCATCGAGGCAGTACCTCACTTCCTGCTGCTCGCCCCTCTGCTGAAAGACAACCCTGGCATTCCCATCGCTGTCAGCCGCAAACAGGCAAGTGTCTTTGATGTACCAACCAACTTGCTGGGGAAGAGGGCGGAGTGGGAGGCTGCGTTTTATTTTCCCAGTTCTCTGCAGCTGCTTAGGGCTGTTTGGGCCTGTTTGAGCCTAGTGCCTACCACGCTCCAGTCTTGCCTCTCCTGCTGCTCACGACTATGAGCCCTTCCTTTGCTTGTTCTCAAGTCGCTCTTACCACGCTCACAAGTCACCTTGAACCGTACTGCACTCCTCTCTCCTGCTCTTCACGAGCAAGCTGAAGATGTATGACTCTGTGCTGTACCCGATGGGCGGAATCAGCTCACGAGAGCTGAACCTTACTAAGCCCATCAGCTGAATCCTGAACAATAGAATCATAGATAACATGTCTTTGCTCCTCCTCCCTGCCAGCACAGCTGAAGATGTACGACTCGTTGCTGTATCCCATAGTGGGCATCAGCTCATGTGGCTTGACTTTTGAGGTCCCTCACTCACTGGTCGCTCTGGCTTGCCCCATTGCTCCTCTCCTGCTCCCCGCCAGCACAGCTGAAGATGTACGACTCGGTGCTGTACCCCATCGTGGGCATCAGCTCGAGGGAGCTGAACCTCGTTTTCAAGTCTCTCTTACCTTGCTCATAAGTCACCTTGAACCGTACTGCACTCCTCTCTTCTCTCCTCCTCCTCCCCGCCAGCACAGCTGAAGATGTACGACTCGGTGCTGTACCCCATCGTGGGCATCAGCTCGAGGGAGCTGAACCTCGTTCACGTCGACGACCGGGACCAGAAGATGCTGCTGCACGCTGACATGGCATACCAGGTGCGTGCGTGCTGACATGGCGTTCCACGTAAGTGCTGATGTGGCATACCAGGTACTTGCGGACATGGCGAAAGCTGAGCTGAGGCCTCTCAGAATTAGCGCACCACTCCAGCCACTCATTTGCCCCCACGACCGCTCTCCCCTCTCCTTTCCCAATCCCACTGCAGAATGTGTTTCAAGCATACGGCAGGGCAGGGTGGCACCAGGCGCGTGTCTTTTGAGGCGCCTCGAATGTGTTTCAAGCATACGGCAGGGCAGGGTGGCACCAGGCGCGTGTCTTTTGAGGCGCCTCGAATGTGTTTCAAGCATACGGCAGGGTGGCACCAGGCGCGTGTCTTTTGAGGCGCCTCGAATGTGTTTCAAGCATACGGCAGGGTGGCACCAGGCGCGTGTCTTTTGAGGCGCCTCGAATGTGTTTCAAGCATACGGCAGGGTGGCACCAGGCGCGTGTCTTTTGAGGCGCCTCGAATGTGTTTCAAGCATACGGCAGGGTGGCACCAGGCGCGTGTCTTTTGAGGCGCCTCGAATGTGTTTCAAGCATACGGCAGGGTGGCACCAGGCGCGTGTCTTTTGAGGCGCCTCGAATGTGTTTCAAGCATACGGCAGGGTGGCACCAGGCGCGTGTCTTTTGAGGCGCCTCGAATGTGTTTCAAGCATACGGCAGGGTGGCACCAGGCGCGTGTCTTTTGAGGCGCCTCGAATGTGTTTCAAGCATACGGCAGGGTGGCACCAGGCGCGTGTCTTTTGAGGCGCCTCGAATGTGTTTCAAGCATACGGCAGGGTGGCACCAGGCGCGTGTCTTTTGAGGCGCCTCGAATGTGTTTCAAGCATACGGCAGGGTGGCACCAGGCGCGTGTCTTTTGAGGCGCCTCGAATGTGTTTCAAGCATACGGCAGGGTGGCACCAGGCGCGTGTCTTTTGAGGCGCCTCGAATGTGTTTCAAGCATACGGCAGGGTGGCACCAGGCGCGTGTCTTTTGAGGCGCCTCGAATGTGTTTCAAGCATACGGCAGGGTGGCACCAGGCGCGTGTCTTTTGAGGCGCCTCGAATGTGTTTCAAGCATACGGCAGGGTGGCACCAGGCGCGTGTCTTTTGAGGCGCCTCGAATGTGTTTCAAGCATACGGCAGGGTGGCACCAGGCGCGTGTCTTTTGAGGCGCCTCGAATGTGTTTCAAGCATACGGCAGGGTGGCACCAGGCGCGTGTCTTTTGAGGCGCCTCGAATGTGTTTCAAGCATACGGCAGGGTGGCACCAGGCGCGTGTCTTTTGAGGCGCCTCGAATGTGTTTCAAGCATACGGCAGGGTGGCACCAGGCGCGTGTCTTTTGAGGCGCCTCGAATGTGTTTCAAGCATACGGCAGGGTGGCACCAGGCGCGTGTCTTTTGAGGCGCCTCGAATGTGTTTCAAGCATACGGCAGGGTGGCACCAGGCGCGTGTCTTTTGAGGCGCCTCGAATGTGTTTCAAGCATACGGCAGGGTGGCACCAGGCGCGTGTCTTTTGAGGCGCCTCGAATGTGTTTCAAGCATACGGCAGGGTGGCACCAGGCGCGTGTCTTTTGAGGCGCCTCGAATGTGTTTCAAGCATACGGCAGGGTGGCACCAGGCGCGTGTCTTTTGAGGCGCCTCGAATGTGTTTCAAGCATACGGCAGGGTGGCACCAGGCGCGTGTCTTTTGAGGCGCCTCGAATGTGTTTCAAGCATACGGCAGGGTGGCACCAGGCGCGTGTCTTTTGAGGCGCCTCGAATGTGTTTCAAGCATACGGCAGGGTGGCACCAGGCGCGTGTCTTTTGAGGCGCCTCGAATGTGTTTCAAGCATACGGCAGGGTGGCACCAGGCGCGTGTCTTTTGAGGCGCCTCGAATGTGTTTCAAGCATACGGCAGGGTGGCACCAGGCGCGTGTCTTTTGAGGCGCCTCGAATGTGTTTCAAGCATACGGCAGGGTGGCACCAGGCGCGTGTCTTTTGAGGCGCCTCGAATGTGTTTCAAGCATACGGCAGGGTGGCACCAGGCGCGTGTCTTTTGAGGCGCCTCGAATGTGTTTCAAGCATACGGCAGGGTGGCACCAGGCGCGTGTCTTTTGAGGCGCCTCGAATGTGTTTCAAGCATACGGCAGGGTGGCACCAGGCGCGTGTCTTTTGAGGCGCCTCGAATGTGTTTCAAGCATACGGCAGGGTGGCACCAGGCGCGTGTCTTTTGAGGCGCCTCGAATGTGTTTCAAGCATACGGCAGGGTGGCACCAGGCGCGTGTCTTTTGAGGCGCCTCGAATGTGTTTCAAGCATACGGCAGGGTGGCACCAGGCGCGTGTCTTTTGAGGCGCCTCGAATGTGTTTCAAGCATACGGCAGGGTGGCACCAGGCGCGTGTCTTTTGAGGCGCCTCGAATGTGTTTCAAGCATACGGCAGGGTGGCACCAGGCGCGTGTCTTTTGAGGCGCCTCGAATGTGTTTCAAGCATACGGCAGGGTGGCACCAGGCGCGTGTCTTTTGAGGCGCCTCGAATGTGTTTCAAGCATACGGCAGGGTGGCACCAGGCGCGTGTCTTTTGAGGCGCCTCGAATGTGTTTCAAGCATACGGCAGGGTGGCACCAGGCGCGTGTCTTTTGAGGCGCCTCGAATGTGTTTCAAGCATACGGCAGGGTGGCACCAGGCGCGTGTCTTTTGAGGCGCCTCGAATGTGTTTCAAGCATACGGCAGGGTGGCACCAGGCGCGTGTCTTTTGAGGCGCCTCGAATGTGTTTCAAGCATACGGCAGGGTGGCACCAGGCGCGTGTCTTTTGAGGCGCCTCGAATGTGTTTCAAGCATACGGCAGGGTGGCACCAGGCGCGTGTCTTTTGAGGCGCCTCGAATGTGTTTCAAGCATACGGCAGGGTGGCACCAGGCGCGTGTCTTTTGAGGCGCCTCGAATGTGTTTCAAGCATACGGCAGGGTGGCACCAGGCGCGTGTCTTTTGAGGCGCCTCGAATGTGTTTCAAGCATACGGCAGGGTGGCACCAGGCGCGTGTCTTTTGAGGCGCCTCGAATGTGTTTCAAGCATACGGCAGGGTGGCACCAGGCGCGTGTCTTTTGAGGCGCCTCGAATGTGTTTCAAGCATACGGCAGGGTGGCACCAGGCGCGTGTCTTTTGAGGCGCCTCGAATGTGTTTCAAGCATACGGCAGGGTGGCACCAGGCGCGTGTCTTTTGAGGCGCCTCGAATGTGTTTCAAGCATACGGCAGGGTGGCACCAGGCGCGTGTCTTTTGAGGCGCCTCGAATGTGTTTCAAGCATACGGCAGGGTGGCACCAGGCGCGTGTCTTTTGAGGCGCCTCGAATGTGTTTCAAGCATACGGCAGGGTGGCACCAGGCGCGTGTCTTTTGAGGCGCCTCGAATGTGTTTCAAGCATACGGCAGGGTGGCACCAGGCGCGTGTCTTTTGAGGCGCCTCGAATGTGTTTCAAGCATACGGCAGGGTGGCACCAGGCGCGTGTCTTTTGAGGCGCCTCGAATGTGTTTCAAGCATACGGCAGGGTGGCACCAGGCGCGTGTCTTTTGAGGCGCCTCGAATGTGTTTCAAGCATACGGCAGGGTGGCACCAGGCGCGTGTCTTTTGAGGCGCCTCGAATGTGTTTCAAGCATACGGCAGGGTGGCACCAGGCGCGTGTCTTTTGAGGCGCCTCGAATGTGTTTCAAGCATACGGCAGGGTGGCACCAGGCGCGTGTCTTTTGAGGCGCCTCGAATGTGTTTCAAGCATACGGCAGGGTGGCACCAGGCGCGTGTCTTTTGAGGCGCCTCGAATGTGTTTCAAGCATACGGCAGGGTGGCACCAGGCGCGTGTCTTTTGAGGCGCCTCGAATGTGTTTCAAGCATACGGCAGGGTGGCACCAGGCGCGTGTCTTTTGAGGCGCCTCGAATGTGTTTCAAGCATACGGCAGGGTGGCACCAGGCGCGTGTCTTTTGAGGCGCCTCGAATGTGTTTCAAGCATACGGCAGGGTGGCACCAGGCGCGTGTCTTTTGAGGCGCCTCGAATGTGTTTCAAGCATACGGCAGGGTGGCACCAGGCGCGTGTCTTTTGAGGCGCCTCGAATGTGTTTCAAGCATACGGCAGGGTGGCACCAGGCGCGTGTCTTTTGAGGCGCCTCGAATGTGTTTCAAGCATACGGCAGGGTGGCACCAGGCGCGTGTCTTTTGAGGCGCCTCGAATGTGTTTCAAGCATACGGCAGGGTGGCACCAGGCGCGTGTCTTTTGAGGCGCCTCGAATGTGTTTCAAGCATACGGCAGGGTGGCACCAGGCGCGTGTCTTTTGAGGCGCCTCGAATGTGTTTCAAGCATACGGCAGGGTGGCACCAGGCGCGTGTCTTTTGAGGCGCCTCGAATGTGTTTCAAGCATACGGCAGGGTGGCACCAGGCGCGTGTCTTTTGAGGCGCCTCGAATGTGTTTCAAGCATACGGCAGGGTGGCACCAGGCGCGTGTCTTTTGAGGCGCCTCGAATGTGTTTCAAGCATACGGCAGGGTGGCACCAGGCGCGTGTCTTTTGAGGCGCCTCGAATGTGTTTCAAGCATACGGCAGGGTGGCACCAGGCGCGTGTCTTTTGAGGCGCCTCGAATGTGTTTCAAGCATACGGCAGGGTGGCACCAGGCGCGTGTCTTTTGAGGCGCCTCGAATGTGTTTCAAGCATACGGCAGGGTGGCACCAGGCGCGTGTCTTTTGAGGCGCCTCGAATGTGTTTCAAGCATACGGCAGGGTGGCACCAGGCGCGTGTCTTTTGAGGCGCCTCGAATGTGTTTCAAGCATACGGCAGGGTGGCACCAGGCGCGTGTCTTTTGAGGCGCCTCGAATGTGTTTCAAGCATACGGCAGGGTGGCACCAGGCGCGTGTCTTTTGAGGCGCCTCGAATGTGTTTCAAGCATACGGCAGGGTGGCACCAGGCGCGTGTCTTTTGAGGCGCCTCGAATGTGTTTCAAGCATACGGCAGGGTGGCACCAGGCGCGTGTCTTTTGAGGCGCCTCGAATGTGTTTCAAGCATACGGCAGGGTGGCACCAGGCGCGTGTCTTTTGAGGCGCCTCGAATGTGTTTCAAGCATACGGCAGGGTGGCACCAGGCGCGTGTCTTTTGAGGCGCCTCGAATGTGTTTCAAGCATACGGCAGGGTGGCACCAGGCGCGTGTCTTTTGAGGCGCCTCGAATGTGTTTCAAGCATACGGCAGGGTGGCACCAGGCGCGTGTCTTTTGAGGCGCCTCGAATGTGTTTCAAGCATACGGCAGGGTGGCACCAGGCGCGTGTCTTTTGAGGCGCCTCGAATGTGTTTCAAGCATACGGCAGGGTGGCACCAGGCGCGTGTCTTTTGAGGCGCCTCGAATGTGTTTCAAGCATACGGCAGGGTGGCACCAGGCGCGTGTCTTTTGAGGCGCCTCGAATGTGTTTCAAGCATACGGCAGGGTGGCACCAGGCGCGTGTCTTTTGAGGCGCCTCGAATGTGTTTCAAGCATACGGCAGGGTGGCACCAGGCGCGTGTCTTTTGAGGCGCCTCGAATGTGTTTCAAGCATACGGCAGGGTGGCACCAGGCGCGTGTCTTTTGAGGCGCCTCGAATGTGTTTCAAGCATACGGCAGGGTGGCACCAGGCGCGTGTCTTTTGAGGCGCCTCGAATGTGTTTCAAGCATACGGCAGGGTGGCACCAGGCGCGTGTCTTTTGAGGCGCCTCGAATGTGTTTCAAGCATACGGCAGGGTGGCACCAGGCGCGTGTCTTTTGAGGCGCCTCGAATGTGTTTCAAGCATACGGCAGGGTGGCACCAGGCGCGTGTCTTTTGAGGCGCCTCGAATGTGTTTCAAGCATACGGCAGGGTGGCACCAGGCGCGTGTCTTTTGAGGCGCCTCGAATGTGTTTCAAGCATACGGCAGGGTGGCACCAGGCGCGTGTCTTTTGAGGCGCCTCGAATGTGTTTCAAGCATACGGCAGGGTGGCACCAGGCGCGTGTCTTTTGAGGCGCCTCGAATGTGTTTCAAGCATACGGCAGGGTGGCACCAGGCGCGTGTCTTTTGAGGCGCCTCGAATGTGTTTCAAGCATACGGCAGGGTGGCACCAGGCGCGTGTCTTTTGAGGCGCCTCGAATGTGTTTCAAGCATACGGCAGGGTGGCACCAGGCGCGTGTCTTTTGAGGCGCCTCGAATGTGTTTCAAGCATACGGCAGGGTGGCACCAGGCGCGTGTCTTTTGAGGCGCCTCGAATGTGTTTCAAGCATACGGCAGGGTGGCACCAGGCGCGTGTCTTTTGAGGCGCCTCGAATGTGTTTCAAGCATACGGCAGGGTGGCACCAGGCGCGTGTCTTTTGAGGCGCCTCGAATGTGTTTCAAGCATACGGCAGGGTGGCACCAGGCGCGTGTCTTTTGAGGCGCCTCGAATGTGTTTCAAGCATACGGCAGGGTGGCACCAGGCGCGTGTCTTTTGAGGCGCCTCGAATGTGTTTCAAGCATACGGCAGGGTGGCACCAGGCGCGTGTCTTTTGAGGCGCCTCGAATGTGTTTCAAGCATACGGCAGGGTGGCACCAGGCGCGTGTCTTTTGAGGCGCCTCGAATGTGTTTCAAGCATACGGCAGGGTGGCACCAGGCGCGTGTCTTTTGAGGCGCCTCGAATGTGTTTCAAGCATACGGCAGGGTGGCACCAGGCGCGTGTCTTTTGAGGCGCCTCGAATGTGTTTCAAGCATACGGCAGGGTGGCACCAGGCGCGTGTCTTTTGAGGCGCCTCGAATGTGTTTCAAGCATACGGCAGGGTGGCACCAGGCGCGTGTCTTTTGAGGCGCCTCGAATGTGTTTCAAGCATACGGCAGGGTGGCACCAGGCGCGTGTCTTTTGAGGCGCCTCGAATGTGTTTCAAGCATACGGCAGGGTGGCACCAGGCGCGTGTCTTTTGAGGCGCCTCGAATGTGTTTCAAGCATACGGCAGGGTGGCACCAGGCGCGTGTCTTTTGAGGCGCCTCGAATGTGTTTCAAGCATACGGCAGGGTGGCACCAGGCGCGTGTCTTTTGAGGCGCCTCGAATGTGTTTCAAGCATACGGCAGGGTGGCACCAGGCGCGTGTCTTTTGAGGCGCCTCGAATGTGTTTCAAGCATACGGCAGGGTGGCACCAGGCGCGTGTCTTTTGAGGCGCCTCGAATGTGTTTCAAGCATACGGCAGGGTGGCACCAGGCGCGTGTCTTTTGAGGCGCCTCGAATGTGTTTCAAGCATACGGCAGGGTGGCACCAGGCGCGTGTCGGGAGCTGAGGCGGCCTCACTCTTCTTCATCAACTCCCTCTTCCTTCCCCCCCCACACCCCCTTCCTACCTCGAATCCCACTGCAGCCTGTGTTCCAAGCATGCGGCAGGGCAGCACCAGGCATGTGGCGGGAGCTGAGGCGGCGCTACCTCGTGAATCCATCATCTCCCTCTTCGTTTCCTTACACACCCCCCCACACCCACCCACCCACCCTCCCCCTCGAATCCCACTGCAGCCTGTGTTCCAAGCATGCGGCAGGGCAGCACCAGGCATGTGGCGGGAGCTGAGGCGGCGCTACCTCGTGAATCCATCATCTCCCTCTTCATTTCCTTACACACCCCACACCCACCCACCCACCCTCCCCCTCTAATCGCACTGCAGCCTGTGTTCCAAGCATGCGGCAGGGCAGCACCAGGCATGTGGCGGGAGCTGAGGCGGCGCTACCTCGTGAATCCATCATCTCCCTCTTCATTTCCTTACACACCCCACACCCACCCACCCACCCTCCCCCTCTAATCGCACTGCAGCCTGTGTTCCAAGCATGCGGCAGGGCAGCACCAGGCATGTGGCGGGAGCTGAGGCGGCGCTACCTCGTGCCCCACGACGGCCTCCCCATGTTCGGCCCGGGCTTTGCTCCCCGACACCCTGGCAATGGCAGCAGCAGCAGTGACAGCTCTGGGAACAGCAGCAGCACCGCCACCAACAGCAGCAGCAGCAACATCCCCCCTCCGTGGACTGACGAGCAGATGGCGCGGTTGCCCGCCAGCTGGCTGGCTGTGATTGCTCGGCGCCACAAGTCCAAGCGGCGCATTGCTGGCTTCGCGCAATTGGTGGACTCCATGAAGCAGATCTTCCACCCTTCCAGGGTGTATGTGTTTGATGGAAAGCTGAATGTCACCCAAGGTGCGCTGGGTTGGGAGCATGGTTCAGTCCATGTGGTGTGGTTTAAATACCATCACAAGCTACTCACATCCAGTCAATTGGTGGATTCCATGAAGCAGATCTTCCACCCATCAAGGGTCTATGTGTTCGGCAAGCTGAATGTCACCCAAGGTGCGTTGGGTTGGGAGCATCTTGTGCCCCTCAATGCCAGCACCTCCTGTCCCATCCCACATCCCGGCCCTCTTGTCCCGCTCATCCCAGGCAAATCCTTGTTCAATGGGGCAGCAGTGTTTGTGGGCTTGCACGGAGCAGGCCTGGGCAACATGGTCTCTTGATGCCCGTCAACGCCAGCATCTCATGCACCCCCTCTGTCTCCCCATCCGACATCCTCTTTTCCCCCTCCCTGCCTTCTTGTCCCTCCCCTCCCCCACAAACCCCTGCAGCCGAAACAGTATTCAACAGGGCAGCAGTGTTCGTGGGGTTGCACGGGGCAGGCCTGGCCAACATGGTCTTCATGCCCCTCAACGCCAGCACCTCTTGTGCCTCCTGTCCTGCCATACCACATCATGTTTCCCCCTTCCTCGCTCTCTTGTCCCTCTCGTTCCAGCCAAAACGGTGTTCAACAGAGCAGCAGTGTTTGTGGGGTTGCACGGGGCAGGCCTGGCCAACATGGTCTTCATGCCTCTCAACGCCAGCATCTTTGAAATCCGCCCCCGCGGCTACCCCAACCCCTGCTACCACCACCTAGCCACAGCCACCCAGATGCACTACCATTTGATTCTCGGAAATGGTACCAAGGACAGCGAGTTGAAATTCAATCACACCGAGGCTGTTGAGGTGCTGAGACTGATTGCCAATCGCACGAGAGCAAGAATGTCGGCTGAGAAGTTTGAGTCAATTAATCTCCTGCCTCCGCTGGAGGCGGTTGGGGAGGAGGATTGGGAGGAGGGGGGTGGGGAGGATGGGGAGGAGGAGGAGGACAACGGGGGAGGGGGGAATGCGGAGTTGACTATTCCGCTTGAGCTTATGGCGGATGTGACTCTAAAGGCGCTGAATGACACAGATATAGGGGCGGAGGAGCAGGAAGAGGAGGTGATGAAGAGTCTGGATGAGAAGATCTTAAAGAAGATGGAGGAGGAGAGGATGGTTACCACTGGGGAGTTGAGTGAGGATATGAAACGCTCTGTGATGAAGCAAGTGCATGTGAACTCAGGGGTGGCGCATGACAAGCGCAAGGCGATTCTTAACTGTACGGGCAGCCCGTGCCCAGATTTTTCGGGCAGGTGTGCGTCGAACCACGAAGCTTCGGCTTGCAGTATGGATGAGATTTCAGACGAGGGGTTTGCCCGCCCGGCGATTCCTATAAACTGCCCGAAGAAGGCAAATGTGGCGACTGTGGGGCCGGAGGGGAGGGATGAGAGCTGCTCGCACACGTCTGATTTCGGGTGGTATGAACCGGGTACATTCCAGATTTACCTTCTGCGGGGAGTGTATATCGACCACGAGGGGCATGTGTTCAACAAAACGACTCATTTCAACCGGGAGGGGTGCAACAACGACTCTCCGGTAAGTGCTAGTGTGTTTGGTGAGAGTACATAAGGTGACATGTGCGTGTGAGGTGATGCGTCTGTGTGTGAGAGAGGGTGCTGAATATGTGCGCATGTGTGTGTGTGCGGTGACTGTTGTGAGGTGACACAACGTGTGTGTGAGGTGATGTGTTTTTTTATTTATTTTTTTCAATGTATAAGAGTCAAGTTGTCGAGCCTCCTGCGCACCATCCGCAATCAGGTTCAAACACGGATTTTTCCACTCCAAGTATGAGTTTGTTCGTACTTTCTACCTCAAATTCCAAGCCATACAGATGAATAAAATCACCCCTCCCCTCAGTTCTGTCCCAACCCCTTCCCCATCTTTCCAGTTTGAATACAAGAAGGGGACAAAGGTGCATAAGTTGAAGCGAGTGGTGAATCTGGCGTACTATCAGGGCCGCAACTTCTATCCCGGCCTCATCGAGTGGACGCCTCCTCCCCGTTCCTCCCCTGTCTCAACACTGGATTGCAGTTTGAGTACAAGAAGGGGACTAAGGTGCATAAGCTCAAGAGGGTGGTGAACCTGGCGTACTATCAGGGCCGCAACTTCTACCACGGGCTCATCAATTCACCCCTTTCCTTCACTCTTGCAGTTTGAGTACAAGAAAGGAACGAAGGTCAATAGGTTGAAGCGAGTGGTGAACCTGGCGTATTATCAGGGCCGCAACTTCTACCACGGGCTCATCGAGTGGACGCCCCAGCTCTTCCTCCTCAGATCTCTGCTTCACGCCCACCCCACCATCCCTCTGCTCGCCATTCATGACCAGGTGGAAAATCCTGGTGTAGGTGTGTAGGCCTGCAACCAGGTACACTTGATGTCCCACCTCCTCGTCCTCCTCAGATCTCTGCTTCACGCCCACCCCACCATCCCTCTGCTCTCCATTCATGACCAGGTGGAAAATCCTGGTGTAGGTGTGTAGGCCTGCAACCAGGTACACTTGATGTCCCACCTCCTCTTCCTCCTCAGATCTCTGCTTCACGCCCACCCCACCATCCCTCTGCTCTCCATTCATGACCAGGTGGAAAATCCTGGTGTAGGTGTGTAGGCCTGCAACCAGGTACACTTGATGTCCCACCTCCTCTTCCTCCTCAGATCTCTGCTTCACGCCCACCCCACCATCCCTCTGCTCTCCATCCGCGACCAGGTACATCTGGTTTAGGTGTACTTGTTTGGTGTATTTTGGGGTTGCAGCTGGTGTAAGTGTGTACACTTTCTTGGCAAGGTGGTGCATGTGCTTCATCATCACAGCTGCATGCATCATCACAGCAGCATGCACCATCACAGCTGCATGCATCATCACAGCAGCATGCACCATCACAGCAGCATGCACCATCACAGCTGCATGCACCATCACAGCTGCATGCACCATCACAGCAGCATGCACCATCACAGCAGCATGCACCATCACAGCTGCATGCACCATCACAGCTGCACGCACCATCACAGCTGCATGCACCATCACAGCTGCATGCACCATCACAGCTGCATGCACCATCACAGCTGCATGCACCATCACAGCAGCATGCACCATCACAGCTGCATGCACCATCACAGCAGCATGCACCATCACAGCTGCATGCACCATCACAGCTGCATGCACCATCTCAGCTGCATGCACCATCACAGCAGCATGCACCATCTCAGCTGCATGCACCATCACAGCTGCATGCACCATCACAGCTGCATGCACCATCACAGCTGCATGCACCATCTCAGCTGCATGCACCATCACAGCAGCATGCACCATCACAGCTGCATGCACCATCTCAGCTGCATGCACCATCACAGCTGCATGCACCATCACAGCTGCATGCACCATCACAGCTGCATGCACCATCTCAGCTGCATGCACCATCACAGCTGCATGCACCATCACAGCTGCATGCACCATCACAGCTGCATGCACCATCACAGCTGCATGCACCATCACAGCTGGGCACGTGTCCTAAACTCAAAACACCCTTCCTTCCCCCTGCCTCTCCTTTCCTCCTCTATCCATTCCCTCTCCATCCAGTGGGATTTTTACGAGAATATATCCAAGCCAATCATAGGGGTGGAGCAGTTCGCTATGAACCGACTTAATATAAGCCGCGGGGAGCTCTTTTATGCCGATGAGGTGTACCTTGTAAGTCACGGCATCACTTAAATGACCATGTTGCGCACCTTCTTATACCACATGCCAATTCTAGGCATTTTGTTGTTCCAAGCTCACGCATTTCGGTGTTTAAAGCTTAAGTTCTTTGCTGATTCATTTCCAAGTGTTGTGCTCCTTCTCTTGTCCTCCTGTTTTCCCTCCCTCCTTAACACCCCAGCCCCTATACCAGGCATGTGGCAAGGCCAGCCCCTCCCTCTGGTCGCTCCTCCGCTCCCACTTCCTCCTCGCCCCACAAGGCCTCCCCATCTTTCCGCCCACCACTTGGATCCAACGGCCAGAATTGGCCGATCCGGTGAACCAGACGGAGGCGGCCACGGTGCCGCCCGATTGGATGGTGCTGCTGGTGCGGCGGCCAGGTGTCAAGCGCTCATTGGACCGCTGGGACGAGCTGTATGAGTCCGCTGTGTCGGTGTTCTCACTCAACCGGGTGCATGTGCTAAATGGCTCAGTGCCCATGCTCAAAGGTACTCGACCTTTTCTCTCGATTTCAGTGTGTTTGCTTTTTTTCTCGCCTTTTTGTTTCCCATTTTCTTTCCAACATTGTCCAACAATGATAACTTCAGGCTGTGCGGATGCCCCCCCAAACTTTCTGCCAACTCCTTCCCCTTCCCGCGTCTCCCCCTTAATGTTCCTGCACGACCCGTGTTCCTGTTCCTGTTCCCACAACTCCAGCTCGGTCGCTGTTTCGAAGAGCGAGGCTGCTTATAGCGGGTCATGGAGCAGCAATGGCAAACATGGTCTTCATGCGACCCAACATGACAGTTTATGAGATTCGACCCGACAAGAGCAACAACGCGTGTTACCACCACCTAGCACACGCGTGTGGGCTCCGGTACTACCTGACGTTTGGGGATGGGGATGGGGAGAGCATAGTGAAGATCGATGTGGGGAAGATAACGGGGGTGTTGAAGGAAATTGCCAAGACGTTTCCGCCTTTGCCTGGTGATGAGCATCCAGATGATGTGTCTATATTTGGGGACAGCCCGGCCGGGTAGCGCAAAGTGCCGATATAAGGTACCCTATATGCATTTTATTTGTTATGTATATTGTGGAACTTTCCTGTCAGGGCCCACGTTATCAGGGCAAAACATCCTGATTACCCTGAATTCAGGATGCACTTCTGTATTTACCCTGCAATTTCAGAATAGTCATAATTTTAACCCTGAGGTCACAGGATGTTTTTATGTGAAATGCCCTGGAGTTTCAGGATGGCCGTAGTGTTCTTCCCTGTAGCGTCAGGATGAATGTCGAGGCCTGCCCTGACGCGGATTTTTTTTTGGGGGGGGGGGGGGGGGGGGGGGGGGGGGGGGGGGTAAGGGGGGGTGTTCCGTTTCGGGGGGAATTTTTTCCCCGAGGACTTTTGTCTCCGTTGAAATTTTCCCCCCTGTATGTTTCCCGCCTTCGCACGTTCTCTTCCCCTTGACATTTCCGATCCCCCGCTACACCAGCCAAGCCAACCCCATCACCCACCGCCAAGGCAACTCGCCTAGTATAATACCAAGTATATGTGCGCTGCAGCGCTGCGGCTGCTCTGCTATGCTAAACAGAGTCTGGTCTGGTCTGTGTGTGCTAAATTCAGAACCCTGAACACTATTATTTTTGCCCTGACAGGTCAGGATTAGTTTCTGCAAAAGCCCTGACCAATCAGGAAGGCTTTGAAGATTTGCCTTGAGAAATCAGGGCATTTTTTAAGATTCTAGAAAAGTGCCCTGAGGGCTCAGGGTGCCCCAAAACCTAGCACGGGCCCTGTTTCCTGTTACTAAATTAAGCATTCCAGATCTGTAGTGTAGTTCTACCTAGTCTTGCTTGCAATGCCCCAACACCTCACTGGAGACATGAAGCTGGCAAACAGCATACTCCATGGCGCTGCATTGCTTTGTGTGTCTATGTGTATTACCGTACCTAAATTTCCCGGATAAGCCTCCCTAAAGTCTGCAAGGTGGTGGCCGAGGGGCAGGGTGGTGGTGCTGCTGCATGTTTGAACAGGGAGGCGGAGGAAGAGGGAGCGGTGGTTCTTGATGGGGATGTGAAAGAGATGGTTCAGGTGCATGCTAGGGTATTGGTGCATTGATATGAGTTTATAGGGCAAAGTGACCAGGCCACTCAACCCAGCAATAGTCCAGGGCATGGTTAGCGCATTGGTGGCAGGGGGGCAGGGTGCTGCTGCTGCAGAACTTGTGAAACATGCAGAAGAGGAAGGGATGATGGTTGATGAGGATGTGAAAGAGATGGTTCAGATACATACATAGGAGTTGGTGCATTTAAAAGTTGGTGCATTACAATGATGAATCAATACGACATGGCACGTTATATGTACATCTGCATAATTTTTCTCCCAATATAAAGAGATTGACTTGGAGTATTATGTGATCATACATTGAATCATCTTCTGATGATATGGTACCAGTGTTTGTTATGAAGTGTTTCTTTGTTGCTATTACCTCCCTTGGTCATACGTAAAGCAGCAAACACTGTACCCTCATCCATGATTGTATGGTGCAGTGCAGCACACCCGCAGCGAAACAATCGCCAAGTTCCGAGGATTGCGCGTGCGATGCCGCTCAAGCCAACAGACGGACGGACGCGAGGGAATTGTCGTCGGTCACCTTGAAAGGGAAGCAATCACGAAGGTCAGGGAGCACCGACCAGGGTTTTGGCATAACACTTCTGAGCACTTCGATTGGCCAGAATTTGTTGACGGTCATTTCCTGCGCTCCATTTACTTGACGGCGCGGTGATCCCACTTCCAAGTGGTGTGTGATCTGGGTGAAGTTGCTGCGGTGCGAGCCGCTTCACGCGAGCCGCATTTTCCACTCGCCGAGCCGCATTCGAGATTCCAATTCCCCAATGTTCCACATCCTTCCATCCAGCTTTTTGCATAAATTCGCTCCCCCTCCTCATCACTTCCAAAACCAATTAGCCCCTAACACTTCTAGTCACTCCATTCTGAATTTACTCAGATTCCAAAAAAACGACTCTAGCCCCTTAAAAGTCTCGCTTCTGCCGTGACCTCCCTTCTTCACACCGCGTTATGGCTTCCAAAGTGACTTCCTTCGCCGTTCTGCTGCTGGTGGCAGTTTTTGCCATGTCTCTCTCACCCTCAGATGCTGCGCGCAACCGCCCGTACTGCCGCTTCGACGGGAAGCTGGTGGTGAGCAACCTCGTGAAGGAGCTCACGGCGGCCGGAAACTACTCGACTCTGATCGCCGCGCTTAAGACGACAGGTAAGGATGACGCAATAACTTGAATCTGAGCTGTATCCTGCCGCGGATTTCAATATTCCTCGAAGAGACGCAAAGCCCATTGTTCTTCGGTAGTAAAACCGAGCATTTCGTTCGTCTTATACCCTATAGTTCAGTCCTCATGTTCCCATCGACGCGGCGTCCGTCCCTCACCTATTACCCTCTCTCGTTCTTGAATTTCACTCAAAATTTCAGACCTAGACAAAGACCTCGCTGACCTTTTCAACTGCTACGAGGCGACGCTCTTCGCGCCCACGGACGCGGCGTTCGAGGAGCTCTCCAATGACACGAAGAAGGCGATTGAAGACGACAAGGTGCTGCGCGAAGTGCTGCTGCTGCACGTAGTACAGAAGAAAATGACTGCCGCTGAGCTCATGGCACTGCCCCAGGGAAAGCAGGTGAGACATTGTGATAGTGCTAGTAATGATGGGGTGGTGATGGTAAAGAACCTGATATTGCATTTTCCGAACTGATCCATACCCCATCATGTGACACATCCATCCCTGGGAGGATCCGATATCATTCTACCGCTCCTAATCCCTTCCAACCTTTCATATGCTCGCCAACATTCCGTGCAGCTCAAGGCCGCAGCAGGCGGGTGCAAGGCTCGTTTGGTGAAGGTGTCAACTCGCGGCGCCCAGCCAGTCGAGGTGCAGGCCAAGGACGGCCCGCAGGAAGCTTCCGTGGTGGCTGCTGACGTCATATCGATCCGAGTGGTGCAGGTGCACAGGGTGGATGACGTCATCCTGCCCAAGACCCTGCAGAAGGGCGAAGGTGATTCCCTCAAGCCCACCAAGTGCGTCGCCTGGAGGGCTTAGGCGTAGCCTAGGCATAGCCAGGGTTTAGGGCGATGCTGACTCGCCCATAGCCATAGGCTATGCTTGTATCACTGCTGGGAATTCTCACAAAGGTGATACAGGTATAGGCTTGGGCTAGGCTCTGCCTCTGGTTCCTGAGTTGAATAACTCGCTTGCCTGTGCCCAGCTTGGGAGGATGGGTCATGAGGATGTGTGAGGTTGGGATTCCAACCTCCTCTCCACGTGGCTTTGACCAGCCAGTGTGATTCCGGTGGCATTGGCTGACTGCTGAAGCAGCATTGCCTCGATGCTGTGTTGATTGTGCTGGGTAGTAGGCAGGAGTATTGGTGTTGTCACATGGCATTTGCTCTTGTAGTACGGTATTTGTGGAGCAATGCAATGCATGTACTGTATCAAGAACCATAGTGGTACAGTCTGGATACCGTATTTCACGTGCTCGTGCTGTCAATACCATGCTGTTCTGATGCCACCTAACACCAACCTACCAGAACTGGGAGAAGGGAGGTGATATTGGCAACCTCTTCACAATTCTGGTCACAATACTTCTGCCTCAAGATTCAGCACATGAGAAATTTCACGCACTGTCACACACACTCCCCACTGATGTGATCGCGAGACGTTCAGAGAGAGCGGAATAAGCAACTAGGGGACAACTAGAATACACTATGGCATGGACTCTCTTTGCATCCCATGCAACAAATAACCCCCAATATGAAAAAAAATTTCATATAAAAAATATTTACAAGCAAGAGAGTTGGAAATTGCAAATGAGACTAGGTGGCAGGTCGCCAAGACCTGCCGAAAGAAGGAGCTTGTCTCCTTTCAAGTCGTGTCACAATCAGCAACATTAGAAAGAAAAATCATGCCAGACACTGTGTGGCTAGACGTAAGGCCTCTGACAATTCATATTAGCCAAGAATCCACCTCCACGTAACATACAGCGTCGTAGCAGCAGCAGCCAGCAAGCCAATGCGCGACAGCACTATCGCCCAGCACCACTCGCCCGTAACCCTGCTAACAGCACGGAACACCTCCCAAGAAGCAGCAGCCAGCAGGCCAACCTGGAGAAACCAGCGTCCCTTTCGAGTCGACTCAAGAGTCAGCTCCAACAGACTCCACCTGAAATAAGCACCACTCCCAGCTGCAACAGTCTGGAGAACAACGCATCACTCCCACTGACCTTCGCCGATCCCAGCCTCCATCCGTACCGATCTCCGAAGTGCCTCCAACACCACTCAAACTGGTTCAAAAGCATCTGCTAGCAGGGCAATGCACAAAAGCGCCAGCAGCCCGTGTCAGAATCTAGAGACAAGAATGAATGCATTGATCAAGAGTTGGGTACATAAGCTAACCCTAACATTGGGTTGTACCCCATATGGGCTACCCCACTAGCAGCCTACACAAACACAATATGCATTGTTTGACAGCCCGTCCTACAGAGGTGAAAGGATATAAAAGAAGCATAAAATTCCCATCACCGTTCATCCGTAACCCCCCTGGCCGCATAGAACATCTCGGAAGCAGCTGCTAGCAAGCCAGCCAGGAACAAACGCAGGAACACCCTCATCATTCCCACACCCTTTACCCACCCCAGCTTCAAACCCCATCACCCAGGTTCATGAATATGGAGGCGCCTCAGAAACCATCACCGCTCATCTGTGATCCCCCTGACCGCATAGAACGTCCCAGAAGCCGCAGCCAACAGGCCAATCAGGAACAGCCCCATCACCCCCACCACCTCTCCCCACCCTAATCTCCCCCCTTCCCTCCACGGCCCACCCATGAGCTTCAGATAACACGCGCACGGTAGCATGACGGAGATGGAAAGCGAGAGGAAGCTTTATGAGAATTAGAAGAATCCGCCCATCACCACTCATCTGTAATCCCCCTGACCGCATAGAACGTTCCAGAAGCAGCGGCCAGCAGGCCAATCAGAAACAGCCCCATCACCCCCACCACCTCCCTCCACCCTAATCTCCCCCCTTCCCTCCACGGCCCACCCATTAGCTTCAGGTAGCAGGCGCACGGTAGCATAACAGAGATGGAAAGCGACAGGAAGCTTCCAATAAACGCCATGACAAGCCCGAAGAAAGGGACGGAGAGCGCTACAGTGACTGCGCCGGCCACTAGTGCCGTCCGGAGGGCTGTGGCAGACGCTATGTGCTGCCATGAATCCACACCCAAGCCCACGTCCATACCCTTGCCCATGCCTGTTCCCGCTCTTGTTCCCATGCCTGTTCCCGAGCCTGTGCCTGTGCCGGTGCCCATGCTGCCTCCTTCCATGACGTCAGCATCCCCTTCAGCAGACAAATCCCCCTCTTGGGTAGAGTGAGAATGCGAGTCAGAGTGAGGGAGTGAGTGCGGGTGGGCGGTGGGGAGGGCTTCTTCCAAAGCCAGCGCAATCGGCAGCATAGTGAGCGCAAACTTAGTAAAAGGATTCACCACTGTGGTCCATACCACAGCCTTGGAAGCACTAAGTGCCGGCGGCAAGTTAAGCGTGATCTGCGACTGCACCGACGAGCCGAACATGGCGTACCCCATAAGAGCCATCCCGCCATAAAGCAGAGTGCACACGGAGAAACTCACGAGCATAACCGGCGTGAAATGGTCCGGTTTCCTCATGGATCGGTAAATATTCGGCACGACCGCGTGCCCGGAGAAACAAAATCCGAACAAACCAGCTGCTGCTGGTAACCCCATGGGTTTGAACCATTCCGTGGTGCTGCTGATGCCGCCTGGAATATCCCCGATATGGTCAACTTCTTTAAGCCATCCCACGCCGAAGACTAGTAGGAGTGACGCCAGTACACCTCCAGCTGAGATGTATGCGAGAAGGCTCAGGTCTCTTAGCCAGACGGTGGGGAGGACTATTAACGCGGAAAGAATGACGTAAAACTGCTTCGGTTCTAGGCAGAGGTTGCCTGCTCCTGTAGCTAACGCTACTGCCTCTAAAGCCGGTTCGATCCCTCTCACAACCGCTGATGACAATGCTGCTGCTGCTCCGAACAGCCCTTCCCTTTGGCCCCTCTCTCCTCCCCCTCCTCGTGCTATTCCTTCCAGGAACCACACTCCACCGCTCTCCATCCCTCCACGGCCCCCCTTCCCAACCAGGCTCCCCGGAAGCAGACAAATATCGCCGGACGGAAACAGATGCGCCAGATTGTCCCCCTCTAGAATCAACAGCTCTACAGTCACGGCGTATAGCTCGAAATAGAGCAGAAACGCAGTCAGCCAGCGCCCCGCGCGCCCGAACGCGGCTTCCCCGATATCCGGATACGAGCGGATGGGGCGCGGCGCGCGGACGATGCGCGCGGACGCGCGGGCGGAGGCGCGCGCGGAGGCGGCGGAGGGCGGCGCGGCGGGGTCGTCCGCGAAGGATCGAAGCGACGAATCGGACGGAAACGCGGAGGTTGATGAAGGTGGTCGGAAGTCCATGCATCGGCGCAGCAGGATGGCGGTGTAGCAGCAGGCAGCGGCGAAGAAGAGCAACACGAGCAGACCCAGCCAGCCCGCTTGCGCCGTGGCGTATGGCGTTGAGAGAATGCCGATGCCTGCGGGGAAGGGGAACGGAATGGGAAAGAAGGCCAGGGAAGATGAGGAAAAGAGGGGTTTGAAGAGCAGCAGGATGGCGGTGTAGCAGCAGGCGGCGGCGAAGAAGAGCAGCACGAGCAGACCCAGCCAGCCCGCTTGTGCCGTGGCGTATGGCGTTGAAAGAATGCCAATGCCTGTGGGGGAGCGGAGGGGGTGGGGAGAGAAGGGGATGAGGAGAGAAGAAGAGCAGCACGAGCAGACCCAGCCAGCCTGCTTGTGCCGTGGCGTATGGCGTTGAGAGAATGCCGATGCCTGCGGGGGAAGGAAAAGCGGGAAGTGGGGAAGGGGGTAGAGGAGAGGGGGGAGGGATGAGGGTAGGGGAAGAAGGAGGAACGTGAAAAGGACTAAGAAGCTGCGTTCGTGACTCGGCGTCTTTCTGGCCATAATTTTGTTACTATATTTTCTGGCCTTTTCTTCTCTTTACACTTCATGGCCTTCGTAAACAAAAGAAACGCCCAGATTTTTAATCTTGCAACAAGCCACTCACCTGCGAGAACATTGATGCCGTTAAATACGCTGTCAATAAACCCGCTGTTTCCCCGATGTTCGATCCGCCGATACTCCTCCTCGCCTCGTATTCCCTTCGCGCGCTCCGTTTCTCCCACGCCGCCGACCCCGCCCGCGGCGCGTTCAACATCCTTCCCATACACAATGTCTGAGTCCGAGTCGCCTCTTCCCGCGGCCGCTTTATCGCCCAGCAAGGGAGCTTCGAGACCCTCTTGCGTCTTGTACACGACAGACCCGAACCGCGAATTTCCTCTCGACTCGGTGACTTTTCGCATTTGCGGCTCGCCGCTTAGGAGCGGACGGTAGCGGTCTGAGTTGGCTGTGACTGTATCGAGCGTGACTGCGACGGATTCGGGAGATTCCATCCTTGTATCGGTGCCAAAGCACGTTTGCTGCTGGAGGTGTGGGGGCATTGTAACGAGAAAAGCGCCCACGCCCGTGCGCTGCTCTTTCTATTACTTTCCACGCCTGTGCGCTGCTCTTTCTATTACTTTCAGAGTTGGCGCGATTCAAGATTAACCTTTTTTCACGCAACCTTTGCGTGAACCCCCGTTCTGCCCCCGAGTTTTCGGGTACACCGTGTATGCTTCTCCTTTTTCCACGGAAGTACTTCACACAATGAAAGATGCTCAAGCCTGTGAGAATAAAACACAGCTAGTTTCTCCTATACGCCAGCTCTCTCAGCGGCGAACGCGCGAACGACCGATCAAGCTCTAATCAACAAGATTAGATTCAACTCAAGCTGACAGGAGGTGATGTGCTTGGGGATTATTGATTAGGCGTAATAAGCGAAACCGAATAAACGCTATGACATCTTGAGAACAACGCGCGGGAAAAACGGGGAAGCAATCTTTGATGTGAACTTGAGTGCCTCCGGTCTGTTGTGCTGACGTAACACTTTCGTTTTACAGGTGTTTCCAGAAAATGCGTCTTATTGGATGACGTGGACAAGCTAGATGTTGACGCGTAGCACATCAGCATCTGGCTTGTGCTTTTTGAGAGGTCCACGGTGGATTCCGTGAAACGAACGCGCCGAATGCAGCGGTCTTCCAAAACCTAGGGATGCTCGCGATCTGTCTTGTCCAGCATTGCAAAGGAATTTTCGAACGAATCACGGGAAATGCGTGAATTCAAATCAACCCGTCCCAGCCCCACCAGTCACGAGTGTGCCAGTCACGCGCCTCGAAATTGGATAATTCTGGCCCTTGGGGACGTGGGAAGGGTGCGGAAAAATGGGGAGCTTTGGCGAGCAGGTCCGTAGAATCAGCAATAGCTGCCTCGTTTCCAAAATATGCCCGAGTGCAGAAATATGTAGGAGAGCTACAATTTCCCACAATTGAGATCTAGTTTATAAATGCATACATTCCCACGAGAACTTTTTCACATATATTTCTCGGTAAAGGAGCTGGTCACAGGTACTAATCTACAAGTATAGGGGTGATAAGGGTGAATTACAAGTTTTGTGTGCCATCATTTCCAGGTTAACAAAGGGGACGTTTACTCACGTACAGGACTTGCTAGCATCATTACACAATCCGTGTCGACCAACTTTGGATTAGTCGCCTGAAGCGCCGCCGCCGTTGTCGGTCGCCGTCCTGCAGCCGTCATATTAGCCGGCTAGAATGGCTTCCGAAGTGCAGGAGCTAGTTGGCTTCTTACTCTCGCCGCGACCAGAGGTACCCTTCTATCACTACAAGTGTAGGCCCGCTGGAGTGATTTCCAGAAGTTATCTTCTAGCACAGTCCCCTGGTCTAAACACTCGATCACGACTTTCTGTAACGAAGCCTTTCTCCCGATCGGGCTTCGTCAATCCCACTCTCTCGAATAGCTCTCCCGTTTTCTCTAGACCCGAAACCCGAAACCCGTTAGGTCCCAATAAACCCGTCTAATCCCCTCTCTAGATGGCATGTTCTCTCAACACCCATCCGCCAACCCCTACCCCTTCCCTCCCTGTTACCATTCCGCCATCCCGGGTGCAACGCAGGCAGTGGGCATTGTAACTGGCCTCACCGGTTCAGCAACCTCTCACTCGCTGGTGATTCTTTTCCTTTCGCCCTTCTCCCCCCATCTCGCCATCCCAGGTGCAGCGCATGGCAGTGGGCATAGTGGCGGGCCTAACCGGATCAGATGAGGGTCTCAGCCAACTGCTACCAGAGGCTGACGTCATTGCTGCTGCTCTGCTGCCGCTGCTCTCAGCCAATAAGGTGCGACTTACGTCCCCCCTCACATTCTTCCCTACGTATGCTGCCTGTCGCTCAGGCCTGTGTGACCCCTGTTTCCTTTTGAGTCGACTCACTTTTGAGTCGACTCAAAAGTCAATTCGCTCAGGCCCGTGTGACCCCTGTTTCCCACTAGCAGCACAAACGTTTTGACTTTTGAGTTGACTCAAAAGTCAACTTGGCCCGTGTGACTCTTGTTCCCCGCACAAACGTTCTCAGCCTGGTGAACCATTGCGACCCTCTAACACTCCTCCTTAGTTGCCCTCTTTTTGAGTCGACTCAAAAGCGTTTGCTACATTCGCAGCCTGGTGAACCACCAGCAACCCCTTGGTCTCTCTAACACTCCTCTTTCCTCTTTCCCCCCTCCCTCACACCATCCCTCACTCAACCTCCACCTGTTTCCTTCAGGAAATTTCCCTGCCATCCGCTCAAGCCCTGGTGAACCTATCACAGCATGAAGTGGCAGCACCAGCAGCAACCTCTTCTTCTCTCTGATTTCCCCTCTTTCTCCTTTTCCACCATCCATCAACCCAGGAAATTTCCCTGCCATCCGCTCAAGCCCTGGTGAACCTATCACAGCATGAAGTGGCAGCACCAGCAGCAACCTCTTCTTCTCTCTGATTTCCCCTCTTTCTCCTTTTCCACCATCCATCAACCCAGGAAATTTCCCTGCCATCCGCTCAAGCCCTGGTGAACCTATCACAGCATGAAGTGGCAGCACCAGCAGCAACCTCTTCTTCTCTCTGATTTCCCCTCTTTCTCCTTTTCCACCATCCATCAACCCAGGAAATTTCCCTGCCATCCGCTCAAGCCCTGGTGAACCTATCACAGCATGAAGTGGCAGCACCAGCAGCAACCTCTTCTTCTCTCTGATTTCCCCTCTTTCTCCTTTTCCACCATCCATCAACCCAGGAAATCTCCCTGCCATCCGCTCAAGCCCTGGTAATCCTATCTCAGCCCAAAGTGACAGCTGCAACAATCCCTTCGTCTCTCTAAAGATTCGTCCTCCCCCTCACCTGCTTCCCTCCAGGAAATTTCTCTGCCGTTCGCTCAAGCCCTGGTGAAACTATAACAGCACGAAGTGGCAGCAGCTGCAACTAACCCCTTGCTCTTTCTGATTTCCCCTCTCTCCCTTTTTCCACCTCCACGCATCAGAAAATATCCCTGCCTTCCGCTCAAGCCCTGGTGAAGCTATCTCAGCACGAAGTGGCAGCAGCTGCAACTAACCCCTTGAATCTCCCTGATTTCCCCTCTCTCCGTTTTTTTCCACCCCATTTTCTAGGAAATCTCCCTGCCATCTGCTCAAGCCCTGGTAAATCTATCACAGCACGAAGTGGCAGCAAAGGCTGTGATTAAAGCGAGGGGCGTGGAGACAGCAGGGGGGATGGCCGTCGGGCGAGGGGGAGCAGCAGGGGGAGGAGGAGGGGGGAAGGGGAAGAACGCGGGGTTGATGGTGATGCTGCTGGCGAATCTGACTCAGCTGGACGAAGGAGCGGAGAAACTTCTCGAGGTGAGAACAGGGGAGAAGGAGGAGAATGTGGGATCATATTTTCTGCTGCTGCTGATTCTGACTCTGCTAGAAGGGTTGCGAAGAGAAGTGAGTGCGAAGCATGGTAAGGTTCCTGACTGTAACTCACTCCCACTCCTCCCATTCCTTCTCGTCACACTCACACTCTACTCTTCCTACTCAGACACTGCCCGCTCTTACTCCCCTCCCCGTTACCGCACCCCCACCGCTCCCTGTTTTCCTCCTTTCCCCTGATTTCCTCCGCCTCTCTCCTCAGGCGGTTTGCTACGAGTGCAGACAGGGAGGAGGGGCAGGAGGACGAGTACGAGCACGTGACCACCATTCCCTCTCCCTTGTCCTTCTCCCCGTCCCCCCCTCCCTTCCCCTCTCTTTGCCCCTCTAAATCCAGCCCAGTGGGACCGTCCCGCTCCTCGCCTCCCTTGTAAGGCAGTTCGCTACTAGTGCTGACAGGGAGGAGGGGCAGGAGGACGACTACGAGCACGTGGCCACCATTCTAGTCAACGCCACTCGCCTGGAAGCTGCCAGGAAGCTGCTCTTGGACCCTGAGAAGAAGCTTCTACGGCAGATTCTGCCGCAGACGTCATCTCCAAACCGCATCCGCAGTCAAGGGGTGAGTGGGTGAGGTAGAGATGCATCAATCTCATAATTCTTAGCAAAGCGGTTAAGGGGATTTGTGAGGGACACATCCCTTTTGCCACTCTTAGCAAATCCCTTAAAGGGTCAGCGAGCTGGAGAGTTCATCAATAATTTCACTGTGATAGTAGCAGCAAAGCAGGGAGTGAGTGAGTGAGTGAGTGAGTGAGTGAGTGAGTGGGTGGGTGGGTGAGATGGAATGTTTCCTGCCATCCATGAGATGGAACATTATGGAATGTTTCATTCTAACCATCTCCTGCCTCCTTGCGGACCTGCCCTCCCTAACCCACCCTTCCCTTTCACTCACCTGTTTCCTCTCCCCTCCCTCTCTGTCAGGCCATGGCAACGGTCAAACTGTTGCTTTGATGCCTTCAGGCCATGGCAACGGTCAAACTGTTGCTTTGATGCCTTCAGGCCATGGCAACGGTCAAACTGTTGCTTTGATGCCTTCAGGCCATGGCAGCGGTCAAACTGTTGCTTTGATGCCTTCAGGCCATGGCAACGGTCAAACTGTTGCTTTGATGCCTTCAGGCCATGGCAACGGTCAAACTGTTGCTTTGATGCCTTCAGGCCATGGCAACGGTCAAACTGTTGCTTTGATGCCTTCAGGCCATGGCAGCGGTCAAACTGTTGCTTTGATGCCTTCAGGCCATGGCAACGGTCAAACTGTTGCTTTGATGCCTTCAGGCCATGGCAACGGTCAAACTGTTGCTTTGATGCCTTCAGGCCATGGCAACGGTCAAACTGTTGCTTTGATGCCTTCAGGCCATGGCAACGGTCAAACTGTTGCTTTGATGCCTTCAGGCCATGGCAACGGTCAAACTGTTGCTTTGATGCCTTCAGGCCATGGCAACGGTCAAACTGTTGCTTTGATGCCTTCAGGCCATGGCAACGGTCAAACTGTTGCTTTGATGCCTTCAGGCCATGGCAACGGTCAAACTGTTGCTTTGATGCCTTCAGGCCATGGCAACGGTCAAACTGTTGCTTTGATGCTAGTTCAAGGACCCTAACCTTGTTATTGCTCCCACCAGACTTGACCCACTCGTTTAACTCCCCTCCCCCTTCACCAGGCCATGGCAACGGTCAGAAACTGCTGTTTCGACGCTAGCTCTGGGGCCCTGCCCTCGTTGCTACTCCTTGCTGACCTGCTCTGGCCGTCGCTGCTTCTTCCATTGGCCGGGACAAGAGTGAGTTTGGAAGGGGGAGGGTGTGAAACAGAGTAGGAAAGGAAGTGTGAGGGTAGGGTGATTCGGGCAAGGAAGTGTGAGGGTAAGGTGATTCGGGCAAGGAAGTGTGAGGGTAGGGTGATTCGGGCAAGGAAGTGTGAGGGTAGGGTGCCTTCGCTTTTGAGAATTCTCAGAAGCAAGGAAGTGTGTGCTGTATCAAGATGGGTGTGGTCAACCCTTCTGGCTGCCAGAAGGATTGTCGAGAGGAGAGAAGAGCGTGGTGGGTGGTAGGTGGTTCTTGTGACAGAGACGTTCCCTCATCCCCTCATGGCTGCTGCTCCTTGCTGACCTTCTCTGGCCGTCGCTGCTGCTGCCCTTGCTCTTGCCCTCCCACTCGTCTCCCAGGTATACAGCAAGGACAACAGGGACCAAATGTCACCAGAGCTGGCCGTGCCACTATCCATGGAGCGACCCCCTGTGACCCACGCCAAGCTCCGGGCCGATGCTGCTGATGCTGTTGCCATCTGTGTGCCCTCCTTTTCGCACCTCCCCCATCCCAGGTATACAGCAAGGAGGACAGGGACCAAATGCCGCCAGAGCTTGCAGTGCCACTATCCATGGAGCGACCCCCTGTGACAGACGCCAAGCTACGGGCCGATGCTGCTGATGCGCTCTTCCTCATTGCCTCTGAGGTGGGTGTGGCTCCATCCATCGTTCCGGTGTACTGTACTAGAGGGATTTACTGGCTTTACTATTGCTATTACTGGCATATGAACCACCCCCGTCCCTGTGACTGATTCCAAGCTCAGGGCCGATGCTGCTGATGCGCTCTTCCTCATCGCATCTGACGTGGGTGTGGCTATAGCGTGCTACGTCTGTTGTATCCAGTCGTGTTTTTCATTTTTAGAAATGAAAACAGATCTCATACAAACCCCCCTTATTTATTGAATATTATATTAATTTTATTTTATTTTTGCCGATTCTGTGTGTGTTCCCAGGAGGCGGGCAGAAAAGCTCTGTGGGCTGTGCACGGAGCAAGAATACTCCAGGTGACTGACGACTACGCTATGCTTGCCCCACACCCCACCGCCACTGCCACTTTTACCTCCGCTTCCCATGCTGCCGTGTGTTCTTGAAATGGTTGCGCTTTTCGGCAGTGCTTTTTGGAGATTCTAGAGCAGTGAGGCTGGCAACCCACCGAGCATTACAGTACTTTTCCCAGATTTGGTTCCCGGCCTTCTCTGTCACCACCTGCTCTCTTCTTCTCTACTACCAGCCCCTTTGTTTACCTGTGCTCATGCCTTTCTATTCCTCTGCCAGTTTCCAAATGGTCGCTGAAGAGAAAGCAAGTGTTAGTCGCTCCGACATACATGCAAGTTTGAGCTTTTTTGTTTGTTTGTCTGTTTTGTTGATTTGTTTTGTTATTCCCGCTCCTCCCCTCCTTTCCCTTCACAACCCAGGTGGGGTACGAGGATGAGGAGGATCCAACGGTCATGGAAGCAATGGAGAGGGTTGGGTCGCTGGTGAGTGGGTAGGGTGATGTGCTGTGTCAGTGGTGGTATCGTGGTGGGTGGGGATGTGGTGGGGTGGTGGTATGGTGGTATGTTTTGTTTTGTTTTGTTTTGTTTTTTCCTGGGCAGTAAGCATGGTGACAGTGATACTGTTCTGATAAGGATGAGGAGGATCCAACGGTCATGGAGGTTATGAAGGTTATGGAGAGGGTTGGTTCGCTGGTGAGTGGATGGAGTTGTGGTGGTATGGTGGTGTGGTGTGGTAGTTTGGTGGGCATGCTTCTGTTATGTTGGTGTTCACGGCATGAGGTTGATGCTGGTGTCGTCATGGTGATATTTTGGTTGATCTTTGGTTGATGGTTGTTTGAAAACTGCCGCAGAGGTTGTGCAGTTAGCTATGATTGCGGTATTTCAGCCTATACAGCCTATCAACAGTGTAGAGAGGTCGACCAATGTTTCTTCTCCCCTTTCCACCTGACAACAGCATTTTTTTCTGTCCTGTTGTTTGATTTTCTCAATGAGCAGATGGTTCAAAATAGTTTATCACCAGACAGTTCATAATCAAAGGCGCAAGCAGGTTCCCTACAAGCAGTCTCAACTGTGAATGATCCGTTGTTTTTGTGAGCATATAATTGAGAGTGTATCGATTGATGGACAAGTAAGGGTACATTCCGCTGTGGACACATGTCCCAATCGATGTGTCCCAATCGTTTCTACCGCACTGCATCGTATTACACCAAATTGCACCCTAGGTTTGAAATTTTCGCGTCTCTGGTTTAGTTCGGTTCGGAGCGTTACACTCGATTGGGACATGTGTCCACACTGGAATGTACCCTAAATTTATTTCTCACTTGGTTGGATGGACTGGGAGTCACGCCCACCTGTTGCGAACTGCAAAACCGTATCAGATTGAGACTGGCTACAGGCTATTGGCTACTGGCTACTGGCTACTGGCTACAGCATTCCATTTCTTCTCATTCAACACATTATTCATGCAATATGCATTCCAAAACATACGGTACAACATCACCGAACTTGTCAATTCAAATTACAGCAAAATTTTATCAAATAGCCTTGATAACTGGTTCCAACACCACGACCATGGTTGATTTCCATCATCATCCACAACACCTCTCGTCCCTGCATGTCTTGACAGGCCATCCACCTATCCCTGTATGCAAGAGAATGTTGCATGAGTTCAGGAGGGGTGAACATGAAAGGCATAACCCCTCAATCAAAGCACCCAATGCTGCGATATTGCAAGTGAAAAAATCACACTGCTCCACAAATCAGGCGCAGTATGGAGTGAGCTTGCTTCCAAACACACGGTTCAGTTTCCTCTACAGGATAGACCAGACAACTGGTGACGATACTGCTAAGCAAAGCGATGGGAAGACAGCATGAGGCACCCGGAAACCGTGCTCAGACTACAACAAAGAGGGTTATCAGCATTGAGCCTTGAAGCCCAAAGGCAACTAGACTCTAGTTGTAGAGGTGTCAGAATACTCTGAATCACATCACTGCACGGCTGGCTGTAACCCTGAACAACGAGGTTGCATAAGAAAATCGCAGAGAATGCGAGCGGAAAACAGTAGCGGGCAGAGAAGCTACTGACCAGTGGCGCACGTCAGAAGGCTGACCATCAGTCCAACAAGCCATCACGTTTCACAGCATGCTGCCTCAGTTGTGGCTCCGCAAACTGTAAGCAAGGTGAAATCGGCGATGCATCCAAGGGGGTGACGGGAGGATAAGAGATGGGCAGAGGATGGGCAGAACCAAAAACCCCTTAGTCCGGAATTCAGGTGTAGCATCCAGCATATGCGCAGAGGCGAAGAGAGCGCCAGAACGTCTACAAAGATGCAATGACCACCCAGGCTTACACCTTGCCATGGCATGTTCATGTGGCCCTCCAATCATACCCTGGACATGTGGACTGCACGAAGGCTCACATCCAGGGCTCAGAGGAGGGCTAAGAGAAACGCAGTGACAGAATTCTTGCACTAGCAGCTCCAGTAGGTTAGACCTGAAATGTAAAATCATCTCCAACGTTCACAAAACATCGATGCATTATCCCAAGATGCGACGCAGAGAACATCACAACAGAAATACATGTATAAAGCTACGAGGGATGTAGCTACAGCATGAAATTTGGTGGCTCAGACATGGCAGATTTAGTTTAGGTTCGATTCCGCCGGAGATTCCTCATGCTTTTCAGTAGAGGGAGTCCGTATTTCATCAACGCCACCAATCCGTTTGCCGTAATAAGATAACAAGTGCCTCAAGCCTCCATCGTCAGGTAAGAGGAAAGAGGGCTTACAACTTCCGTCCACATCAATGTCGTATTCCTCCAATGCACGGTTGCAGCATCTGGCGTTCCATGCAGAGATCTTGGGTCTAGAATTGAACCTGCATAAAAGTGAACACGGAACGGCAAGGGTGAGCAAAGTACCAAAGGTGACCTCGCATAACATCCCAGAAACTTGAATTGTCAGAAACGCGGTAAGTTGGCTGTGCAAGGAAAATTCACGCCAATCCTTATGCTCCTTGTCCATCTTGCTACAAATAATGGGGAGAAACGTCATTGATTAGGGCGTTCCTCCACTCCTAAGTAGCGAACTTGAGTAAATGGATTCACACTAAAACAAATTGGAAAGATGGATGTGTCAGCTGGAGAAAGGTGTAATAGCTTCAACCGCCCGAAAGCGTCAGAAGGAATCCGACTGAAGGAAAGTTTTCATCATCCACAAAACCATCATAGAAAGATCAGAAAGAAGTACTAAAACAAGCAGAAAAAAAAAAAAAAAACGAGGAACTTCTGATGGATGTGTCGGCGAGAAAGGTTGAGTAGCTTCAGCCACCCGAAGGTGTCAGAAGGAATCCGACTGAGGAAATGGTTATCATCATCCACATCATCATCATTCCTACGAGTGTACAAGAACAAATGGTTATCCGATACAGGAGAAATGGTTATCACGTCAACTCAGCCATCCAAGGAAGGAAAAAGCCACATCAGCTCTCAAGCCCCGGCAAGGGCGAAAGCTTTCAGTCGGCCACTGCGAATGTTTCGAGAAACGAAGCCATATGAATGCTTTCATCATCGTTGACGGAAATAAGTTCAACAAAGAAAAGAAAAGACCATGAGTCACGAATAGACTTGACCAATGAGAGCATTGGTAACGTTAATAAGCCAGATTGAGAAACAATGCTGACCAAGGGAAGCATTTTCGGATCTCATTGAGTCAACTCAGCCATCCAAGGAAGGAAAAAGCCACATCAGCTCTCAAGCCCCGGCAAGGGCGAAAGCTTTCAGTCGGCCACTGCGAATGTTTCGAGAAACGAAGCCATGTGTATGTTTTCATCATCGTTGACTCTTCATTCAGAGAGATCGGAAGCCTTAAAAAAAAACCGGACGGAAAAAACCTGGGTCCATGGATACCGGAAGCCATTCTCCACAGAATGCTAATCGCATTGCATGCATACCTTGTGTCAGGTTCGAGCAGAAACGAGCCTCCAAGAACATCGTGTGTCAAGGTCAGGCTGAGATGTGCAACAGTCACCGCCGAGCGATCAAGGAAGCGTTGTTGTCTGTCAACACCCGTCGCTCGTCAAGGTAAAGGGGTCCGAAGCAGCGCATATACGCCGATGCAGCGCATCGCGTAAGATCGCTTGGTACGTCGCGACGCCATGGCGCGCATGTCGATCTTGAAGAGAAAAGAAGTCCGTGAACTGAACACTAATGCCGAGCAGCTGGAGACTATCTGTCCAACCATAAAGCAGGAGAGGATACCCCCCTCCCCTAAATAGCTCGAGGATGGAAACTGATGCCTAACGGATTGTTGCTGTATGGTGCAAGCGGGATCTCCTTTCCATCACTCTAGTGTGAAGGTTGAATCCTGTCGGCGATAAATCTAGAAGGTTGATTTTTGTTTCGTGATCCCCGTGCCTGCATGTTCCAGAAGCGCGAGAAAATTGGCCAGCGGTTGGGGTTTACCGAGAACAGATGGTGGTGAGCCACAATTATGTCGCCCCTGTTGTAGGCTGCAGTGTACAAAAATACGGTAGTGGTACATATGAAATCGACCCTATCCTCAAGTAGTGGTTTAGCCCACAACATATTTAGTCATGCAAGTCTTTTATGCCTTCTGAATAATACCTCGTGGGAAAAGGAAGGTAAGCAAGCTAAATTTGAACATCACATTTGATGATAATGAACATTGGTGCAACACGAATGCGACCTTAGCACCTAAACTATTTTTTTTCCTTTTGTAGGTACTCCTCCTGAGTCTTGGCTCCCTTGATTAATCACCTAAACTACATTTCACTATTGTAACAGCTACACCAGTAGGATCTACCAGCTCATCCCTCTTCCTATCTGTTATCACCTTCGCTCCCTCTTCCCCCGCCACTTCACCTTCACTACTCTCTCCCACCACAAGCAACAGTGCAGCTATATCCCTCTCCATCTCCCCAATCGCCTCATGCAACTTACTCACACTCATCCCCCCCTTCCCTGCACCCTTCTTCCCCATCTCGCCTCCACTCCCCACCTTCCCTTCACCAGCAGCATCGGCAGCAACAGCAACACCCACACTCCCTGAATCTACTGCTGCAGTTCTTTCAGCAGTTTCTGTTCCTGGTGGTAGCGGCAGCGGCAGCAGTGACTTCAATTCTCTCGCTCGACCCAGCAGCTGCCGTGCGCGCATGCGAATGGTGCCGGGCTCTTGAGGCGGGAAGAGAGATGCACCAATCTCATCCACGTCTTCACTTGCTCCCATGCACACACCCAAAACCGACTCCAAGGTACTGCTGCTGTTCTTGGTGCTATTGCTGCCGCTGCCGCTGCTACTTGTGCCACTGCCAGTTGCACGCTTTGCCGCACCAGTCTTTTTCTTCTGCTCTTGCTGTTGTTTTCCCTCAACTCCCTGTGACTGTGATTTCTCTTCCTGCTGCTGCTGCTGCTGCTGCTGCTGTCCCCAGGATTCCTGGTGCTGCTGCCAAGCAGCCACAAGGTAGATCAGGCACCGAATCACCCGTTCCGCTGCCTCAACCACACGCAAACCACTCCGTGCCAACTCCCTCTCCTCCTCACCCAAACTCACCTCCTCTTCCTCCTCATCCTCCTCTTCCTCCTCATCCTCCTCTTCCTCCTCATCCTCCTCTTCCTCCTCATCCTCATCACCATCACCACCATCACCACCCTCCTCCTTGTCATTACTGGAAGGATTCTCCTCCTCTTTCCCTTCCTTTTCCTCAAGTATTTCTTGAACCCCTTGGTCTTCCTCAGCTCTTTCCTCCCCCACAACATCCCCTTTCTCCTCTCCTTTCTCCTCCCCCACTGCACCGTTCTGAACCCCTTCTCTTCCCACCATCTCCCCAACCTCCCTGGCAACGTCTTTCATTGATGCAGCAAGAGTAACCAGCACCCTACCCACAGCCGCCTCGTTGCTTACTGGAAGCTTCTTCAGTGCTGCATATGCTGACTGCAGCATGCCCACCTGCCTGGGGAGCAGCTGGGCTCGCTGTGTGGCTGTGAGACGGAAAGGGGATAGAATAGAAAAAAAGCAAAATGAGTGACTAGATTTTATATTGGAAGCTTCTTCAGTGCTGCGTATGCTGACTGCAGCACGCCCACCTGCCTGGCGAGGAGCTGAGCTCGCTGTGTGGCTGTGCGGCAACAGGGGGGGAAGACAGGATGGTATAGAAAAGAAGCAAAATGTTGACAAGACTTGGTACTGGAGGCTTCTTCACTGATGCGTATGCTGACTGCAGCACGCCCACCTGCCTGGGGAGCAGCTGAGCTCGCTGATTGACTGTGAGGCGACAGGGGAGAGGGATAATAAAAAAAGGTGAAACAAAAATAAATAAATAAATAATAAAAAAAATTCAAGCAAACAAATCAGTGAAGGCCTAAGACTGTAACCTTCAGAAGTAAATCGACACTGCTTCATTAAAGGTGACTCAAAAGTCACCTCTTTTGAGTCAACTCAGAAGTCACCTAATACTGTAACCTTCTGAAGAAAATCGACACCGGTTCGTTTAATCCCCTCCCCCACTTTTCACATGCTGCTGACTAAAAAACTAGTGCAATCAAATCACCGCCCACGTCAGCAACACAACCCCATACCATTTGATGTGGTCAGTGCAGTGTCCAGCAGAGCAGCAGAGGCTGACACAACACCCTCCGCAGCCGAGCGAATCGCAGCATGCCACGTGGCAGCAGCGCCAGCACTGCAGGCGTGCAGCAGCAGCATGGAGGCCACAAAGGAGTCGTGGAAATCTGAGAGCAGCGGAGCGGCTTCTGCTGCCTTTGGGGGAGAGGCAGCCGCCCAGAAAATTGCCACTGAGAGAGGGGTGTTTGTAGAAGCAAGGGGAATGCCGAGGAAAGAACAGGCGAGGGATGAGGGGGTGGAAGAGAGGTGTTTTGAGTCGTCTAAAAACTCGGAAAGCCGAGAGCAGCGGGGCGGCTTCTCCGGCCTTGGGGGGAGAGGCCGCTGCCCAGAAGATTGCCACTGCGGGAGGGAGGAAAAAGGGGCTGTGGAAGAAAGGGGTGGGAGAGGCGAGTGGGAGGAGATGTAATCGCAGGGAAGGATGAAAAAGGTGGTGGGGGAGGGAGGAGGGGGGGGGGAGAGGGGAGGGAGGAGGAGGAGGTATAGGAAAGGGAAAAGAGTGCATCAAAGGGGAAGGACAGAACCTGTGGTGGTGAGAAGAACAGCAGAAATGGTTGCGATGAGACTTTCTGTGGCATGTATGTACACTCAAATCCCAAAGTTGGCAGCTATATTGTTGACCTTAGGCGATTTTTTCATTATTAATATTCACTTGCTGAGATGACTGGGATGAGACGTCTGTGACATACAGGTATATTCACAACCCGGATTTGACAACTGTATGAGAAATCCTTACCTTTAACAGCTTGCTTCACGAGGCTTTCTGCTGCTTTGGCCACGTCATCCCTGGTCACCTTCCTGGACGTTTCCGGAGCTGCTTCTGAGAAGAGCTGAAGGGAGAACGAACAGGCAAAAAACCAGAAAGAATGGGAAAATATCGGATCGAGAGGCCAGCATTTTTTAGGCGCCTCAAAAGCCGCCTCGCCTCATGAAGCGCCTCAAAAGAGCTGCGGGGAGGACGAACAGGGGAAAATACCAAAACGGGAGGGAAAGAATCGGATCAAGTGGCTAGCATTTCAAAACTGGGAAACAAGAAGTGTTGAGGAGCCTCCGAGCGGAATCCAGAGACTTCGAAAAAATGAAGAACAAGGGTCAAGAAGAGGAATAGACGGAATAAGGGAAGGGAGAAGGATGAAGACGGAACGAAGGAGAGTGAAGTTGAAAGAAGGAAACAAGAAATCAGGAGAGAATGGTTCGCCAGCACGAAGCAATACATGCTGGTCAATCCTCCATCGAAAAGCCTACCTCCAGCATCTGCTGAGACGACTGCTTGAATCGCTTCTGAAACGCGACGACGGACCCGCGCGGCGCCATTGGTATCGACGCGAGCCGTACGCGATAGTAAGCGCAGACGGATCGCTAACTGAGAAGGACAGCTGGGGGGATTGCTGTGATGTGAACGCGCGAAGCATGCGACGACGACCACCACGATCGCTCCAAACGGCTATGGTTCTCTGGGATAGAACGTTCACTGAGAAGGACAGCTGGAAGAATCGAGATGTGAATGTGCGAAGCATCCGACGACGAGATGACCACGATCACTGCAAAAAGCGCGACCTTGAAGGGAGTGAATCGAAACATGTTTCCCGATAGAAACATGGAAGCATCGTAAGTTGTTGTACAAATAGAATATGTTGTAGATTGCTTCTGGACTTACAAAAGTTACAAGAACTGCTACTAGACAATATTTTGATATCACATTGTTATTTTCCACTAGTCAACACTGTAGCTTGTGTTTGCTTCTGGAGGGACAGTTGGTAGCAAAGGAAGACTTGCACGGAGCACACCCTTTTCCTTCTCCTTCTCCCTCTCCTTCGTCTCCCTTCTATCACTCGTCTCCGAGTTCCCCTTCTCACCCTCTTCAACCTCCTCCTCTCTCCCTTCTCTTCCTGTCCTCCCTTCCCCCTCTCCCCGCCCCTCACTCTCACGAACACCCATGATGCTCCTCTCCTCGCCTGGTTCCAGCAACTCAGCCCCATCCGGCTCATCTCCCTTCCTCCCACTCCAAAACTCCGCCCAACTCCTCCCCTGCACGGATCCCACAGGAGCAGCCAAACCAGCTGAACCAACCGAGCCAGCAGCACTTCCAGCACCGGCAGCACCAGCAGCACCAGGAGCAGGAGCACCAGCGGCACCAGCGGCACCAGCGGCATTATTGGCAGCAGCAGCAGGGCTGGTAGCACCGAACCAGTAGTTGTAGGTGCCGCTGCTCCATTCCTGCAGAGCAGCAACCTGGGCAGGAAAAAGAAATGGCAGGTGAAAAAAAAAAAAGCTAACAGTTGAGAGCACATCAACTGATATGCATCTCAGCAACGAGTTAAAGAGATTGTGTTATTATTATTCAAGATTTTACAGACCAGATCAAAGGTTGCCTTGACGCACACTCACCTGCTGCCCCACTTGATCATACAGCTCGGCAGCAGAATCTCCTGTGCGAGCGAACCGGTTGACCCACGCTGAAAAGGGAAAGAGCAGAAGGCAGGAGTTGGTTGGTGGTGAGTTAAGAGTTTGGCTTTGAGTCGACTTGAATGAAGGAGCAGAGCAGAGAGGGTTGTGCGATGGTGAGTGGAAGGGTTGGGCAGGGCTGACATCATCAGAGACATGATAGCGCAGAGTTGACTCTGATGGAAAAAGGCAGCTGACATGACAGCGCAGAGATTTCTAAAGAATCGCAACAATGATGAGGCACGACACCCCATCCATTCACCACCTGGATTGGGCCCGATGACTGTGCAAATGTACAGCTTGTAAAAGAAAGTTGGTTACGATTACAACGGGATGTGAACAAAATAATCTCTAGCAGGTATATTTGTATGTGTACTGCTTGTCATGAGTCAACAGCGCTGGCACGGAATGGGCCCGAGACCCAGTTTACCACACAGCTCGTCGCAGAAGTGGTCGCAAACTCATATAAACCTCGAACAGGTATGCTGTAGATGTGATTGTGCTTGTAGTGAACCAAAAACACCCACCTGGAATGGGCCCGACGCCCAGCTTCACACACAGCTCGTCGCAAAAGTGGTTACAGTTTCGCCCGAGCATGTCATACGACTCGCCAGGCCACTGCACGCTCATCTCAGCTATGATCTGCCCCGCTCGCTTCGCGCTCAGCTTCGTCTCCCCCATGTCGACTGTCTCTCGGTACGTGTAGTAAGGGTTGCATTTCGGGCGGCAGCTGAACACGCCTGACCCGCGCTCACAATACCCAAAGGACCATTCCTCGCCAAACACCTAAGAGGTGGGTGATAGGCAGACAAGGAAGGACTTAGGGAATGGCACCAGGTTGAGGTGGCACGCATGAGGGGGAAAGAGAAGAGGAGGGACAGTTGATGACTGCTCAGTTTTGTTTCCCCCATGTCAACTGTTTCTCGGTAGGTGTGGTAGGGGTTGGATTACAGGCGGCAGCTGAAAGAGACTGATCCACGCACGCAGTATCAGAAAGACCCTTCCTCTCCAAACACTTGGAAGGTGGGTGGACGGAAGTTGGTTAGATGGACTGTCACATTGTGAAGAGCGAGGGTGAAGGAGAAGGGGAGGGGGAGGGGGAGGGGGAGGGGGAGGGGGAGGGGGAGGGGGAGGGTGAGGGGGGGGAGGGGGAGGGGGAGGGGGGGGGGGAGGGGAGGGGGAGGGGGAGGGGGGGGGGAGGGGTGGGAGGTGGAGGTGGGGGAGGGGTGGGGGAGGGGGGGGGGTGGGAGGTGGAGGTGGGGGAGGGGGTGGGGGAGGGGGTGCGGGAGGGGGAGGGTGCGGTCAGCATCCCGCAAGAGTTTTCTAGTGGCGCGGTGCGTGCGTCACTTTTGGGAGCTCTCAAAAGTAGTGACACCAGCCTGGCGATGTGGTCCGATCCCTCGACAACGCCATGTAGCTGCATCCCCAGCGCACTTCTCGCGACCCCGAGCACGCATCTAGCTGCTAGTACCTCGAGCTCACCTCGACGGCGCCGTGGAAGATCCCTCCGATCCCCAGCGTGCTTCGCGCGACGCCGTTGATGCGAAGCACGGTGTTGTTGACGTTCGGGTCGGGGCTGTTGGTGACGTCATACACGTGCAGTAACACTTTCTTCTTCTCCGCCATTGCACGTCGAAACGACTCTAAGTTCGCCTACGTTCGCCTAAGTTCGCCAGCGTTCGCCTCTGTCACAGTTTGGGGTCGGGGCTGCTGGTGACGTCGTACACGTGCAGTAGTACTTTCTTTTTGTACGCCATGGCTGGACGCCAAGGGGACGACTAAAGGTGAGGGTAACGTGTGGCTAAAAGTGGGTTGTGATCGACTCTAAGCTCGCCTGTGTCTCGGAGGCTGTTGGTGAGGTGACGTCATACACTTGCAGTTGAAGCATGATGTTAGGACGCGTCACCTGCCTCGATCGATCCTGCGTAGGATGTGCAACACGATCTTGTCACCTCCCCCCAACCGCACACCGATTTTGCATGAGCTCCAAACTCGCGCTCAAAGTGACAGGCAAGATCGATCGCCGTCGCACAGTTTGCAGGGTTACATGAATCATCTCATGTTTTTTCTCGCAAATCACCCATACGACGGTGTTGCATATTTTCGCCCAACCATGTCCCCTGGCGCAATACCGAACGTGTCACCCAGGGCTCGAAACCAAGCTGCGATCGATGTTCAGCTGTCACCTCCCCCCAATCGTGCCCCAAACCTGCGATCGGTATGCCCGATCGGTTTTTCCTGGCAATCCTACGATCGATCGAGGCAGGTGACGCGTCCTTAGCCATGGCTGCATTAAAAGTAAATGTTTTTTTTTTTAATACTGCCACTGTGAATGTGTCGAGATGGCCGAGTTGGTCTAAGGCGCTGGATTAAGGTTCCAGTCCGAAAGGGCGTGGGTTCAAATCCCACTCTCGACAGCCTTTTAAGGGTCAGACCCCTGATAGCTACCCTAGTATCTCTCCTCTCTGCTTACACAATACGCCACTACTCTTTTGTCTGTCATCAAACAACTGCGACGAAGCTGACGGTAATCCATTGCTGTAATCTCCCATCAAAACCATACATGGATGGAAGCTTCATAATTTAAACCCACGCAACACTGCCGTTATCCTTGGGCTCAAACCCTAGAGCAAGGCCGTTCATGCAATAACGAAGCCCAGTAGGCGCCGGGCCATCCTCAAACACATGCCCTAAGTGCCCCTGGCACTGGGAACACCGCACTTCGGTCCGGTCAAACCCGAAAAACGACCTATCAGGGAGCATATCCACAGCTCCGGGCAGCACGTCGAAAAAACTCGGCCAGCCCGTGCCGCTTTCAAATTTGGTTTCCGAGTTGAAGAGAGGCGACCCGCATCCCCGGCAGACAAAGGTTCCGGGACGCTTCTCGTACAGCAGGTTACTGGTGAAAGAGCGCTCCGTGCCGGCCTCCCTAAGGACGTAGTATTCGCCTGGCGAGAGGATTTCCCGCCACTCCGCCTCCGTGTGCGACACGTTTCCTACTCGCAGCGCGATCCGCTGCTTCGGAGAGAGCGACGCCGGGTCGATGGTGCTGCTGGGGCCGGTTATGTTAACGGAAGCGGCAAGATCGGAGGGGCTAGAGAACATATAAGAGCCCAGACCGAGTCCTGCGGCGCCAAGTGCGGCGCTAGTGGCTACTATGAGCGTGATGGCGCCGCGACGGGTGGGAGATGAGTTAATCGGAGTGGAGCCCTTAGGTCTGACGTCAGGCGCGAGGGACTGGAACTCGGATGCGTCACCTGAAGCATCTGAGCTGTCAAATTTGCTAGAATTGCCGTCCCCGCCGTCCAGATTGCAGCGAACCCACATAGGATTGCGCCACGTGGTATTTCGTCCAGCGGATTGAGAAAATAATCTCGAGAGGGGATTCCCGCTGGACGGGAGGAGGCCGTTACGAGGAGGTGCGGAGAGAGATAGCGCTGCCATGGAAAACGCTTGTAGGTTTGAAGCCTTGGAGTCGAAGCTTGTCAAATCCTTCTGGTTTCGAGCGTTACGCGATTTTAATTAACTGGGGCTACGAGCTGTTCCTGCAGCGAAACACGAAACTGAAGCTGGCCTATGAGTCACTCAAACGTTGTGGACTAAGAGGTCTGTCTTGCAGTATGCAGAATAACAAAGACGAGATTCTAGTCTTTATATTTGGTCAGAGCTGAATTCCAGGCATAGAAGGCCCACGGCTCAAGCGTTGGATTCCCGTACGTGAACCACTGTCAAGTGCGGTACTGTGCAATTTAGGGCGATCGCCCCGTGAGCCACTCACAACCGCTGCAGGCAGCCTTCGAAAGAGTGATGAACCGCCACAACTGATGGTCGTTCAATGCATGCCTGGCAATGAACTTGTCGATATGCGCACTTCGTCGGGGGTGTAGGGTAACTCCAGGCAGGAAGCCATGAAGCGACGGCGAGAGGCTGGGTTACGTCAACGGTTTTGGAATGCTGCCGCGTGTCCCTCGATGATTTGTGTCCCTTCTGGAAATAACGTGGCGCGGTGACACCACCAACGAGGGAAAATATGCCATCTGTAACGATAATGGGACTCGAAAACATTTTTGGTAAAGAAATAACGGGTACGGTCACTGCAAAGGGTGTTTTCACGCGACTGATAAAACGTTTCACGGAATCAGTCACTAGTAACTGGTAAGAAATCACGCGAATGGTCACAGATGAAACTCCCGCCAAAAAATATAACCCAAATGGAACCTGGATTCATTTTCGGACGAATCAACCCTAAACACGTAAATCGCCAGGTGTTCAGGGTTGATCCGTTCCCAAACCGCATCCGATTCCGATTGGGTTTTAGTTTTGTTAGAACTTAGCAGATTGGTTGGGCGCGAGCGGGAAATTTGTAGAGTTTCAAGAAATTTTGGCGGGAGTTACATGTGTGACCATTCGCGTGATTTTTTACCTGTTGTTAATGACTGAATCCGTGACCCCACTTACCAAGCCCGTCAGCAAACCCGATACAGTGACCTTATACGTTATTTTTTTACTATTCGTGTTATCCAGTCCCATTTTGGTTACTTGTAACATATTTTCCCCACCAACGATCTATCTGCTGAACAGAACAAGTACACCGCTACAAATACAAACCATAAGAGCTTACAGTGTTATGGTTAATAATCTACAGGTGGAGTATATGGTACTCCGCTAATGCATAACTCCACCTCAGGTCGGCGACTATGAAAGCAATGAATAGCCCACTCTGTCAACCTTGCCCTGGCGATATCAACAAACCTCAGCGCAGGGGCAGCTAAGAGGTGGTCGAAAATATCATCCGAGATTTTCGGGCAGCTCTGCATGCTCAAGTAGCGCAATCGAGCAGCCACATACTCCCCGGGCAGTCGAAAAACCTCCCCGCCACTGGCACCCGGACCTGACCCCTGGACTTGACTCTGCTCCGGCCGAACCTGCTGGGCCCAGGCTGGGCGGCAGAGAGCCCTGACGCAGGGATTGGACAGCTGACGGCAGCCGTCCAATCGAATCTTGATGAGGTGGCGGCATCGGTTTGCAATGGATATGATACCGGCATCTGAGACTTGATCGCAGAAGCTGAGGGAGAGATAGCGCAACGAGAGGCAGCAAGCAGCAAGAGCTTTCAAACCCTGGTTAGAGGCAGGAGGGGTGGGGGAAATGGGGTGGACAAAGCAGACAAGGATTGGGAGAGGAGGGATAGGAAGAAAGGGGTTGGGCGCAGAGGCATATGGTCAGGTATACACTTCTTCTGAAAACCACCAACCCCCCACCCGCCGTCCCCGCTACACACCCACCCCTCCCCTCCATTCCCCTATCTCTCTCCCCCTCATACGGTATCGTATTTCATAGGTGAGCCTGGGGAAACCATGCAGTGCCAGTTCCTCCAGACCGTGACAATGAGACGAGAGTGACCATATGCAAGCCCTTAGTGGTGCTGGTGAATTCTGACAATCACGGATACCCATATTTTGTTTCCCCGCACCCCCGACCTTCCCCTCCCATTCCCCCCCATGTAGGTACCGGATGTCATTCGTGAGCCTGGGGTAGCCATGCAGTGCCAGCTCCTCCAAACCGTGACAGTGAGCAAGCCCCTGTGATGCTGTGCTGGTGCATTCTGTATATTAGAAGTACACGTATCTGAACTCCCCATTCTCCCCCCTCCCCCATGCCCCGTACCTCATTCGTGAGCCTGGGGCAGCCGTGCAGTGCCAGCTCTTCCAGGCCTCCAGTCTCACGAATGAGCACGTATGCTGAGCACGTATGCTGAGCACGTATGCTGAGCACGTATGCTGAGCACGTATGCTGAGGACGTATGCTGAGCACGTATGCTGAGCACGTATGCTGAGCACGTATGCTGAGCACGTATGCTGAGCACGTATGCTGAGCACGTATGCTGAGCACGTATGCTGAGCACGTATGCTGAGCACGTATGCTGAGCACGTATGCTGAGCACGTATGCTGAGCACGTATGCTGAGCACGTATGCTGAGCACGTATGCTGAGCACGTATGCTGAGCACGTATGCTGAGCACGTATGCTGAGCACGTATGCTGAGCACGTATGCTGAGCACGTATGCTGAGCACGTATGCTGAGCACGTATGCTGAGCACGTATGCTGAGCACGTATGCTGAGCACGTATGCTGAGCACGTATGCTGAGCACGTATGCTGAGCACGTATGCTGAGCACGTATGCTGAGCACGTATGCTGAGCACGTATGCTGAGCACGTATGCTGAGCACGTATGCTGAGCACGTATGCTGAGCACGTATGCTGAGCACGTATGCTGAGCACGTATGCTGAGCACGTATGCTGAGCACGTATGCTGAGCACGTATGCTGAGCACGTATGCTGAGCACGTATGCTGAGCACGTATGCTGAGCACGTATGCTGAGCACGTATGCTGAGCACGTATGCTGAGCACGTATGCTGAGCACGTATGCTGAGCACGTATGCTGAGCACGTATGCTGAGCACGTATGCTGAGCACGTATGCTGAGCACGTATGCTGAGCACGTATGCTGGGCACGTATGCTGGGCACGTATGCTGGGCACGTATGCTGGGCACGTATGCTGGGCACGTATGCTGGGCACGTATGCTGGGCACGTATGCTGGGCACGTATGCTGGGCACGTATGCTGGGCACGTATGCTGAGCACGTATGCTGAGCACGTATGCTGAGCACGTATGCTGAGCACGTATGCTGAGCACGTATGCTGAGCACGTATGCTGAGCACGTATGCTGAGCACGTATGCTGAGCACGTATGCTGAGCACGTATGCTGAGCACGTATGCTGAGCACGTATGCTGAGCACGTATGCTGAGCACGTATGCTGAGCACGTATGCTGAGCACGTATGCTGAGCACGTATGCTGAGCACGTATGCTGAGCACGTATGCTGAGCACGTATGCTGAGCACGTATGCTGAGCACGTATGCTGAGCACGTATGCTGAGCACGTATGCTGAGCACGTATGCTGAGCACGTATGCTGAGCACGTATGCTGAGCACGTATGCTGAGCACGTATGCTGAGCACGTATGCTGAGCACGTATGCTGAGCACGTATGCTGAGCACGTATGCTGAGCACGTATGCTGAGCACGTATGCTGAGCACGTATGCTGAGCACGTATGCTGAGCACGTATGCTGAGCACGTATGCTGAGCACGTATGCTGAGCACGTATGCTGAGCACGTATGCTGAGCACGTATGCTGAGCACGTATGCTGAGCACGTATGCTGAGCACGTATGCTGAGCACGTATGCTGAGCACGTATGCTGAGCACGTATGCTGAGCACGTATGCTGAGCACGTATGCTGAGCACGTATGCTGAGCACGTATGCTGAGCACGTATGCTGAGCACGTATGCTGAGCACGTATGCTGGGCACGTATGCTGGGCACGTATGCTGGCACGTATGCTGAGCACGTATGCTGAGCACGTATGCTGAGCACGTATGCTGAGCACGTATGCTGAGCACGTATGCTGAGCACGTATGCTGAGCACGTATGCTGAGCACGTATGCTGAGCACGTATGCTGAGCACGTATGCTGAGCACGTATGCTGAGCACGTATGCTGAGCACGTATGCTGAGCACGTATGCTGAGCACGTATGCTGAGCACGTATGCTGAGCACGTATGCTGAGCACGTATGCTGAGCACGTATGCTGAGCACGTATGCTGAGCACGTATGCTGAGCACGTATGCTGAGCACGTATGCTGAGCACGTATGCTGAGCACGTATGCTGAGCACGTATGCTGAGCACGTATGCTGAGCACGTATGCTGAGCACGTATGCTGAGCACGTATGCTGAGCACGTATGCTGAGCACGTATGCTGAGCACGTATGCTGAGCACGTATGCTGAGCACGTATGCTGAGCACGTATGCTGAGCACGTATGCTGAGCACGTATGCTGAGCACGTATGCTGAGCACGTATGCTGAGCACGTATGCTGAGCACGTATGCTGAGCACGTATGCTGAGCACGTATGCTGAGCACGTATGCTGAGCACGTATGCTGAGCACGTATGCTGAGCACGTATGCTGAGCACGTATGCTGAGCACGTATGCTGAGCACGTATGCTGAGCACGTATGCTGAGCACGTATGCTGAGCACGTATGCTGAGCACGTATGCTGAGCACGTATGCTGAGCACGTATGCTGAGCACGTATGCTGAGCACGTATGCTGAGCACGTATGCTGAGCACGTATGCTGAGCACGTATGCTGAGCACGTATGCTGAGCACGTATGCTGAGCACGTATGCTGAGCACGTATGCTGAGCACGTATGCTGAGCACGTATGCTGAGCACGTATGCTGAGCACGTATGCTGAGCACGTATGCTGAGCACGTATGCTGAGCACGTATGCTGAGCACGTATGCTGAGCACGTATGCTGAGCACGTATGCTGAGCACGTATGCTGAGCACGTATGCTGAGCACGTATGCTGAGCACGTATGCTGAGCACGTATGGGGGACAATGAGCACGTATGCTGAACCCCCCCCTCTCCCCCCCCCCCCCCCCCTCTCCCTCCCTCTCCCTCCCTCTCCCTCCCTCCTCCTTCTCCAACTCCTACACCCCAGCCACGAACAAACCTTACCTCATTGGTGAGCCTGGGGCAGCCGTGCAGTGCCAGCTCCTCTAGACTGTGAGAATGAGAGGAGAGTGACAATAACGAGGTGTCTGGCAGTGGGCTCTGGTTCAACACCTGATGGACGAAGGGAGAAAATGAAAAGAAAGAGAGTGATAGTGTAGAGTGGCAAAGAAAAGTGACAATAACGAGGTGTCTGGTAGCGGGCTCTGGTTCAACACCTGATAAGACGAGAGGGAGGTAGGGAGGGATAGCAGAAATTGACAATGGCAACTGATATAAGATAGTGACAATAGCGAGGAATCTGGTAGCATGCTCTGGTTCAGCATCTGATGGGACAAGGGAAAGATGAGGAGAGAAAGCGACAAAGGCTGTGGTTCAAGATTTGTTCCTTTCACCGAGATTAGAAAGCTTCTCTTACCAGTGTTTTCAGTGCTGAGAGTCCTTGGAACAGGAGCGGAGCAGAGACTTCTGTCACTCCGGGCACCAGAGCAGCGTTGAGTGATTGCAAGCGAGTGCAGCGGGCCAATGCGCTGACACCTGGCTCAAGCAGCTGGGGATGAAGACAACAAGAAGAAGAAGAGAGGAGGTGAAAGGAGGAACAGGAGTGGCGGGAGAGAGAGGCAGTGAGATGACCTTCTGGCCACCAGAGGAGCGTTAAGTTGAATGACGCAACTGAGAGCAGCATTGAGTGATTGTAACATAGAGCAGCGAGCCAATGCGCTGAAACCTGGCTCAAGCAGCTGGGGAAAACAGCAGGAGAGGTGAAAGAGAATGAACAGAGGAATATGGTTTTGGCCACTTGTTCAAGCAGTGAGAGGTAGTGAGAGGCGGCTAGATGAGGTGAGAAGCAGTGAGAGGCGGTTAGAAGTGGTTGGGGGTGGTCAGAGGCGAATGGGTGGACCTGAACTCACCTTGCAGCAGCATTTGATGGAAAGGGACTAGAGGCTGGGGCAGTGCGATGCAATCACAGGCAGTGAGAGGCAGTGACAGGAGAATGGGTCCTGAACTCACCTTGTATCACATTTCACCACATTGCACCGCATTGCACCACCTTGTCTCACCTTGCGGCAGCACTTGATGGAGAGGGACTGCAGGTTGGGGCAGTGCGAGGCTATGAGGTCCAAAGAGGCATCTGTGATGGGCGCACCGGCTAGCAAGAGATGGGCGAGCGACGGGCAGCGCTGGGGGGAGAACGAGAAAACAGGAGAAAGAAGTAAGAGGGAGAAATGCAGGGAAGAAGGAAGTGCGAGGCTATGAGGTCCAAGGAGGAATCGGTGATGGGCGCACCGGCTAGGGAGAGATGGGCGAGCGAGGGGCAGCGCTGGGGGGGACGGGGTGGGATACGAGAAAAAATAAGAGAGTGAAAGTAGCAGTGCGAGGCTATGAGGTCCAAGGAAGCATCAGTGATGGGTGCACAAGCAAGGGAGAGATGGGCGAGCGAGGGGGGCATGCTGGGGAGGGAGGAGAGGGAGGAATGTGGGGACCCAAGTGAAAACGAGAGCACTTCCTGCTGTGCGAAAACAGAAAAGCGTCTGCTCTGTTGCTCCATGACTTGAAGATTGTTCAACCAAGAAACAAAACAGGTGCACGGATAAGCTGAGCGACTCACAGAGACAAACTCGTGCAGAGGTGGGTCGGACATGCATCTGAAATTGGAGAGGTCCAGGTGGGTGAGACTGGTGCACGCACTGGCCACTGGGGTAGAGGGGGAGTTGGGGGGGGGGGGGGGGGGGGGGGGGAGAGAGGGGAGGAGGGGGAAATGGAAGATGAAAGATGGGGATTGGGAGACGTGAGATGGAAAATGACCTAAGTGACTCACGTACTCAAACTGGTGCGGGTCAGACATGCATATGAAGTTTGAGAGATCCAGATGGGTGAGACTGGTGCACGCCCTGGCAAGTGGGGTAAGGGGGAAAGGGGTGGGGTGTGGTGGGGTGCGGTGGGAGGATAGAAGATGAAATTCGACTGCCTCAAATCCCAAAATTCGTTCAGAGGTGGGTCCGACATGCATATGACGTTTGAGAGGTCAAGGTGGTGTCGGAGATACAGCCATGCCTTCTCTGCCTTTGTCTTCATGTTCATCTTCACTTAGCTCCCTCTGTTGCCTCTGCCCCCTCCTGTGCCCGTGCTCGCGCAGCTTGGGCGCGGGTCACAGGACCATTACGCTGAGGCCCGCTTCCCCTGATCACTGCCGTGTTCGTCTGATGCTCCTTTAACTGCGCCCCCGTGTCATTCTCCAGGACCAGCACCCCCGAAGGGCGCACCTCCTTGACCTTCCAGCGGACCGTCCCCAGCCCCACATCTAAAGTGTCCTGCTTTGCTCTCTTAAGATACACTTCCTGCCCTTCACTGACGCCCCTTGTCGCTCGTCCTTCTCCCTTGCGCTGTCTCTGTTCATACCTCCTGGCATCCCTCAGCTGTGCGGTGTGCAGGTTCTCCAGTGCTGGTGGCATCATGTAGCGCATGTAGCGCGCTCTCACCTCGGACAGGGCTACCCAGTTCTTGATTGTGCCCGCTGTCACTGTATCTGTCAATACCCGCGGTGCCCCCACTGGCAGTATGGGCTCTCGTCCGTAAAGTAGGCTGTACGGGGAATGATCCTTCAGGGCTGCCTGCTTCCCGAACCTATACCCCGCTGCTATCCAGTCCAACTCCTCATCCCAGTCTCTCTTCCTCTGCTCCCCATAGGCCCGCAGTCCCCGCTTAAAGGTCTGCACGGCTCGCTCAGTCAGCCCGTCGCTCTGCGGGTGGTAGCGGGAGGTTTTGCGGTGCGTGATGCCAGACTCCTCCAGCAGCTTCTTAAACTCTCCTTGAAACTCCGTCCCTTGATCCGTGAGTACCTCCCCGCACGCTCCAAATCGGCACACCACCTGCGCTTTGAAGGCTGCTGCAATGTGCCTTGCGCTCTTGCTCGGTATGGCTCTCACCTCTAGCCACTTACTCACATGTTCCACCATGAACACTATATACTGATTCCCGCTCCTGCTCAGCGGCAGCTCTCCCGCGAGGTCTAGGGACCAGCGAAACCCCAGCCCGCAGATGGGTAGTGAGTGCAGCTCTGCTTTAGCCTGCGTCAGATTTGCTTTGCTCCTCTGACATGCCTCACACCCCTCCACCCACTCTTTCACCTGCCTGCGCATCCCTTCCCACCACCAGCCCGTCTTCAGCAGCTGCACGGTCCTCTCGTGCCCGAAATGTCCCAGCTTGGTGTGCACTTCCTTGATCACTACTTCTCGGTCCTCGGGCGCTGGCACCAACTTCCAACCATCCTCCGTTTTGATTTGCAGCTGCTGCTGATACCACCTGTAGTGGTGCCCTCGTGCCCTCACCCTTTCGGGCACTGTCTCATCTTCCTCGGTTTCTCCCTTCAGCCACTCCATTGCCTTTGCGTCCTGCCAGATATCTGCTGGCCCCTTACTCCCCTTGGCCCCGACCTGTTCCACCTCCCTTGCCAGCAAGATCAAGGTCTTTGATGGCTCCTGCTGTGTCCCTTCCGTCCTCTGTCCTGCCTGCTCTGTTTCCAGCGGCGGTGGGTTGCGGGAGAGGCCGTCCACGTGCTGCAGTGTCTTCCCCGGCCTGTGCCTGATCTTGAAATCGTATTCTTGCAGCTTCACTGCCCACCGCGCGTTCCTCCCTGTCAGGCCTGGTGTGGTCATCAGCCAGGTGAGTGGCTGGTGGTCTGTGACTAAGGTAAATTCCCTGCCCTGTAGGTATACCCGGAAATGCCCTACTGCCCACACAGCCGCCAGCCCCTCCCCAATGTACGAGCTGTACTGTGCCTCTGCTGGGTTGCAGCTCCTGCTGGCGTAGGCCACCACCTTCTCCACTCCTTCCACCTCTTGGCATAGGATTGCCCCCATCCCCTGGCTGCTCCAGTCGGTATAGAGGATGAAGGGCTGATCTGCTGCTGGCAGCCGCAACACTGTCGCTGTCTTCACGGCTGTCATGAGGTCTTGCAGTGCCTCCCTCTGCTTCTCTCCCCACTCCCATGCCTTGTCCTCTCGTAGCATTCCATTCAACACCATCGCTCTCTTGCTGAAGTTCGGCACGAAGCGTCTATAGTAGCTGAGGAAGCCCAAGACTGCGCGCAGCCCTGACTTGTCTCTCGGTTCCCTCAGCCTGTCCAGCACCTGCACCTTTGCTTGCTGGATCCCAATCTGCCCCCCTGTAACCTCGTATCCCAGGTACTGCACCGTATGCTCCCCCCATCTGCATTTGTTAGGATGGCACGTGAGCCCTGCATCTTCTATAGCCGTCAGTGTCTTCTCCACGTCCTCCAGGTGCTGCTGCTCGGTCAGGCTGAAGATCACGACATCATCTATATAGCATGCTGCATGCTCTATTCCCCGCAGCACCGCGTCCATGACTCTCTGGAACACCGCCGAGGCGTTCCTCAGACCGAAAGGCATGTACAACCACTCGTACAACCCATCCGGTCCGTGGAAGGCCGTTTTCTTCACATCCTGCTCTCTGATCTTGATTTGATTGAATCCCTGGCGCAGGTCCAGCGTCATGAAGTACACCCCATCGGCCAGCTTGTCAAAGAGCTCTTCTGCCATCGGCATTGGGTACCTATCCGGCACTGTGATCTTGTTAAGATCCCTATAATCCCCGCACATCCTCCGGCTCAGCACCTCGCCTGTCAGATCCTTCCTGGCTGCCACCACGGTCGGGGTCGCGTACTCAGACTCTGATCTCCTAATCAGTCCGGCTTCCAGTAACTCCTTTATTTTCTCCCTGCAGATCGCCTCGTCCCCTGGTGGCATCTTCCTCCTGCGGTGGAACACCGGCTCGTCACTGCTCAGCTTCAGTGCCATCTCCTTAATCTTGCATTTCCCCAACTCCTGCAGGGTGAAAGCGAAGCCCTTCCTATGCTTAACTAACAGTGCCCGCATTGCTGCCTTCCCTCCCTCACTCATGCTCTCACCTATCTTCCACTCAGGCTCTTCTTTCGGCAGGCAGGCCCACACCCCTTGCCTCACCGTCGCCACGGAGTTTTCTCCCTCCTTCAATCCCCACTGCAGCACTGTCTCTTTCCACATCCGCTGCACCAACCACCTCATCATGTACCCATCCATGGCATTCCCCAATGCCCGTCGCCGTTCCTTCTCGCTCACGCCAGGGGCTGCTGTGGCGTTCTCCTTGTATCCCATGGACAGCTCCCTCTCCAAAGCCGTGGGCTCTTCCCACTGTCCCTTCCTGTGGTCGTACACCAGTCCTGGGCCTGGCTGCTTCCCATTCATCTGATAGCCTGCTGCCCACTCATATGACACCAGGGTAGGCAGTGCCTGCCTTTCCTGTCCCACTAGGTTGCATGGATAATGCCTGCTGTAACCCTTCCTGGCCACTGGTGCTGGTGTTCTTCCTGGCTCCAATATGTCGCTCAGCTTCCGTCCCCCAGCTCTCTGTACCCCTTCTATTTCCTTCTGCAGGACTTCTGCTGGCACCACGTTCTGCCAGTACATCCTGAGCCTGTGCGCATATGCTCCCATCCGCGCCGCATCACTGCTTACTCCTTTCCCCACCTGTCTGGTCACTCTCTCCCTTACCAGTCTAATCGGTTCTCTCACGTCTCCTTCCATATCTAGGTGCTCCAGCAGGTAGGCCACTCTTCCCTGCCTAGCCTGCACCCACTCCATGACTCTAAACAGGTCCTCCATCAGTTGTGTTCGCAGGTCCTGCTCACCCTTGCCCTTCCCTGCCCAAGATACCCCTTGGCATTCCCACCCTGCTACCAGCAGGTCCACGTGCCCCCAGCTTGCTACCTCAGCTTCTGTGATGGCCCTCACATCGTTCACTCCTCTGCTCATTGCTGCCTTGATCACCTCTCCCTTCAGCAGTTCCGGGAACTCTCTATGCAACTCCCATGCCTGATGCTCTGCCATCCTCCTCACTTCTGGTGCCTTCTCCACATAAATCCACTGCTTCACTGCAATTCCATTTTGCACCACCGCTGCTAGTCCCGCCCCTATTCCTCCGAACAGCTCCACTAGACGTATGGGTTGCTGCCAATCAGTCTGCTGACTAGGCTCGTCCATGAACCGCATCCTGGGCTCCCCACCTTGTCCCAAGCCTGTTGCGGCCTTCTGTGCCCCCTGCTTCGCTGTCATGTCCTTCTGATCTGCCCTGTAGGCCCTTTTTGGCTCGGTCCTGACAAACTGCACTGGCAGCTGCCCCAATGGCTCACCCTTCCTCCACCACCTGGTTCTGAACTCCACTGTCTCCTTCCAGAAGCAGATGGTCATGCCCAATGCAAAGATCATCTCGGTACCCACCAGGACGTCAAAGTCCTCTGACTCTGAGATTCCGCACCTGATTCTAACTGGTGTCTCATGTTTTTCTCCCTTCAGCACCGTCAGTTCTATTGGAGTCCTTGTGCAAGGCATCCACTTCGACTCTCCCCCCTCTGCTGTCATCACTAGCATGCCCTTCACCACATGCCTGTCTGGTGCCCACAGTCCCAACCTTTAAGCCATCCCCTTTCCCAGTATCACGCTCTGCGCTCCCGTGTCTATAATAGCCGTCTTAGCCTTCTCCCCTTCCACTGACAGTGCACCGCCTTGGATCAGGAGCACGGAAGTCTGGCAAGCCAACCTCTCCTGTGGGTGCCGTGCCGCTGTACATCTTTCATCTTTTTCCTCCGGCTTCTGTCCTCTCTCCCTCTCCTTTCTCGGCTGCTCCTTCCGCGCATCCTTTCCTCCGCTGCGCAACCCCATCTCCTCCCTTCCTCGCCATGCCATGTATGCTGGTTGTTCCTCATGCTCCGTCTCGTTCTCTCCTCTCCCCGCCCAAACCATGAACGCGGCTTCTTCATCCTGCTCCACATCCTCTTCCTCCTCTTCTTTGGCGTACATCCCCGCCTCTGCTTCCCGCCGTGGCCCCATTGCCTGCAGCTGGGCCTGCAGCCTGCTGATTTGCTTCTCCAAATCTTCTGGTGACTTCTTCGCTGCTCCCTCTCGCTGATAACACTCCTTTGCTGCATGCCCTCCCTTCCCGCAGACTTCGCACTTTGCTGCCGTTGGGCATTCCCGCCGCCGATGCCCTGGCTTGCCACAGGAGTCACAATTCTTGCAGTCTCGGCGCAAATGCCCAGGCTGTCCGCATCGGTGGCACGTCCGTGTGTCAGGCCTTGTCTCCCCTCTTCCTACTGCCCTGTCCCTCTCTTCTGGTATCATGGCAGCAGCCCATGTAGGTCCCCTGCCTCGCTCCGCCTGCCTGGGCCTGTATGCTTCATACTTCCGCTGCGCCAGCTCCATCTTCTCTGCCAGTTCAAACACCTCCTCCAGCGCCGTGTCAGCTCCCATCCCATACACTTTCATCCGCAGCCCGCTTCCCAGCGTGCCTTCCAGCCCGTCCAGGAATTTACTCACGAGTAGGGCCGTGTCCGCGCAGGCCACATCTTCTGCCAAGTTGACCAACCGGTTATAGTAGGTGAGTAGTGACTCACCCCGCCCCTTCCTGAAATCCTGGAACTCCCTGATTTTTTCAGCCGTGTGACCTGGGAACTGCCGCTTCAGCCGCCTCAGGAATGCTTCAGTAGGGTCTTCCCCGTACCTTTTCGCCCTGTCCAGTAGCTCATTCATCTTCATCCTGTACAACGTCTCCGCCTCCCCTTCCAATGTGTTCGGCAGACTCAGGAAGAAGTCCACTGAGTCCATGCCGCTCCTTTCGCATCTGTACCGCACGTTGCCAACCTGCATCAGGTAGTTCTTCAGTGTGGGGCCCGTACGCTGGTCCCCTGAGAAGCGTGCTGGCACTTCTACCCTTGTGACCATTGCCGTGCTTCCCTTGCCTTCTCCCCACGCCTCGCTCGGCCCCCCTGCTGAACTCCCTGACGCTCCTCTCTCTCTCGCCCGCAGTAATCCTTCCCTTGCCTCTCTAGCCCGCTCCAGGCTGTGCATCAGTCCACTACCTCCTTCTCTGCTGTCGCGTTGATCCCGTCCTTCCTCACTGGCACGTCTTCCTTCTGGTTGCCAGTACCGATCAGGTGAGTGACGTCCACCGCCGCGTTCCCCATCCCTGGTCTGTTGCCGAGGCTGCGAGCCGTATCCCTCTCCCCGGCTTTCTCCAGGTTGCCTGTGCCAGTCGGGCGATCGCGTCTCGCCTCCCCATCTCTCTCCATGGTACCGTCGCAGATCAGGCGAGCGGTAGCTGCCTCCGCGTCTCTCCTCGCGCGGATAGCGAGTATCTGGAGAGCGCCGCTCCCCTCCGCCTCTCCAGTTGTGATACCTCCGCGGATCTGGTGAGTGCCCACTTTCCCCACGTCCATTGTCTTGGTGCTGCCATGGCTCAGGCGAGTGGTAGCCGCCCCTGCGCCTTTCCTCCTGCAGCTGCTGCCGTGCTGGCGAGCGGTAGCCGCTTCCGTGCCTCTCGTCCTCGTGCGGACGTCGTGGGTTTGGCGAGCGCGCGCCGCCACCGCTTTCCCCGCCATCGTTCCGCCGCCGATCTGGCGAGCGCGCACCGCCGCCACGCTCCCCTTCCCGATACATCCGCCGATCTGGCGAGCGCGCACCGCCGCCACGCTCCCCTTCCCGATACATCCGCCGATCTGGCGAGCGCGCACCGCCGCCACGCTCCCCTTCCCGATACATCCGCCGATCTGGCGAGCGCGCACCGCCGCCACGCTCCCCTTCCCGATACATCCGCCGATCTGGCGAGCGCGCACCGCCGCCACGCTCCCCTTCCCGATACATCCGCCGATCTGGCGAGCGCGCACCGCCGCCACGCTCCCCTTCCCGATACATCCGCCGATCTGGCGAGCGCGCACCGCCGCCACGCTCCCCTTCCCGATGCATCCGCCGATCTGGCGAGCGCGCACCGCCGCCACGCTCCCCTTCCCGATACATCCGCCGATCTGGCGAGCGCGTGCCTCCGTCGCGTCCTCCATCCCAATTCAGGCGCGTATCAGGCGCACGCACGCCACCGCCACGTCCCTCCTCACGCTGCGGAGGCGGATCTGAAGCACGCGTGCCACTGCCATGCCCCCCGCCGTCGCCTTTCTCTCCGTCGCGCGTCAGGTCTCGGCCTCGTCATCTCCATCCACATCGAGATCGCCTTGGCGACCCGAGAAGAACTCCTCCAGACCTCGCCCGCGACTTCTCTCTTCGCGACGGCGATAGCCTTCCTCCGGCGAGCGGTACGCTCCCGTGTCCTGGCGGTAACCATGACCGCCCTCAGCGCCGTGACTTCCGTCCGTCCGCCATGGGTCACTCCCCATCGTGACGGATCCGGATCCGCCTCGTCCTTCTCGAGCGGATCTTCCCTCCTGCTGATCTGGCGCGAGGGGAACCTGATCCGCGCGAAAGGCCGGCCACCGCGGAGATCGCTCAGGCCGCCGCGGCGACCTCTCCAAAGAACGCCCGCGCTCACGTGAGCGTTCGCGCCGTGGGCGATCCTCCTCACGGCGTCCGTAGTTCCTGCCGTAACGCAGCTCGTACACATCCATGCTTGTACGCGCGCCTTTCTGATTGTTATGAAAGACACGAGACTCTCACCTCAAGGGGTCCTCCCTGAATGGTGTGTCACTCGTAAGCTAGGCTTGTAGCAACAACAGTCCACTATACGAAAGGATACCAATCTGAAAGCATTGTGTGTGTGTGTGAGAGTGAACTTACCTGACCCTGGCTCGAACCGTGCATTTCTCAATGTGCGGCTCGAGCCTGGGTTGGTTCGTTCCCATTGGTTGCATGGATTTCACCCCTTGGTGCTCTCCTACCAACTTCGCGTCAATTTCCCAGCCCCCACCTACCCATCCTTGAACCTGCACGTACAATATAGCTACGCCACTCCTACACTTCCGTATTACTGGCACCTTATATGCACAATCGTGCATATTCGGTGACAGTGGGTGAGATGCATGTCGGACGCACCTTGAGAGACTGGTGCACGCACTGGCAAGTGGTGTTGATTTGGGGATGAGTTACGGGGGTTGGGTTTGACAGTGAAGGAGAGAGGTCCAACCAACGGCACGTGCGTTGTCTGCATTCATTCATGCCATTCGTGGCACCACCCATTCATGCCATTCGTGGCACCACCCATTCATGCCATTCGTGGCACCACCCATTCATGCCATTCGTGGCACCACCCATTCATGCCATTCGTGGCACCACCCATTCATGCCATTCGTGGCACCACCCATTCATGCCATTCGTGGCACCACCCATTCATGCCATTCGTGGCACCACCCATTCATGCCATTCGTGGCACCACCCATTCATGCCATTCGTGGCACCACCCATTCATGCCATTCACCTCACACCAGATCTTGCGCGAACGAACGTACCAAGCTACACTACTCTTCATCACTCTCCACTGGACTTACTCTCACTCGCAGCAGACCAATGACCGCATTCAACCACACTCCATCGCACTGAACCGATTTCACCTTCATAAGCGCCATTTCAGAGCAGCGTTTTGAGGCATAGAGGGAGGGTAGGCTGAGAGTGAGGGATATGAGTTCAAACCCAAACTGGTGAATCTAATTCAACTACACCCCAACGCACTGAACCGCGCTCACCTTGCATTAATGCCACTTCAGAGCAGTTTTTTGAGGCAGAGTGGGAGGGCAGGCTCAGGGTGAGGGATGTGAGCTCATGCCAGACCGATAAACCACATTCAACCACACTCCATCGCAGTCCACCACGCTCACCTTGCATGAGCGCCACTTCAGAGCAGCTTTTAGAAGCAGAGAGGGAGGGCAGGCTGAGGGTGAGGGATGTGAGGGAGGAAGCCCAGGCGGTTAGCATTAGGAGACCCGTGTCTGTGAGGGCCTGCTGGGTGGCGAGGTGAAGGATGGAGGGAGGGAAGGGACGGTAGAGTTAGAGTGAGGGATGTGAGGGAGGAAGCCCAGGCGGTTAGCATTTAGAGACCTGTGTCTGATGCTAACCGGCAGCATCTCCAGCCCCGGCCAGAGCAGCATCAGCCGTAGAAGCAGCACTGCATCTCTCACCCACCCCACACCCCACTCTCGTCACACCTACACAATCAACCAGCCAGACTCACCTCCTCGCCTCTCCCTTGCCCCGCGCCCTCCGCCTTATCCACCAGTACCAGCTCCTCCAGGTGAGGCCAGAGCAGCACCAGCCAGAGCAGCACCAGCCAGAGCAGCACCAGCCAGAGCAGCACCAGCCAGAGCAGCACCAGCCAGAGCAGCACCAGCCAGAGCAGCACCAGCCAGAGCAGCACCAGCCAGAGCAGCACGAGCCATAGCAGCGCTCCACTCTCACACTCACCTCGTGCCCTCTCCCGTGCCCCACGCCCTCCGCCTTATCCACCAGCACCAGCTCCTCCAACCCTGGCCACAGGCGCACGAGCTACAGAAGCCGCAGAAGCTGCTACCTTGCACACTACATCATACTCCCACCATCTGACTCACCTCGTGCCCTCTCCCTTGCCCTATGCCTCCGCCTTGTCCTCCAGCACCAACTCCTCCAGGCGGGGTCAAAGGCGAGAGCACTGCATCGTGTGACACTCTTTAAACGACCAGCCTTACTCACTGTCAGTAATAACGGACTGGAATGACTGTACTAACAGAAGGATGGATACAAATAGGAAACCCTAATCCAGTGTACCCCCTAAGGTATCACCCACTACTGCCTACAATCATATAAACATATAATGTTTGACACTCACCTCGTCCCCCCTCCCTTGCCACACGCCCTCCGCCTTATCCACCAGCACCAGCTCCTCCAGGCAAGGCCAGAGCAGCATGAGCCGTAGCAGCAGCGAGTCGCTCACCCCCACGCCCCGCTCGTGCCGCCTCTTGTGCCGGAAGCGCGTGAGATGGGACAGATGGCAACTGGCTAGGTAGTCCAGTGTCACCTGTGTGGGGATGGGGGGGACGAGAGGAGACGGGGGGGGAGTCTGTAGATAGAACCAATAAAGAAGAGGGCGTTTCCCACCCCCACACTCCCCTCGTGCCGCCTCTTGTGCCGGAAGCGGGTGAGATGTGAGGTGGCAACTGGATAGGTAGGCCAGTGTCACCTGTCTGACGTTCCGGACCCTGAGTCTGACCGGTATCGTGCTGAGCACCCTACTGTCACGCGTCTCCTCGCTACTGTTGTCACTGACCCTACCTTTGAGTCCTCGGCTGCGTCTGCTCTGGTCACTGAGTTGGTTGACTTTGCTGCTGCCTGTCGTCTAGACTACGCTGCTAGCCTTGTTGCTGAGTCTGAGTCTGAGTCTGTCTGTCCTCCGTCCGTCGGGGGTGAGTGTGCTCTTGGCACGGACGTCCTTGAGGACAGACAGGAGGAGTTCCAGTGTCTTGCTGCTGCTTTGCCCCGTCTCGTGTCCTTGCTAGTTGCCCCTGAGGGAGACCCGGATGCACCAGACATCCCGACCCCGCGCACTTACGCTGAGGCGATGGCGGGTCCCTACTCCTCTCAGTGGCAGACAGCCATGGACGCCGAGATGGCTTCCTGGAAGTCCACATGCACCTACGTCGACGAGGTTCCCCCTCCTGGGGCGAACATCGTCAGTGGCATGTGGATTTTCAGGGTGAAGCGGCCGCCGGGTTCTCCGCCTGTCTTCAAGGCGCGTTATGTGGCTCGAGGCTTCAGTCAGCGAGAGGGAGTTGACTTCTTCCAGACCTTCTCCCCCACCCCGAAGATGACTACTCTTCGGGTGCTGCTGCACATAGCCGCTCACCGCGACTACGAGCTTCACTCACTTGACTTCAGCACTGCTTTCTTGCAGGGCAGCCTGCACGAGGAGATCTGGCTGCGCCGCCCACCTGGCTTCACTGGGTCGTTTCCTCCTGGTACCCAGTGGAGGCTTCAGCGGCCGGTCTACGGTCTCCGCCAGGCTCCGCGTGAGTGGCACGACACACTGAGGACTACACTTGCGGCTCTTGGGTTCGCGCCTTCTACAGCTGACCCGTCGCTGTTCCTGCGCACCGACACTTCGCTGCCGCCGTTCTACATCCTCGTGTACGTCGACGACTTCGTCTTTGCCATTGCTGACACTGCAGGACTCGCCTACGTGAAGTCGGAGCTGCAGAGGAGACACACGTGCACAGACCTGGGTGAGCTGACAAGCTATCTTGGCTTGCGGATCACCCGGGACAGAGCACGGCGCACCATCACCCTGACTCAGTCACACATGGTGCAGCAGGTTCTCCAGCGCTTCCGCTTCACGTACTCCTCGCCTCAGTCCACTCCTCTGCCTACCGGTCACTCGCTCTCAGCTCTGCCTTCGGATGAGTCCGTAGAGCCGAGTGGCCCGTATCCAGAGCTTGTGGGCTGCCTCATGTACCTGATGACCTGCACTCGACCTGACCTTGCATACCCTCTTAGCATCCTTGCACGCTATGTCGCTCCTGGCCGTCACAGGAAGGAGCACATGGATGCCGCTAAGAGGGTGTTGCGCTACTTGTGCAGTACATCGGGCATGGGGCTTGTGCTTGGAGGGCGAGACCGAGTTGTTCTCACAGGGCACTCAGACGCTTCTTGGGCAGACGACCAGGCCACTCAGCGGTCGTCTCAGGGTTACACCTTCAGCCTTGGCTCTGGCTCAGTTTCTTGGCGCTCTACACGCTCTTCTTCTGTTCTCGGCTCCAGTTGCGAGGCTGAGATCTACGCTACAGCCATGGCTGCCCAGGAGCTACGCTGGCTGACCTACCTGCTGACCTACCTGCTGACCGACCTCGGAGAGCGGCCTCGTTCTCCTCCAGTACTGTACGTCGACAACAAGGCTGCCATTGCCTTGTGTGAGGAGCACAGACTGGAGCACAGAACGAAGCACATCGCCCTGCGGTACTTCCTTGCTCGTGAGCTGCAGCAGCGCGGTCAGCTTTGTATTCGCTACGTGGCCACTGAGGCCAACACTGCTGATGTGTTCACCAAGGCGCTTCAGCCTTGTGACCATCAGCGCTTCTGCACTCTACTAGGC